GGTTTGCTCACTTTATTAGTCTAATCAAAGAGCCACTTTTTAGTTGTATTGGCACTCTATTATACCCATGTTTTTAATGTTATTGATTTTTGCTCTTATCTTTCATCATTTGTTTCCTTAAATTTTCGGTGATTACCCTGTTATTATAACTTAAGCTGACTTGTTTAGTTCATTTAGCTTTTCTTTCTCTTTTTTTTTTTCAGTAGAAAGTGCTTAAAACAAAATTTCTCTTAAATATCTCTGTGGCTATATCTGTCAAATTTTGAAAAGGGAATATTTTCATACTTGTTTAGTATTAAATACTTCTATAAATTTTCTTATAATATTTCCTGTGTTCTTTGCCTTATTTACAAGTATTTTTTTAGAGAGAGAGAGAGAGAATTTTTAAATATTTATTTATTTATTTTTTAGTTTTCGGTGGACACAACATCTTTATTTTATTTTTATGTGGTGCTGAGGATGGAACCCCAGCACCCTGTGCATGCCAGGTGAGCACACTACCGCTTGAGCCACATCCCCAGTCCTACAATATTTTTTTATTTCCAAATATAGCAAATCTCAGACACCAATAACCCATATAGCATCTTTGTATGAACTGAAAAAAGAAAACACACACACACACACACATTAATACATGATTACAAAGCCTGAACAACCATCTGAGTTTTCAGGACTTTGGCAGTCAACAGCCCTGACTGCATATGTACACATCTACTCTCACCCAATCACACTCACCCTCAAGGCCACACACTCCCCAACACCAGCAGGTAAAGGGACTGCACCAAAATCTGATGGGGACACAGGATATAGACATCTGAGAACAAGGAACAGTCAATAGAAGACTCTTAAAGGCACCTGGGGTATAGCTGGGACACAGCACAGCCATATATATACCAGTGATGTATACATGTATACACTACTCCATGTTTGAAGGCTTGTGAGCTGATGTGGCTTTTATGTGTGTGTGTGTGTGGCGGGGTGCTCTCCCAGCTGCTTTAGGATTTAACCAGGGAGTCCCAAATCTCTACACCTCCCTCAATACTCAATAAAATTTATATATGTAAGTTGTGCATAGTGCCTCTATAGATGTGGAGGCTTTATTCAAACCACTTCTGAACATTTACATGAAGAGATGGTTTAGTTATGGATTTACAATTTAATTGCACTATGATGGAAAACTTGGTCTCCTTGAAACCTACTCTCCAATATGTTTTATGACCCTGAGTTGGATCCCCAATTCCACGAAAACAACCCCCTGCCCCAAAGCAAAATAGTCTGTTACCTATTCTATGTTTTAAAAATTTTTAAATTTAAAAAATATTGTTTTCAACTCGTGGATTCAAAACTCTTTACATGTCCATTGGATCCAATTTACTCACTGTGTCATTCAAATCAACTCTGGACATTTGTTTCTTATCTGCTTGATCATTCAGTTCTGAATTCTAAAATCTCAAACTATGTGAATTTGTCAATTCCTCTTTATAATCCTAATTTTTGTTTTAGTATATTTTGAGGCTGTTATTAGCTTTACAGAGTTTTACACATTTTCACATCTTATCACATTTTCCTGAAGAATTGTTCCTTTAGTCAATATATGGTGACTTCATAATGTTTTTAACTTAAAGTCAGATTACTGACTTTAGCTTTCTTTTCATTAGTATTTACCTAGTGTATTTTTTTTACTCTTTATCTTTCAAACATTCTGAGTGTCATTAGATGAGTCTTTCATAAAAAAAAAACCATATAGGTCTATTTTTATAATGCAATCTGACAATCCCTACTGATTCTAGCAAACATATTTATTGTGATTAAATATTTGGAATTTATTTTTATCTTCTTAATTTCTTATTATAACTTGTTCTGTGATTCTCTTTTGTCTTGAGTGAGTTTTATATCTAATTTATCTTCTATTTGTATGGAACTAACACATTATGTTTCAGAGTTTATACTTAAAACATTTACATATATTCCTTTCTTTTTTCCTTTTTGTTTTTGCACTGGGAATTGAACCCAGGGGTATTTTAAACTGAACTACATCCACAGTGCTTTTTAATCTTTTATTTTGAGACAAATTGCCAAGACTGTCTTGGACTTGTGATCCTCCTGCTTCAATCTCCAGAGTTGCTGGGATTAGGGATATGCACCAGCACACCTTGCTATATGTATTCTTAAGAATTTAAAGTTATTTATCATCTCTGCCCTTCTTGTGAACAATACACAGGATGCTTGGGCTCCTATTCCCAACTACAAACATTGCTTATGCGCATGTACATGCACATGCGCGCACACACACACACTTCTTATAAGCTCTCATATCCAGCATTTTCATGTCGTTTTTGTTTTTATAGTTATCTGGTTAATATTATTATTATTATTGCTGCTTTATATTTTCAATGATCACTTGCATTTCTACACTTCACCAACTTCTTTGGTAAACTGCCTTCATACATTTTACTTTTTCCATTTTAGTTCAATTTTCTTCTTACTGTAATATATCTCATGGGTATTGTTTCCATAAATTCTACCAGAACATTTCTTATCTTCCTGATGGCATATTTACATATTCTTTACTCCAGGAGGATATTGTAGCTGGTAGAGAACTTAAGGAGAACAGTTCTTTTTTTACCATTTGGAACACATTTTTCCATTGTCTTTGGGCTTCCATTGTGCTATTATAAAGTTTGTTGTCAGTCTATCTTTAGTGTCTTTTCTCTTGGTTGCTGTTAAAATAGTTTCTTTGTCTTGGTTTTTCTGTCAAATTATACCTATTCATATAAATTATGACATAAGCAGGTAACACTTCAGTTTATTTGTAATCATTTTAGGGCTCCTTGTGCTTCCTGAATCAGAAAATTAATGATTTCTATTAACGTTGCAATTGATAAAATGCCTATTTTGCATTTTTGAAACACTTATTAGATATATGTTAGAACTTCTCTTTATATCCTTCATCTTTTTATTGCACTTTGTTACATTGTATGTGATTTCTTCAGGTCTAGTTTCCATTGCACTAATTCTCTCTTTAGCTATGTTTAATTCAATGTTTATACTGTCAATGATCACTTAGATTCCACACTTGGAATGTGATTTTTTCTCATGTGAGTGACTGATTTTCATTTCTAAACTTTCTATTTTATTCTAATCAGTCTGTTTTGTGATGACTATATTTCTTCCTGCATTTTTTCTTATCTTTTATATACTTGGCTTAAAGCATGATTTTATAATCTTTGTCTTGTTTTCATATTGGTCATTCTTGGAGGAGACAACTTGCTATTTATTGACTTTGTTAATCTAGCTTGTAGTAGGTTATTTCTTCAATTTAGAGAGAGTTAATTTTAAGTTCTGAGCTCATGTTTTTGCCCTTTTCATTCTTATAAAATTAACTAAACATTTTAAGTCATGTTTATTACATTTTTATCAGAATTCTGTATTCTAAGTGGGATAGTTTCCAGGTTATCTGGACTGCCATGTTGCCGGAAAAGGAAGTCTCCTAAGCTCTTGCTTTTCCATGCGTTTTCTTTTAATTATGTAAGTAGATACTGCTGTTTTAAAACTGTTTCTTATAGTTTCTCATTATCTTTGAAGAAAGTAGGACACTCTTGATTAATACTATCTATAAATAACAATCATGTTATGTTGGAGAAATGAGGAAGGATAGATGACAACAGGTAGTGAAATGTCACTAAAATTATGATGGATTATGAAGGTATATAATGTATAATAGCATTCAAAATCACAAATATCTCAAATTTGTAATGCTGGGAAGTCAATACTTATAGTAATCAATACTTATGTGCCCATCACATGACATACAAACTCATTGTGAGTCTTCCTCCCTAAAACAGGTAGAATTTAAATAAATTAAACATAAAGACAATTAAGAATTAGAATGAATTCTAAAAATAAAACATCTTTTTGTTGTAGTTGTACTTTTTTAAAGTGAAATAAAGGGGGAGAGTTATTTTTTTAAGAAAAATTTAAAGGAATTTAAAAATGCTGATTCTCTTAATAGAAAATATATTGCTCCAGGCAGGGTAATAAATAGTTTATAATCAGGCCAAAGAGAAGATTATCATGAATATTTAATGTGGCAGAATGGACACAAGTTGGTAAGAAAGAAGACAAGGGCGTTTGAAATAGAATGAAAGCCTTGTTATAAAATTAGGTTTTTATGAAGAAAATAAAGGGTTCATAGTCTTGGTGACATGAATAAAGGGGCATTCTGAGTGTTTAAGCAGAAACAACAGAAACAGAGACCCCATTGAAAAGACATTTGGAAAATTTGGAGATCAAGAGGGTAATATTCGCACACTGTCCTAAGAACAGAAATGCTCCAAGTTTTCCTGGCCTTCTGCTTTTCCATCGGGACAGCATGTGCCGGTTCCAATAAGGCTGCTGTACCAACTGGGCAAGCGGTATTCTTCCACTTTCTCAGCTGTGGGGAGGGGGGTGCTAAAGATAATTCAATAGAGGAACCATGATCAGGACAAGATGACAAAAGATGAGATTTGAATCTCAGAGGCCATGAACCCAGAACTGGGAGAAAGACAAATGATGAGCCTTAAGGTGCTTCACAGGCTTCTACAGATGACCAGCTGGTGGTGTTCCCCTCTGGGTATAAAAATGATAGGTAGTGATGCCTCACCCACTGACCTTGGGATGGTGACCTTGAAACGGACCTTAAAAGATCATTAAGACAGTTAATATCCCTCACTGAAAGTACCCCTGGAAGTTTGCTGGCAGCTGGAAGTTTGCTGGGGCCCCTTCGGCTGTGGCTCTCAACATCCACAACACTCGATTCTCCAAATGTGTATATTTTAGAAATATTTGTGTATATTGTTTTCTAAAGTGTTTTCTTCCCATACTATTTATCAGACTTTAGAAGAACTATTAATTTTTAAGGTATTCAAGCAAGTAAATAATAGGGATTTGACACTGATTAGAAAGACTATATTTCTGCCAGTTTCCAGTTTCACAGGAGCACACACACGCAACCTTACCTTACTGAAAGCTCGGTAACATAAGCCACACAGTTCCACCAGGTAGGCCAGAGTGAAGACAGCATTCTGAATTACAAAGCTGAGCAGTTTTGAAAATGGTTCCAACAAACTCTGCAATGAGATTGGGGCCAAATAAAATGTCTGTCTGTTTCCTTCATAAAGAAAACCATTAAAGTATCATTATATTTTAATGGAATTATTCTTTTTTATTTAAAATCATTGCCAGGTGGCCACTGTAGCAACCCTGGTGGTCTAATTAAAGTATAACTACACCTTTAACCAGTGACTCAAAGAGCATGATTTTATTGTTCAAAAACTTCATTTTTCCACATGGCATCATTTACAAACCATCTGACTACCACTCTACCACCCTGTTCACCCTAAGAAATCCAGCCCCAGCGAGGTCTGCTTTAGGATTTTCCACTCTATTCTCAGAACCTCTAAGTATCTGGTTCTTCAGCTTCAGATCCTCCAGAAGCCTGTCTCCGCAGTTCACTAGTGCAAACCACTCTGTCATATAAGAACCCAAGTATAATTACCTTGGATAGAAACCCTTCCTCAGCTTCCTGCCAAGGAAGACTTTGTTCATTTGGTTTCTTCATCTGAATCCCATCCACAAAGGGCCAGTTCTAATTTCGTAGTACACTTTATTAAGTTCTTTAGGAACATTTTCTGAGCACCTACTGAGTGTTAGGCAGAGCTCATTGCTTTCATACAGTTTATCACATTCAAATTTTTTAACTATCCTAGGAAACAGCATGTTAGTTAATGACACAGCTCTAGAATCTGATTTAAGTGTGTTCACACTAGATCTGATGACATTAAATAAGCAATCTAACCTGTCTGAGACTTAGTTTTCTCCTTCTCTAAAAGTGGAAAAATAATAGATTACACACATTAGGGTTGTTGTGAGAATTACGGGAGATAATGTATGCAAAGAACTTGGCAACAGTAAGCTCTCCATTGATGCTAGCTAGCTACAATCTTCATTATGAACCCTCTGAAGCTTTAGTATCACTCTGTGTTCACAGCAGAATCAGTTAAGTACACAACTAACTTCCCTAAGGCCATACAGCTATGGAATGGGATTCAACTCCAAATTCCAGGGCAATTTTCCAGAGGTTTAACTGCTCTGCAGAGAAGTCAGGGTTTTAACTAGACTCCCAAAGACTTCCATGCCATGATTTTCACTACTTCTCAACCACTGTAGTCCGGAGTGTCTGGATTATAAAAGTAATACATGTTTAATGTAAAACACAGGATATGTAGGAAAGTACTCATGAAGAAATAAAAGTCATGCATACTACTACTTCACGTTTTTTTGTTATATTTCCCTTCATCATTGTTTCCCAGTTTAGTTAGCTGAATTTTCACATAAGATCAAATATGTTTATAATATAATATTTTTATTAGCTTAATAACATTAAGAATTTCTAGTGCCACTTAATTCTTATAACCCATTCATTTTAATAGCCACAAAGTCAAATTTTCTATAAGAAATACCCTAATAAATATATTTCAGCATAAAAATTTTATTATCATTTTCTTCCTTAGAATAGATTCCTAGAAAAGGAAAAACTAAATCAACGATATGTGCATTTTTGAGGTTTTTTTTCTTCCTTATTGATACAAAACTGAATAAAAAAAAAAACAAAAAAACTGAATTCCCTACATCTTAGTTGCTCCTGAACATAAGAATTGTCTTTCATTTATTTGTACTCCCCAGAGAAACTATTGTGTTTTCCAAGTAGGGAATCCTACACTTTTTGGAACAGTGCTGTTGGTTCAGCATTTTTTGTTCAAATGCTACTGATTTGAAACTCTGACACAGAGGGTGGGGATAGGAATACCTCTCAAGTTGACACATAAGCACTCTCATTGGTCAAAAAGAGAAACTCCAATTCAAAGTTATAAAGAAAATTGCTCTTAGCAAAACCAGCATGGTGATGGAACAACAGAAAAATAGGACCCAAAGAACCTATGTTGAAGTTTCAAATATTCTAGGAACCAGCTGTGTGACCTTAGCTAAGACACTTCAACTCTCTGAGCCTGTTTCTGTATCTATAAATGAGTAGATCGAACCAAATGATCTCTTTGCAACTTTCCAGCATAAACTTTCTAGCTTTGTCTATAAAAGCACAGTCTAGGTAAACAGTTGCAGAAAACATGCACTATTGGTATATTAAGTAGTAATTACAAACTATTGCAAATCAAACTATATCACCACTGAATATAATGCAATTCACAATGGTAACAGGGATACAGAATGAGATACAGTACTGGAGTCCATGAAGCTCATGGACTCCCTGGGGAGGCTTTGAGACTATCAAGTGCTAACACAGCTCAGTCACGTGCTGTGGGAGCTGATACAGGACACAGATGTTACTAATAATATGAGCATTTTAAAAAATTTAAATGGGACCTTGAAGAATGAGTTCATCTCACTGAAGAGTTCAAAGAATTTCAGGAAAGAAAAAGGTCTAAGCAAAGGCAAAAAGGGTATGAAATGAAATAAGACTACATGGAACACACTGAGCCTGCGGCCTGACACTTGGTAAGAGTTCAACAAATGGCGTTGTTGCCTTGAGGAGGATAACGATGCTGACTCACAGAGCACAGGCGGCAGTGGTGGACAATCAAGCAGAGAATAAGCTGGAAAGTAGGCTGGTGAGTAATGAGGTAACTTTTGTGTGCCATGTTAAGGATTTCCGACACTATCCTGAAAGAAATCAAGCACTGTCCAAGATTTTTAAGGAAGGAACCAACATGATGCGCTGTTCAGAAGGATCACCTCATTAGTCTATGGAGGAGGGGTTGGTAGGCGTAGCCTAGGCCTCGGGAACCTACTACACATGGTGACCTTATGTTGTATTAGCCAATGACCTGGTGTGAGGAAAGGAACGGACGCTGGATATCAGGACTGTGTCTTCTGTATTGCTATGCACCTGTCTTTATAGGTAAAAAAATGACCAAAAAAAGAACTGGCTATATTTTTCTGAAGCATACATACCCTTGTGGCATTGGTAGAGGGTATCTTCAAGAGGCATATCATAATTCTCAAACTGGAATCTAAAGAACACTGTGAATAAACATGAAGAAAGAATTCAGTTCCTTTAACATATCTTTTGTACATCGTATTTCTTATATTTATTTTTGTAAAAAGAAAAATCTGAAATATAACTACCTCTGTTCAGTTTCCCATGCCATATATTCATGTTGAAAACAATTATTTTAGGTTAAAATATTTTAATGAAACAATTAAAATAAGTAAATAATTAAACACAGCTTCTAAACTATTTTTCAAAGACACAGCTCTAGAATTTAATCATACAGAAAGTTGCACAGAGAATCAGATAGCCGGCTGGATGAATGGACACGCAGGTGGACAAGAGGACTTTACATAAATCCAGTTCTAAAGAGATAACACTAATTTGTAAACGGCCATGTTAGAAATAGAACAAAATCAAACTTATTTAAGAATGATTAGTCCAAATAAGAAATAGTTTCACCTTCACTTTCTCTGCCATGAAAAGACATGAAAAAAGTCTGAGGGAAAGTATTAAAATTTTTATAAGGGAAAAATTAGACTTTCAAATTTATTAGAGTTCCATTTTGGCAAAACTTCACATCAAAATGTACTTTTCAAATTGAGTTTACTGGGACTTGGGGGAAATGTTACAGCAAGAATAAACAACGAGCGGGGCATGGTGACCCACGCCTGCAATCCCAGTAGCTGTGGAGGCTGACGCAGGAGGATCACAAGTTCAAAGCCAGCCTCAGCAACTTACTGAGACCCTGTCTTAAAATAAAAAATAAAAGGGCTGGGGATGTGGTTCAGCAGTTAAGCAACCCTAGGTTCAATCCCTGGTACCAAAAAAGAGAATAAAGGACAATATTGTTTAACATTCTGAACACATCACAATAGCAGGCTACAGGTCAATTTCTGCAGCTGTGTATTTTAATCTCTTTAAGATACTGTAAATTAAGCCAGTGATTCTTCAGGTGGAATCCCAGGACCAGCAGCATGCCCATTACCTGAAAACTTGTTTGGCTGTCAATCCCCTGGCCCCACCCCTACTGAATCAGAACTCTCAAATCAGTCCCAGTGATCTGTATGTTAGGGACACTGATGCACACTGGAGGTTGAGACCCACTTTTCTAAACTGGTGAAACCATGTGTTTTTCAAAGGCTTATAATTTCCTCGGAGATGAAAAAAAAAACAGAAGCAGTGCCCAGATCTGACCCAGCAGGGGAAATTCTTACATAAATACTGAAAGCATCTCACAAGTACTTTCTAAAGGAACTGCTGGCCTGTTTAATGTGCTCAATACCCATCACGGTTGATGTGAAATTTACTTAATTTAAACCAGGGGCTGAAAACTGGCTGCTCATGAGGCCCTCCCAGTGATTTAAAAATCAGGAAATGTCATCCTAGAAAAGATGGGAAAATCCACAACATGACACCTCATTTCTCATATAACTACTGGGGTAGCAGTTGACCCCAGCAGAAGGACTGGTACATTACAATTTTTAAGAGTCTGGTCCCAATTCTTATTATTATCTTAGATCATTCCACTTTAGTCATTAACCTTGTAGGCAGGGTCCCTACGGGCAGAGCTGATTATCACAAACTAGGCATTTCAGTAATTTATAGCTGGCAATACTTCCAACTGATCAGTGTTCATGTTAAATATTTTGACTATCACATCTGCACCTGGTCATTCGAATTTGTCATACCTGCTGCACTCTTCTTAGAGTATGTGGCTTATTAGCAATAAATGACCCTGAATAACTCTGGTCTAAAGGAGATTCTATGTGGCTGAGTTAAAACGCATATCCTTGATTTGTTTATGCATTATGTACAGTAGTTATATACAGACATACTTTCAAAGTACTAATCCTCCTTGCTTGGCTACTCCAGATTTGTGGGTAAACAAGGATCACAGAATGAGAGAAGTAAAGATCCTTCCTGTGTATCCCTGTTTTGCAAAGAAATGTCAAACTCAAAGCACACAGAAAAAGTTAAGGGTCCCTGACTCATCATCCTTACAGACCCTATTAGCAGTCTGCCAATTTAGTAACAATGCAGGTGGCTGATCTCTACAAAATTTTACATTCGTATAATACTCATTTCAGAAGTGGAGTTGTTAACATGTTACTTCACTTGTCAGATCAAGAAGCGATTCATTTGATTTCAAGTTAATTAAATCGTGCACAAAAAACAACCCAGATAATAATCTTCACTCTGCAGTGGACAGATTCCTTCTAGCCCTTTGGGATTTATCAAATCACTCAAGACTTTGCTTCTTGTGTTGCTCTCTAGAGATAAATGGTCAAAAGATAATTCACAGTGAAATCTGGAATCAGCTTACCTTCAGAGGTAAAACACAAGGCAGCTTGGCAAAAAATGTCTGAAACTGGTTGCTGATTGTGGTCCAGAGGCTACTAGGAGAATCCATGGGCAAAGCTTCCATGAAAGTAGCAATGTTTTCCAAACAGCGTATCATAGCACCCCCTGCTGGTAAATTCTTTTTGTTATTTAGACCCTAAAAACAAAAGCATAGGCAATCAACTGCTGAAACAGCATGGGAATTCAGACAGCTATTTGTTGAAGATCAGTTTTAAAATCACATATTCATGCTATATACATGCCTTGAGTGCCTACCATATGAGGCAATCATTGCAATAAGCAGGAGAAATGTAAAGAAAAATAGACACGTTCAGACAAACTCCAAGGAGTTGGGATCTTTTGATTGAGAGGTGAAATGTGAGCAACAAATAAGAAATATCTTCTTAGGAGCTATCATTGATGTAGTTAGGTGCTAAAAGGACAAAAAAAATGTTGCTGGCTGGAAAGAATTCTCCAGAACAAAGACTAAAACTTAAAAATTAAGGAGCAGGAGCTTCCCTTCTAGCAATGGCTGAATGACCAGGCCTCGGAGCAGAGGCTTGAACCTGAGTCTTGCGATACAACACTGCTCTGTGAATAAGCACATAGCGGATCTTGGAATCCAAATCTCGCCATACAGTAATGCTCTACCCACCATTCATTTTGAAAATTCAGAGCAGGATAGTTTTGTGGAGGTGAGTTTTCAATCCTGGGGTTCACCACTTAGTTGGAAGTCTAGAAGTTTTAAATGAATAGAAATACACACAAAATCTAAATTTAATTTTCAAGTTAAATGACTTTGGATTTCTCCCGCTGGAGTACTCAATGGAGTGACTCAAATAGGGCATGCAATTTCATCTGGGGCCCAGGGTGTCATTAAAGCAAACCTACCTCCAAGAGCTGGCTGAGAGCAGCAATAGAGCTCAGCTCATTGAAGTCCATGAGAGATGTGGCTAAGGTCCGCAAAAAAGTCCCATCTGCAAAGTGAACAATCAGCTTTAGTAGAGATCGGGTTTCAGAGACTCAGCAAGTCTGTTGTGTCCAGACCTCAGCGGGGGAATTACCTTTGATGGTGCTCTGGAACAGCTGCGGGAAGATGCCATTTGGGGCCAGTTGATGGAAGATGCAGCGCAGGAACTGCTTGGCCACCCCTGCTGCATTGCCAGGAACCATCATGCTGCGTTCCAGCAGGGAGAGAAGATGCAAGAGACCATGGGCCAAGAGTCTATTTATTTATTTTTTTTTTTAAGCATTTACACAACAATCTTATGTAAAACCTGTCATTTCCATCAGTGAAATAAAATAGTCTAGTCAAACCTAATCCCTGTTAACAATTTTTTTTTTTTAGAAAAAGAAAACCATAAGGGCTGGGAGTCTTGCTTGGCTCAGTGGTAGAGCACTTGCCTGGCATGTGTGAGACTCTGGGTTCAATCATCAGCACTGCATATAAATAAGTAAAAGATCCATTGACAACTAAAAATAATATTTAAAAAAAAGAAAGAAAGAGAAAATCATGAAATTCCAGAGTGATCCCTGGCTTGCTGTAGGCCTCCTAAAGTATGTATGAGGGTTCCCAGGACCAGTGGGGAAAGGTGACCTGCAAAGGCCTCATGTCTAGAGAATGGCAGAGTTAGGGCAAGAACCTTGGATGAGAACTATCAGCAAGATCCTCCCAAGAAAGTGTAATTGGCTAAGCAAGAGCTGTTCTTAGGGAAAATGCAGTGAGGGAGAGGTTCTTCCCGGCTGGGAGACTGGGGAGTCTTCCTGGGGCACCCAAGCTGGCACCTGTGGAAAGGATAGGACTTTGACAGGTGCATTTCCTCCACCCACTGTTCACTTCTGCATGTCAAAAAGGGGAACCAAGAGATCTTCATGTGGCCCTGCCCCTTAGACCAAGGGACCAGAAGGGAGACTTCCTGAGGTGGTTAGTAAGTTACCAGAAGGAAGAAAGAAGAAATCAAACCACTCAGGTAGGTGAAGGGTGAAAAGTTCTGCTTACCTAATTATAATAGGTATAATTATACCTCATTATGCAAGCCCACCCTGAAATGCTGGTTCAAACTTTTAAGCCAGAAATGTTCTTCAGGAAAAAAAAAACCCAAATGTATAATAACTTTAAGAAAATAGAGAAGAGAAGAAGGGAGCCTTTTCCACTTTGTTTTATGGGACTGCCATGACCCTAAAGCTAAAATCAGATAAAGTCATTATCAAAAGAAAGAAAGAAATGAAACTAAAAAGGAAACCAAAAAGAAATGGTAAGAGATAAAACAGACTTATACTTCTCATGGACACTGAATCCAACTATAGATTAAAAGAATGACAACATCATGACCAAGTAGGGTTTATCTAAGGAATATAGGAATGGTTTAATAATAAAAAATCAGTCAGTGTAATTAAATAAATTAAAAAGGACAAAACCTTTTGATTATTTCAATAGATACAAAAAATACAATTTACCAAAGTTAACACACATTCATGATTTTAAAAACTCAATAAACTGGAAATGGGCGAAGATCCTCAATTTGCTGAAGGGCATCTGTGAAAAACCTATAGCTAACGTAACTAGCAGTGAGATACTGAATATTTTCCCTGTATGGTAGGAAACAAAGCAAAATGTCCACTCACACATTTCTATTACTTGTGGTTCTAGCCATTGTAGTAAGGTAATAAAAAGAAATAAAAGCAAGATCAAAAAGGAAGTAGTAAAACTATCACTGCTGATATGCTGTTTTTCCATGCAAAATCAAATCCTAAGGAATCTACGAAGCAGCATCTGGAACTAATAAATGAATTTAGCTGGGCTATACTTAATATATAATAAACAATTTATATTTATATACCAGCAACAAAATGTTGAAAATAAAATTTTTCATAATTCCATTTACATTAGCATTAAAAAACAAAATTCTTGAGAATAAATTTAACAAAAGATATACACAAAATCTACCTGAAAACTAAAAAACACTGCTTAGAGAATGTAAAGATCTAATGAAATGGAGATACATTATCATGTTCATGAATTGAATATTTCAATGTCATTTATGTCATTTATATAAAATTGATTTATACTTTTAATATAATCCCAGAAGGCTTTTTTGATAAAAAAATAATGAGAAGCATTAAAAATTTATATGGAAATGTAAAGACTCTAGATATCCAAACCAATCTTGAAAAAGATAAGTTAAAGTTGGAGGCCTCATACTGCCTGATTCAAGACTTACTACACAGCTACTATAATCAAGTGTGGGTATTAGCTTAAGGGTCAACACATAGAACATACACAAAATACATATAATAGACCTGCCCTTATATGGTATTTTGAGTTTAACAGACATTGTAGGGATCCATTGAGTTTTTTACATTTTTAATGATGCTGAAATAACTATATCCACCCTGGATAAAAAGAATGCCCTAGCCCTAATTCACACAATACATAAAAATTAATTTGAGATGGATCATATAAATGCTAAACATAAACACTAAAACCATAAAGTTTTAGAAGGAAACATTGGGGAATATCTGCATGACTTGGAAGGAGACAAAATGTTCTTAGACAAATAACAGGAAGCAACAATTGTAATTTTTTAAAAAGTTTTAATAAATTAGAATTCATCTGGATTAAATATTCCTCAGCAAATAATACCATTAAGAAAAGGAATAGATAAGTCCAAGACTGGGTGAATATGTTCTTCAAATATTTAATAAAGGACTGTATTCAGAATATGTAAAGAATTCCTACAACTCTGGATAAAGACAACAATTCAATTAAAAAGATGCAAAAGATTTGAGCAGACATTTCACAAAAGAATATATCAAAGGATGGAATTTAAAACTACAATGAGATACCCACTAAACACCCACCTGAGTGGTTAAAATTTTAAGTCAACAACACTAAATATGGCAAAGATGTGGAACAATCCCAAGTCTCATACATTGATGATGGGAATATAACATGGTTACTATTTTATACATAACAGAAATGTTACAACAATCTCTATATAAGCATCTTTATGTAAGAGAAGTGCTGGTGATTTCTTATGACATTAAACATACTCCTATCCTGTGAGACATGAATCCATCCCCAAGAGAAAATGCAAACATTTTTTACAAAAAGGCTTGTATAAGAATATTCATAGCAGTTCTATTTATAATTGCCCCAAACCAGAAATAACCCAAAGTCTTTCAACAGAAAGTGAATAAACAAACTATAGGACACTATTCAGCTCTGGAAAAGAAACAAACTACAGATATAAGCAACAACATGGATAAATCTCAAGACACTGTTGAGTAAAGCAGTCAGACACAAAAGAGCATATGTGGTTTAATTCCATTACATGAAGCCCTACGATAGACAAAACTAATCCATGGTAGAAGAACATCACAATAGTGTCGGCCTCTCTGGAGGCGGACATTGGCTTTAAGCATTTTCACTCCCCATTACTAGTGGGATTATTGTGTTGTAGCTGCTGCACACACAGAATGCAGGCAGATCAGGGTGAGAAAGGCAGTTATGCAGGTTTGTGACTTGTCTTTTGGGAAGGATACCCAAGAGAAAAATAATACCCAGTCTTTCATATCTTGTGACTAACATAACTTCAGGTGGTTAGCATTTAGTGGGTGATAGCCACTCATGGTGCTGGCTCTCACCTAGGCCCTCCACCTCAGTAAGTGGCACATCCCTCCACCAGTTGTTCATACCAAAGCCTGGGTGTCATTCTTGCCTCCTCTCTACCTCTGCACCAAACATCCAATCTATCAGAAAATTCTGTTGGCTCTATGATATTTCCTTTATCTAGAGTACTTCTAAAGTATTTCCTGAATTATCCTTAATGTGACAACTCCTCACCACCTGAGAGCAAGTCACCATCCTCCTCTACTTGCTCCACTGAAATGGTTTCTAAACTGACTTCCCTGCTTCCACTCACTCCCGTGACTTGTTTTAAATCATATAAGCCAGAGTGATCTTTTATTTTTCTTCTTTTTAATTCTTCCTTTTTAAAATTTTTAATTTTAGCTAAGATACACTGGCACACACCTGAAATCCCAGAGGCTTGGGAGGCTGATGCAGGAGGATCATGATTTCAAAGCCAGCCTCAGCCACTTAGTAAGGCCCTAAGCAACTTAGGGAGTCCTTGTCTCAAAATGAAAAATAAAAAGGGCTGGGGATGGGGCTCAGTGGTTAAATGCCTCTGAGTTCAATCCCTGGAATAATAATAATAATAATAATAATAATAATAATAATAATAATTTCCTTTCTAATAAGAACACAACATAAGACTTATCCTCTTAAATTTTTAAGTGTGCAACACATTATTGTTGAGTCTAGATACAGTGTTGTAGAGCTCCTTAACTGACATTTATGCCTGCTGATTGATTCCCTACTTCCCCTTCCCTAGACCACCAACATCATTCCACTCTGAGTCTAGGAATTTGACCAGAGAGTGATCCTTTCAAAGCACAAGATCAAGTATGTGCTCCAATGGCTCCCTGTTTTATTCAGCGACAGCTCAACTTCTTAAGTAACCTATGGGGCTTTACCTGGCCTGGCTCCCACTACCTGGTCCATCCCATCTGCCATCCTTTCTATGCTCATTTCAGCCACATTATTAGTTCATCCCCTAAATGCACCAGGCATTGTCCTAACTTAACACATCTGCCCTGGCTGCTGGTTCCATAAAGCACCGCATGGATTGCTCTTACTCTGCTCAGGCTTGGCTTAATTATCTCTTCTGCAGAGAGGTTATCCTTGAGCACTGTATCTAAAATGACCATTTCCAGTCCCTCTCTAGCACCTACACTTTAATTGATTTTCATAGCACTTTGCACTAAATGATATTAAACCACATTATCAATTTACTTGTTGATTGATTTCCTTATTCCTCTTCAACTTGAATGTAGGTTCCATGAGAGCCAGGATTGGGTATGCTTTTCACCATTGTTTTCTCAACATCACTAGATAACCCCATAAACACTTGTTGGAAGAATTGATGTAAGTTTCTCTATACTTTTTTATTCATAACACTTAGTATGTTTTAAAATTACAAATTTGTGTGAATATTTCATTCATGTTTACCTCCCCAACAGAGCACAAAACCCCACCGAGGGTAGGAATCCAGTTAGTTTTGCCCCTAATTAAAGCCTAAGTATCGAGCACAGGGTAGGCTTAAAAGTATTCTTTTACTAAAACGAGTGAATTAATGAATGATAAACAAAGGCATGAACTCAAATCAAACAACTAGTGCTTTCTGGAATTGTGACTGGAACCAACAATAACCCTTTCTTGGAATAAGATCATGTCTTAGAAACAGGATGAACATGCACAGGAAACAAAAAGAAAGTGAGATCCGGGCCCATTGTAGGATCTTACCTTTCTGCTTGGTTAGAAAAGGTAGTGCTGGATGCCAATCTAGGAAACAAAGTAAACAGAGTCACACAAATTTCTTAGCTATTCATGATCAAATGCTGTAGTATTGAGGTGGACCTGTTGTGGTTCAGAAACAGGGGGACTTGTGTAACGCCTTTTGACCAGGGACAGAGGGCCCACTCAGAGGTCAGTGTCCCAGCCCCAAAAACCTGCCGTCTGCATTAAATCAGATATTTCCATAGAGTGACACATAGTCAAAATCAGTTTGCTGTCACTGGCCAACCTACAAAATGGCTTCCACTGCCAAGTCAGGACCATAGAAACCAGGACAATACTTGCCCAACTCATTCCCATGTTAACTCAAATTCATCAGTCTACAACCTCTGAAACCTGTCTACAAACAAATCACAAATTGTAAAAACCACTATGAGTTAGTAAAATAGATAACAGGTATTTGTCAGCTACCTGTTGAATAAAAACAATGAGAAAACTGTTGTATTGAGAACAGAAATATGTTAGGTTAAATAATCGATATATAACATAATTTTGGAAGGTATAATTATATGGTTCTGTATAAATGAATATCCCATATGTCATCATATACAAAGAGAATGTACTACATTGGTAGATTTAGAAAAATATATGTTAATCAGTAAAGCATTAAAGAAACAAATAGGGAGAGGGTCACAAATCAATTCACCTAAGGCTACAGAAGTGACCTGAGCCAAGAACCCATTTGGAGAGGAACAATGGCTCCCAGCTACCACTAACACCAGACAGGATTCCAGGCTGCTTTGGTTGTGGGTCCTCTCATTTTACAGTGAGTTGAAAGACATTTGCAAATAAACTGAATAGTAATTAAGGGTACAGGAAATGTGTATGTCTTAAAGAATGTACCTGAAAAAGGGGACAGGTAAAATTCAAGAGGCATCCAGGTAGAGAGCAAAATACAAACAAAATCTCATAGAGAAGTTCAACTAACAAATGAAAGGATTAGCTGAGTTTACAGAGTCTTAGAAAACCCTGGGAATGGTGCCTGTGCTCCTGACTGGCAGGGAGTAAAGGAAATGGTTGTAAATCCACATTGCCTCCTCCATTCTTTGCAGTGGAACTGAGGCATGTAATAAGGAAGCCCCTAATTAGGAAGTGGATGAATCTGTTCTCTTGGAAGCTTTGGCCATGAGGCTTAGGTTTCTAGAATCCTGACAGTTTGCATGAAATATTTTCCCTATTCCCCCTTAGTCTTCCAAAGAACAGATATATATATATATATATATATATATATATATATATATATATATATATATATATATATATATATATATAAAATATGCAAAAATGTGTCTGCTACCGTTTTTTCTTGCTTTTCTTCAAAGCTTATGTGTTTCCATCCTACTAATTGGCAATGCTTGAACATGGGTTATTCTAATTTATGTTAAAACAATAAAAACAATCCCCTCAATAACTTAGATCAACTGTTTCAAGAACATAATAACAGATCAAAACAATAATTCCATCTCCTCTGAAACTAAAAAGTATTGATAGTAGGAATTGTGACCATGCATTAATAACAACCCTCAATTCCATTAGTATTGCTGAAAGCTGATATAATGTTTATTCCACAATTATTAAGATCAGCCAAAATGAAGGGTTAAATGACATAGTTCATGTTTTCTCTTCTCCATATCCCCATGCTTATCACTTCCTCTGCATTCGGCCACTCTGAAGGTGAAGGTGGAATGGTTACACTTCACTTTATACTGTCTCTGCACATATGCTACAAAAAAAATCTGCAGAGAGGGAGATAACAGGGTCTTATACTTTGGGGGTCAAGTTTTTAATGTTTTTCTTGTTTACACTGAAATCAGTATTTCTTCATTTAAAAAAAGAGGTTTAATTTTAGCTCCATTAAGATTCATGCTCTTTCCTTCTCTCAAATGCCAGGAATTTTCAGAATTCAGTTCTTGTCCTACCCCAGTGAAATCTTTTCCTTCTATAGCACTTACACTCATATTACTCATCATAGCACTTAATCTATGTCCCACCTGTACCCCAGTGGCCATTCAACATAGCACTTAATCGATGCCCTGTCTATATGGCCACTCAATGTTTCTGCACAGAACTGTTCCTTCTAACAACTCAGCCATGAATCACTTGAAGGCAGGAGCTAGGCCTTAGTGCCTTTAGTCCAAAGCACCTACCACTATGTTAGCACAGCTTGGAAACTTAATTTTACTCAGTCCTCTATGTTATGTTTGTTACTGAATTAGAACTTTGTGCATATCCATGAAATACATCATCCATCTCCTATTGTCTTTCTACTAAAGGGAATTTTCTTTATATGAACACTCAAAATAGCTAAGCTTATTTTTCCCTCAGGCTGAAGGTCCTGTTCCCAAAAAATGTGTTTATCTTTCCTTTATCTGAGTCAGAAATGTGAAGCTGCTACATTTATTTACTTGCATTTATCCCCTCACATAATTAGGCCAAGTTGCATAGTTAAGTGAGGGTCCCTTGAGATTACAAAATACCTAGAGAATTCATCTCAAAATAAAAAGAGAGATAATAATAGTAATAATAATATTAGCTAATGAGGTGCTTAATATGAACTGATAGTTCTGAGCACTGTTACATATGTTAGCTCATGTAGTAAATACAAACAACAAACAGTACAAGAGCAGCTTCTTCTAGCTTCACTCTGACGTTGTAACTCATGAATCTACACAGCTGGGGAATTCAATACAAAATCAGTTCATTCTGTTTTTAAAACTAGTCTGAATTGGGCTGAAGTTGTGGCTCAGCGGTGGAGCGCTTGCCTCACATATGCAAGGCGCTGGGTCCAATCCTCAGCATCACATAAAAATAAATAAACAAAATAAAGGTATAGTGTCCATCTACAACTAAAAAAAAAAATTTAAAAACTAGTTTGAATTGATTCCACAGATATCTACAAGGTAAATGCATGCTTGCCTTTTGAACTGGTGGATTTTATCTCAAGATTTGTCTTGAGATAAACAACCAAACAACTCGAGCTGACCCTACCTTCCCACAGACTGCATGATGTCCAGCAACAGCGGGGCCGCCAGGTCGGGGCTTAAGTGAATGAATGTGGAGAGGACCACAATGGCCAGCCCGAGGGTTTCTTCATCATATTCTTCAAGAATGGCCCCACAGTCATGGCATCTGCAAGGAAAACGGAGGAATGCTTTCCTGAAAGCCAACCACTGTTTCAAGATACAACATACAACACACAGTCATTTCTCATGAGTCTTGGAAAAGCCCCCAAAAGGAGGTAGTGTCCCCACTGTAACAATAAGCGGGAGACCTAGGGCCACCACCACCACAGATGCAGAAAAAACAACACTTGGCAGAGGTGGTGGAAGTCCCTTTAATTACTGAAAATACTCTTCAAATTCACAAGCATCTGGAAAATGGGAGTTATTGAGCCCTGTTGGAATGAGCATCAGCTGAACTATCGGTGTGAAGCTTCTGTGAAAATATGGCTAGAGATTGTCAATGACTAGATAGTTTTCTCATTTTGTCAAAATGAAAAATGGCTAGGCATGAATAGAAGCTTTCAAACAATGTTCTATTTGTGGGTAAGAGATAGGGAACTTGAGTGAAGATAACAGTTTAGAAAGCCTGGGGGTCTCAATTGAGTCCCTTCTCTACCAGTCACTTAGATCAATTTTATGAATTTACTGAGCTTAATGTGTGAAAACACAAACAATGGTACCTGCTCTTAAGTAACTTACAACTTACTGTTCCTCATGCGTTCTAATGTGAGTTCCATTTAATTAAACTCAACCAAGGCAGCTTTATACAGTGGGAGGAAATAGCAAGGGTCCCAAACTATGATTGCTGTTGTGACCTTCTATTTGAAACCCTCCTAAATATAGGTAAAAATAAAACAAATAAGTAAATAAAAGTTTTCTTGCAAAATGGCTTTTATATAGCCTTCATATTTGTAACCAAAAAAGAAGAAAAACGAAGTAAATATGAAGCAACTAGGAAAAATTGGGACTTGGGAGGGGGAAGATGAGAAAGGAAAACATTACACTAGAGGAAGAGCCAAGAAGAGCCCTCCCAGGTAATACAAAGCTCCCCAGGTGGACATCCCAAGGCCACTTCAGCAAGGACTGTCAGATGGTTACTGGATGAGAGCTGAGGAATTAAGACTTGTAGGATTTCAAGTTTAGAGAGACCCCTTTGGACCAGGACCAGGTATGAGTATCCATGTAGCTGGAATTCTTGGTCCTGGCCCAAAGGGACCTCTCCAAACTTGAAATCCTGCAAGTATAACTCTATCATATTCACTGAGCAAGCATTTATGTGCCAGTCAATATACAGGGAACTTAGGGTATAAAATATAGAAGAAATGGTCCTGGTCCCTAAGGAATTCCCAATCTATTACAGAACATGTATGTGTTATTTAAGAAAACACATATAACATGCAATGTGGTAAGTGCCATGATAGAGATGCACCGGATGCAGAGGAGGCTGGAGAATGGCATGACTGATGCTGCCTGGTGGAATCAGGGAACTTACCTTCACCTGGATCTTCAAGCATGAGCAGTTCACAAAAGGGCACACAGGGAGGGCACAGCAGGGCACACAGGGAGGGCACAGCAGGGGGGCTCTGGAAAAGGGGAGGGGCTGGGAAAGGGGTCCTGGTGAGGAGTGGGAGGGCCGAACCTTCCCAAGCTGAAGGACCTTATCCAAGAAACCAAGACAACTGTGCTTGGGCCTAGAAGGGCTTTAGGGCTATTGGAGGTTGACGAGCTGAGAGCTGACACAATCAGTTTAAGAATAGATTCTGCTAGCAGGATGGAAAAAGAATGGAATATCATCCTTATTCCCAATCTAACAATTTGAGGTTTCTTATTGAGGGGTTTTATAGGTGTGAAATTATTACTAGGGATAATAAGTGAGTGACATTATTTAAATTTATTCAAATAAAAAAAGAACAATGCCTAAGCACAAAGAAAAGGTGTTCATAAGACAGCATTCCTAAATCACAAACACATACCAACACTTACAGTTACAGCCTTTTGAAGAACAAATTATGACTTAAAAGCAGAATTTGCTTCCTCTTATCCTTTCTCACAACTCTGATGACCAAACTCTAATTCTATGTGCACTCACTTGTCAGTCATCACCGTTGGCTGCTCGTCAGTGAATTCTTCAGGAGCAGGTACAAACATGCTCACTATGCTGGGTGCTGACAGCAGGCTGGATTTCGTGGCACCTGGGTAAGCAGCAAAGAGACAACCAGTAAATAAAGTTCAGCTCCTGGGATCAGGAAAGTCCCCACTCTGCTCTTACAGCCCTCCACAGATCACATTCAAAGGATTGCAGCCTGGACATCCAGCTGCATTGTGGAAAAGCTTCAATGGTATGATGAAGTCAAGAACTATTGTGATTTGTCTCTACTTCTATGATTTTAAGAACTGGATGTCTATGTCTCCCTTGCCTCTTGACTTTGAAAATATCTGAAAGCATTCAGATGTACCAACTAGGTACTAAAACAAAAATGACAAATCAAGAGGGAAATCTATTCCAGGGTACTCTTAAGTCAGTCACCCCCTCATTTGCCAGGCCTCAGTGGAAGCTGTCCATGTTATACGTCATTTCTAAAGGCACCATATATATCACTATTAAAGTGTTGCTAACGAGGGAAGAAAATAAGATCCCAGGGTATATATGAGGTAGAAATATCACTGCAAATTTTACTTTGGAAATTAATATCATAAGCTCCAAACCAAAAGACTATTTTTCAAATTGAAATATTTATGAGTGAAAATGCAAGTGTTTTTAAGATACCATTTAGTAACTCACTTGACTTTGGCCAATAGTATCATCATGTTTAAAACTTTGGGTTTCACTTTCTTCAAAGAAATCTGAGGCAGGACTCTTAGCAACATGCTCCAGTGATGAGCAAAGTTGGAGAATCAGGAGGGTATTCTCCATTAAGGAAGCCACAGTGTTGGAGAGGTTTTCCAGAACCATGCAAATGAAGCATCAAAAAAGATCCCAAAGCAGCAGTTTAGAATAATACCATGTTATACAAAGAATCCCTGAGACTGTGTTCTTCAAACAGGAAAGAAGGCAGAAGAAACCAATGACCGTTAAGAAATCCACTTCTCAAGGAACTTGGTACTGGAAAGAAATTCCATCTCTCCTTAAGCAGAAGAAAAACAATTCAGAGAATTGGTTTCTAAAGGAATCAAAATAAAATGTTTAGAAACCTAACCAAGTAGACAAGTGTTTCAATCTGAGAGGAAAAAAATGGGATAAAAGTGTTCAAAACAATTGAGTTACTTCCATATTATAGGCTACAAAAGGTACTTAAGAGAAGTGGAAGACCTGTAATCCCACAAGGCAAAGAAAAGTATCCAGAAACGTGTACTTCATGTCACTCCCTAAACTCCTAAGTGGGAATACAGATTTTACTACAATATTCATCAGCTGTCTCTGAGATAATGTTCTTTCCAAAATATACCTCAGAGTGTCATTAACAAAGATATCTGCTTCTAGAAGATGTTTCTTTGAGTGGAAGCAACTTTATTACAAGCATAACTATTAATTGATTAGTAAATCGAAGAAGCAAGAACTAGGCCAAGATAAAAGAAGACATACTTGATTATTAAACAGCATGGTAAACAGCATGAAGTTGCTTCAAGAAACCAAAACACAGAAAGTTTAAATATAATTCTTCACATTTCTTGAACTCTGAACCATATGCCAAAATGCCTGTGCTAAAAGCAGAAGAATTAAGCCCATAATGGTGACACATAATCCAGACCTACTACAAACATGAAAAAGTAATTCAACAAACAACTCTGTGTTAAGGCTGTGTCAGAGGATTATTGTCAATTTCTGTTACACTGTAATCACAAATAAAGTCAAGTAAAAAGAGGGACCCAGTCGTTTTTGTGTTTTCAAAACAGTCATCACCTAAGGAAGAGGTATTTTTGACAACAGCATTGTGAAGTTGTTGTTCATATGACAATACAGAATATATGATGCAACATTTACAGCAGTCATCTAGGAAGGCAGGTAGGTTGCAGTACTGGGCACTGGTCTCACAGGATAACACTAGCTGAATCCATGGATTTCTGAATCCTTCTGCTGATGTGGGAACAAAGAATGATGTACAAGGAGAAGATGGGAAATGCAAGAACAGAAGCTGGAGACCTTAACTCCCTTTTGCTATAGCTGAGTCACACCACAGCTAAGACTGCAGTGTTGTTCCCAGTTGCTGCCAACACTTCTGCCAACACTGACACTGCTGGCTCCCCTCCTGACTATCCAGAATGCCCTCTGTACAGAACTAGAAGCAGAAACAGAATGTTCTCAGAAACTTGAAGAAGGAGGGGACCTCCGCAGCCCAACTTCAAAGCTGGAGATGTTGATAAAAGTCTCTCTGAGAATCTTGGAGACAGGAGAAACCATGAAGTTGACTCTTCTGTTCACCATGAAAGAGAATGACTTTCCATCTTTGTTCCATTTTCCTCATTGCAATTTTGCTTCTACTGAATCATAAACAAGCACCAGAGATTTGTATGACCCACCTGGCTTCCACTCATAAAGGTGAGAAGAGTCTCACCTGATCTGATACAGGAGCTGAAGCTGCTACTCACTGCCAACAAGTGTTGAGGGAAACCAGAGATAAACATTTCCATCCTCCTTAGGAAACCCAGAAGAGTGGCATGGGCTAGAAAAACAGACCTACTTGATGTAAGGGACTAACTGTGAGATGGAATCACTATTCTTTTAAAAATTTTTTTGTAACCAATGATAGGTTAACTTCCTTCGAATTTTAAAAAGAACAAAGTAAGGATTAATTACCTTTGTAATTAAGATTTTGAAGTTGAATTTTGAAAATAAAAACTCTGATGCTGTTAGCATAGATTTATGCTTAGCTGGCTACCATCAACAACATAAAATCAAGTGTATGTTTTCAACATACCCCTCCAGCAGCTGAAAAGAAGCTATTTGCCTATGATCACAACATACTAGGGACAAGGTGATACAGAAAACTGACACACCTATTAGGAGGAATACCGAGGGGTCTAGGGCCTAGAAACAACAGAGAATAAGCAATAGGTGGATATTTTCAAATGTCAAGAAAACTGGTGGATACTAGGCTTTTATTGTGTGGCCTGAAGGGCTAGAAAGCCATGATAAGGAAGACCTTTCTTCTGGTCATGTTATAAGATGAACTGTCGTGCGTTCAGTCCCCGAAGGTGTTTTGCAGAGGCTGCATCACTTCATGGAGCTGCTGAAGAAAAGGTTTCAGCACCTGCTCCTGTTGGGTGACTCGGTGATGGACACGTACAGTCTTGCAGCTCTTACAGGCTGAGACTCTGACTCAACCAACCTCTCATTCTCAACGGCTGTCCCTCCAGGTCAGGGTTTAGGCACATTGGCACATTACACTGGCGTTTCCCAGGCTGTATCTGTTCTGTGGATAAATAGAGCATTTCAGTCTTCAGTGTGGTCAGGTGACTACAATTCACAGCACAATGAATATAATCAATAATCTCTTGGGGCCCTTTTTTTGTCATCGCTATTGTAGACTGTTAACATTTAAAGGATACAGCCTAGACTTTAGGGTAGGATTATTTGAGGTTTTGATACAAATTTATCATTCAATTAAATGAAATATACCTGAAAATAGGAGACCACCCAAAACTATCCCAAAAGAGGCCAGATCCCACCATACCTCAAACAAGTGCAAATCCTGTATCTCCTGATATGAAATGAAAGGTCAATGTCACGGCCATGAAAGAAATGTTTTATGCAAACCAATGAATACATAAGTGATAATTTGATGTCATGGCCAGAAAGTTCATACAGAAAACACATGGACCTGGTAGAAGGAAATTATAGGCGTTTGAGGGATGGAGAACAGAAATGAAGGGTGACAGCAGAAATGGAAGACAGGTACCTCAGGAACATTTGTTCACATGAAAGACAAGACAGAGAAGCAAACCATGTAGATGTGTCCTATGGAGCAGAGGCAGGTGCTCTGTGAGCCAGTGGTGAAAGCTAAGGGGAATCGTGTGACCCATGTTTTAGGCTGTCATTCTCTGTACGCCTACATGACAAGATCTGTTCTTGTAAAGATGTGGTTTAGAGTGACATGGCACTCAGCACCGTACTACACATTCATGGGCTCGCTTCTGAGCTTAGACATGGGAAGTACTTTTTACAACACAAATTTTAAAAAAGAAGATTGAGATGAAGCTCTAGTCGCAGATGAAGACAAGAGAACCAACTCGGAGGATAGAAAACGAGCCCAGGAAAACTCAGGTGAAAGAAATTCAGACAGTATGTAAATGGGAGGTATGAAATGAGAAACCAGAGTGACATGAACAAAGTTGAAATCTGGTTAAAAAGTGAGAAATTCAGTTAAATGGGTTATTTAGCATCATGTTGGTTTTTAGATTAAAATTCAGATGAAAATTGAGATCAATTGGCCATTTCATAACTTTACTATGTCAATCAAACTAGGTAATTATAGTCAAAATCTAAAATGGTTAGTATAGGCTGAGCCACTAATTACAAAAAACAATAGCATGGCAAAATAATTTTCAAAGCCCCAAGTCAACCTGGACATCTAATACCTGAGACCTAACCAAACAAAAGTTGGTTCTCATTCCTTACATTGCTTCATCTCAAGAAAGAAACACAGTCCTCTTTGGTCTAGATAGAAAGTATTTACCCCAAACAAATAAACTCTTGAGGCTGGCTATCCAGGGTCTGTCTCCTCACCTCTGCCTGTTTGTATTTGGTTTTTCACTGCTTACTACCACCTATTACTAAATGAAGAGAAAACATTAAGCCTTAAGTTGACCTTACAACCATTCATAGGAATGCAGGCCTGTAATCCCAGCAGCTCGGGAGGCAGAGGCAGGAAGATCTCAAGTTCAAAGGCATCCTCAGCAACTTTAGCGAGGCCCTGAACAACTTAGCGAGACTCTGTCTCAAAATAAAAAAATAAAGAGGGCTGGGAATGTGTCTCAGTGGTTAAGCACATCTGGGTTCAATCCACAGTACCAAACCAAAACAATTCAACCTTATAAAGTCCAGGAGAACTGAAATGATTTATTCCATGTGGAATTGGGTGTGGTGTGTGGAGTTTGGTTATCTAGAAGAGCTCTCTTGTTTTGAAGAATAATGAGGGCAAATAAGATGGCTTACTCATATGCCAGATTTTTGAATTTGTGGACACTGTACTTCCTAATTGTAAGAAAGAATATTAAAATAATCTCTTGTAACTGCAGCCAGGAAGTACTAACCAAGATGCTAAGAGTCCAGGTGCTGGCCTCCAAGCATATCACAATAATAAACCTTTGTATTTTCATATGCATGCATGCTGCAGAGTGCATTCACACATATAATCCTGCAACTCAAATGACCCATTTAATTTATAAAGGAAAAAAAAAGAAGGGTGGGCACTTAAAATAGGATTGCAGCATATTGTTGACTGGAGAAGGTAGTACATATACAGAACGTGGGAACCAAGATTAAAAAATGCAGACAGATCATGTGTAAAGTAGACATGTCTTGAGGCTAGATCCAGTTCCATCTTAGGAACATGAGGGTGAGCAGCTGCAGCCTAGGGACCTTGTGACTAAAATAGGACTCAGATTCCCAAACCAATGGAGATCAGGGAGTCGCTAAGCTAAAATTCTTTATTACTATTATTATTACCATTTATTTAATTGTTGCTACTTTATAAAAAATATTGATAATTTAGTGAATGTGTGTGTGTTTTAATTTGCATCATGAGATCATAGTTCCATTCCCTCCTCAGACTGATAATCTAAGATCTGGAATCAAGGTTTTAAAGGAAAAGAGAATCAGACCAGCTTAGATGAATAAACATGTTACTCTGGAACACTTGGAAAGTTTGCATAGACTTACTAATTACAGTAGTTTTTAAAAATTATTTGAACCAAATAATGTGAGAGAAAATGTATTCCTTAACAAGGGAGCAAAGTGGACACAGAGAAAGTGGCATTAGCTAATCTGAGAGGTAAAACAAGAAGAAAAGGCTGACCCACCAGTGTCCCAGTTGCTGATGTTATGGGGGGCGCTAGACTGATGTTCCAGCTGTCGCTTCATTAACTGGCTCATTGTGAGAACGCCCAGGGATCCCCTTTTCATCTGCCTATACTGAGCTATATGAAGGAAATTAGGAGATGATTACCAGGGGGCATCAATTTCCAAAGCACACAAAGGCTCTACACAACCATATGAGTCCTAATTGAACCTTCATTGGTAGTCATAATTTTTGGTAAATTATATGCTCCTGTCCAAGGGAAAAACTGAGGCATTCTGCTGTTTGAAGTGTCTTTCTTTACTCAGACAATAACAGTACACTTTAGCAATGATCTACTGCCTATAAATATCCCAGTAACAACAAAATGAACTATGATTATTCTCACTTATTTTTTCCCTTATATACTCTGCTATATTCCAAAGAGGAATGAAGGCAGACACTACTACTTTGAATTTATAGCTCAACTGTCTTTAATGGAGCTTGCATGTACACAGTTTTAGTCTGCAATGTGTGTCCCATAAAGTCCCTAACTGTAATGTGTGTATGATGTGTGTGTGCACATATATATGTTGAAGTGGGAAGACATATACCCACCCCAATTTTTAGAGAAAGAAATTGAAGCAAATAGAAACAGTCAGCAACTGAGATGGTCCTAAAACCAGAACATATCAACTCCAAAGTCAATGTTGTTTCCAACCTCTGTAGGAGTTTCTGTTTATTGTTTGAAAAATGTTAATTGAATAATGTTCCACAAATATATTCTAGTACACATTTTTGTTTTAGAAAACAATGATAAAGTTGTTATCATTAAATTAAGAATTGGCAAATATCCCACCAGTGAAATGTCAAGTTACATGCAATTCCAAACAGGAAAACAGCAGAAAGCACTCTGCCAGCAGACTGTGGAGAGGCAGCCTGCTTCCTTCACCCCTCCCTACTCCATGGCACAGTTCCCCCCAGCCCAACAACCAGCCCAGAGTGAAAGACAGAGCATCACCCATGTGGCCTTTTTACATGGCCTCAAACATTGAATATTTGACAACTTGTGGTTTTTCGTGCTTTTATCAGGACAATTTGAGAAAATGAAGTTATAACTTACATGCCCTAGAAATGGATGGTAGAAACCAAGATGACTGTATGGCCCCTGGAAAATCTTGAATGTTATACATAAGTTTCACAGTCATACTGCCAAGGCAGCAATTTGGGTTGAGGTGAAATCAATTATAACATTATTTCTAATGTAATTAGCATGGAGTTTGATTTATGGTGGTCATGTTTAGCTACAAAATAATCAGCTGATAATTGAGCAACAAGCATGTGATGGGATTTCTTGTGTCTTGGAGTCCATATTAACTGAATTCAGGGAATGGACAAATCAACCTAATATTAAACAAGTCTGACTTTGTTGATTTGTAAAATTCACAAATTTTTTGACTCACTTTAAAAGTGCAGCTTTAAAATTTTTTTAAAAGCAGAAATCTTTCAAAAGAGTTAACAAATTTAAAAATTAGAAGTATCTTGCTTACTAAGTCAAATAAGAATTTAAAACCTCTAGTGACTGCAAAATTTCTCCAATTCTCAGTTTGGATTTGTTTTGTGGTGCTGGGGATGGAACTCAGGGCCTCAGACAGTCCAGATGAGTGCTCTCCACTGAGCTCCGACCTCACCTCTGAGTTGCTTTCAAAGGCAGCAGAATTTCTGAGAGTAAAAGCCTTTAATGTCTAAGGCACCTGGCATTATGGCTCCAAGAGCTCACCACCAAGAGTCACAACACACATGCTTTGAATGGCAAGGAGGGGAGATGGAAATTTAATGATATGCTGAGCTAAATCCAAAAAGGCTATGTTCAGTCATGACTTTGGGATCATGATACACATGACTTTGTTCAGTCACAATTTTGGTACATTTACTTTACAATACATTTTGTCAGCACTGAAGTCACAGGGACATAAACATCCTTGCTATCTCAAATTATACCTACTTGGTATTCATTATCTTTTTATTAATGATTCATGTAAATTAGGAAAAGAAAACACATTTTCATGACTCTGGTATGTGGACTTAAAAATTGGCCTTTTATCATGTTATAAAACAGGTATTTATGATAAAAGAAGAACAATTATATTGAGAACTAGCTGTTCTCTTTTGCCACCAAACAGGCAACGTGTCACTTGGAAACTGTCTCAGGATTTATATAATCTCTATCATAGTTGACTTGAAATTACTCTAAGGCAGTGTGGTACACTGAAAAGAACCTGAGCTCTAAAATCTAACAGAGTTGCATCAATTCCTTTCTCTATCACTTAGTAGCTGTATGACTTTAGGTAAGTCACTCAACCTCTTTGAACCTCAATTTCTTAATCTACAGAGTAGGGTCAACAATATGCCATGCAGTGCTAATGGAAGGATTGGTATGAACCATTCAGCATAGTGCCTGGCACATCTGAAGTGTCAAATAAATGGAAGCTATAATTATTCTTATGACTGTAAACTCCTTGAAAACATGGGGTATCTTATGTATTCACCTTTGATCCTCAGTGCCAAGCACAATGCCTGGCACCCAGCAGACTCTTAGTAAATAATTTCTGAATAAATGCATGAATGAATGGATGATGAAGATGATGATGTTCGTACTACCAGTCCAGCATTTATGTTAAGATCATTATCTGGCTTTTCAGGATCATTCATATTTCAAAAGATGGCCAAATGAAAATTAGCTCTTCAGGCAGTGTCCACATGGAACACAGAATTTATTGGCACACGTGACAAATGTTTGCAGAAGTTGCACCTTTGTATCTCTGATTCCTGTTTAGGATTTCCCATGCTAAAGTCTCTTAATTGACTCTGCTAAGTTGGATGGACACCTTGATGAAACATCACTGGAACTCAACAATAGAAGGCAGTTTCAAAGCACTAGCCTCCTATGGATCTTATAAATATCATGCCATCTTTACTTTCAGGGATCATGATCTGGGTTCATGATATATGGCATATTTATTCTATGATCAGCTAGATAAAATTTTGTCACTGATGCAGATGATTCAAATTAAATAAACATGTTGCATAAAATCCTGCCATGAACATTGATTTCCACATGTCATATAACCAATTCCATGCTTTACGTTTAGGCTCATAATAGATAATTTTTATTTTATTGAATGATAAAATTCAGTCATCATTCTTTAACAGATTAGGATTCTTGGTCAATCAATAATTACATGATTAAGCAAACACAGGAGATAGGTACAAAAAGTGGGTTGTGCTACACCTCAGTGTCTCATAAAACATACAACATAGTGCCACCTAGGAGGCTAAAACAATATTTTTTAAAGAGAGAAAACAACCAGATTGCACAATTGGAAATAGTACAGCAGGACTGTGTTCCAAACAATGCACAGGGGGAAGGACTCTTACTTGATATTGAGGAATGACTACTTGTTTCTGGAACATCTGCTTCTAATGTAGGGGCAGATGAAGATTCTCGTGGCATTTCTAAAGTTGAAAGTCCTTTAGTGGAGGGATCTACAAAGGAAAAATAATTTAAAACTCAGGACACTGAAGAAAAGCAAGTTCAAGAGCCTTTTCCATATCCTTTTCACTCTTGTCTATTAAACCCACTCAAATCTTTATGTTCTTTTTGGCTCTAATAATTACCTGAAGGGAATTGCATCCAAACAAGTTTCAGGGCTCTATAGGAGTTGATTCTACATTACCTTCTGCATCTATTGATGTGTCTCTTAGAAATTCATGATAGCATGACCACAAAGCTACAGCTCAGAATTTTTACCATGCACATCTTCAAATGAGGCACTTACCTTTTGTTATGTTTGGACCTGAGGTGTCCCCCCAAAGCTCACATGTGAGACAGTGCAAGAAGGTTCAGAGAGGAGAAGTAATTGAGTTGTAAGAATCTTAACCCAATCAACAATTTAATCCCCTGGTAGGAATTAACTGAGTGGTAATTGAAGTGGTAGGGTGTGGCTGGAGAAGGTTGGAATTGGGTCGTGGTTTGGGGTATATATTTGTATCTGGCAAGTGGAGTCTCTCTCTCTCTCTCTCTCTCTCTCTCTCTCTCTCTCTCTCTCTCTCTCTCCTTCTTTGTCAACATGATATGAGCTGCCTCCCTCCGCCACCCTCTCCCACCATAATATTCAGCCCCCCTCAAGCCCCATGGAATGGAGCCAGCCTTCTATGGACTAAGATCTCTGAAACTGTGAGTCCTCAAATATAAACTCTTCCTCCTCTACAATTGTTCTGGTCAGAACCTTTAGTCACAGCAGTGAAAAATCTGACTAAAACACCTTTCCATGCTGAATTTCTTTTCATCTAATATCTATCTCCATCTTTGTCTGGAAATTTCCTAATCATTATTTATATTTCAATTTACATAGAAATTCCAGCTCCAAGGATACTTCCAAAATCCTATTTATTCCCAAAATGCAAACAAACCCTGGGTCGAGTGACTTCTTAAATAATCACAGAGCACCGTGCCCTTAACTTTTTGCAAACTTAACATACTATAATGTAACTTTCTGTGTACTTGCCCATGAACTTTGGTAAACCAGAAGTAATTTAATAGTACGGACTGTATCTGAAATGGAATAAATACCATTAACTCAGATTTTGTATTTTATTTGTTGAGAAAGAAACTTTTTTTTTTTTTTTTTTTGAGACAGGGTCTCACTAAGTTGCTGAGGTTGGCCTTGAACTTGCAATCCTCCTTCCTCAGCCTCTCAAGTAGCTAGGATTATAGGCAAGAATCACCAGGTAATGCTATTTTCATTTCCTATTTGATATCTAAGGTAAAATATTTTCTGTATATACTATTGTCTTATTAATATCAATATTGGGAAATCAGTTGTCCCATATTATTCTAGATAACTAAAGATTATCCTTTAAAACTTCTTAAAGCTTAATGGTTTGTCATAACAAACCTCCTAAAATTCCTTACACACTCTCTTGCCATCTTCAGTAGCACCAGACGGTGAGCATTCTGCCAGCCTGGAGTGATCATGACAGGTTCCATGGATACACTATGCTGCCAATCAGGGAGACTGACCCTAAATGGTCCAAGTTCTTAAGCTTAAAAATGTTCCATCTCATCATCTGCATGGGATAAGTTGTTTTTTTCTTGACATAGAACAATACACCATACATTCATATATACATACATATAATTTAAGTTTAAGTTTGCTACTTATTAAACTTATTCAACTGTCAGAAAAAAAAAGTAAAATAGATTCCAGGGGAGGGCCTGTGAAAAAAAATTCTAAGTGTTGATTTTGAAACAACTATTTTTGACTCTTACAGGTCTTTCTGAGTAGATACAGTTGCGAGATTAATGACTTCTTGATAACCAAAAAATTACTTGTAAAGTTTCCCAAGCCATCTTGATAAAGCACAAAATAGTTATTAATTTTAAGTTATTTAAGTCATCAAGATACGGAAAGATTGGGTATTATTATCCTCCCCAAGCGACAAGTCACAAACCTGCATAGCTCCCTTTCTCACCCTGATCTGCCTGCATTCCGTGTGTGCAACAGCTATGACACAATAATCCCACCAGGAACGGGGAGTGAAAATGCTTAAAGTTAATTTCTGGGAACTTTTTGAAAGATTAGCAAGACTTTGGGAGTTTTTGTTATGCTTATTAAAATCCTTAATACATCTATAATCTTAAAGAAATGTCATTACTGTAAGACAGTCATTAACAATCAGCAGTGTATCAAGATGTTTCAATCACTTTATAAAACTTTTTATTTGTATACAATTTAAGACAAATACCAGAACAGCTATCCATGTAACATATTTACATTCAATTTTCATAGTGTTGTGCAGAAACTGTGAAGCTCTCCTTTCACGCATCAGATACCTGCCAGCACTCTCCTAGTCACTGGGACACAATCAGCAAACAAACCAGATCACAATCACTGCTATGCAGGGCTCTCACTTTTGTGGGAGAGATAGACAATAATTAATATGTGTAAAAGTGAGTTAATCATTGTATGTTAGAAGATTAATTCTCTGTGGAAGAGAAGTGAGAGAGAGTGAGAGAGTGAGCGTGCAAAGGTCAGGTAGGGGTGGGACACTGCGGTGTCATCCAGGGCAGGGCTCATTGAGAATCCAATGTTTGATCAAAGAATTAAAAGAAGTGAGGATGTGAGTCAAGCTTTGGGCAGCTCCAGGTCGAGGGAACAGCCAAGGCAAAGGAGGAAAGGTGTAGAGAGTGTTCAATAACTGGCAAGAGGCCACAGTGGCAGAGCGAAGCTGTGGAAAGAGCCGGGCACATGCAGTGAGAGCGCTAATGAGGGCGAGGAGCATGTTGGGAATTCCAAGAACTTCAAGAACTTGCGTTTTTACTATGGAAGAAATGGAGGGCCACTGGCAGGTTTTAAGATGAAGAAAAGCATAATCTCAAATTCTACAGGATCACTCTGGCTGTTGTGTTGAGAGGATGTGAAGGCAACCGAAGTAGAAGGTGAGAGACCAGTTAAGAGGCAACAGCACCTAAGCCAGGTAAGAACTACTGGTGGCTCACAGCAGTTAATGTAATAAGGGATAATGTTCTGGATGTTTTGAAGGCAGATCAAGGTTGCCAGATTAAAATAAAGAATTCTCAATTACATTTTAATCTCAGGTGAACTACAGATCACCCTTTAGAGTGAGTACATCCACGCAATATTTGAGAGATGTAGCTCCAGTTCTTCACTCCTCCTTGAATTGATGTCTTTCGCTGTGGGATTCCCAAGTTCTTCCCACTAAAGAGACAGAGTATATGTCCCCTCCGAGTTATAAGAAATAATATTATGTCTGTATGTGACTTGCTTTGGCTAACAAAATTTTTGCAGGTATAGTATGACCAAATGGAAAAGTGCTTGCATAACTGCTTTTGCTCTCCTGTGACTCTGCTATCACCATGAGAATACTCCCAGGCCTCACGATGCCCCACGGAGGTCTGCAAGCATGAGGAGCAGAGCCTGCCCCAGCCCAGGCTGGCTTAGGCAATCCCCAGAAGGCCAGTAGAGTCTCAAACTAAAGAAATGCTTATTGTCACATGCTGCCGATTTTTGTTACACAGTGTTTTTCCAAAAACAGGTAACTGATAGTTGCCTCAGCATACAGACAATATGCAAAGTCTTAGACTAGATAAGAACATCAAGAAAAAGAGTGTCCAGAGAGCAAAGGACCAAAGAAAGAGACCCCAGAGTACTTCCCCATTAGGGAGATAAAGATGGACCAACAAAAGAGATAAGAAGGAGTGACCGCTGAATAAGAAGAAAACCAAGAGAGTAAGGACCCTGTGAGCCAAATGAAATGAGAGCAATGAACCATGTTAAATACTGTTTACATGTCAGAGGAAAGACCTAAGGGTTGACTGCTGGGATTAAAAAGAAGGTCCTTGGTGTCCTTGACAAGTGCATTTTTGGTGGTGGAGTAAGAATGGAAACTTCACTGGAATGATTCTTAGAAAGAACACAATGGGAAAAAATTGAAGATAGTGATAATAGTTGGGAAAATTGGGATCAGGAGGGTTTTTTTAATATATAAAGAGAGATATATAAGATTATTTCTATATGATCAAGTCAAGAATCCCTTAGAAATAAAAAATCTGAGGGAGGAAAAAGAGCAGAGAATTTGGGGGTGCCTATATCTTTGAGTAGGATATAGGAAATATCAAGGAAATGTGCCTTTAGGAACAGCCAGGAAGTCAGGGTGCATAAGTGCAAACACTGGAAGGTAGGAAGTGGTAGGAGGCTGTGAAAATTCCTTCTGATGATGTCAAATAGGAACAGGAAATGAAAATTGAGGGAGAAAAGTAGTTATGAAGTAGTCATTTAGGAGAATGGAGCTGTGAATCAGGAAAATGAAGTGTGTTCGCCAGGTAGCCATAAGGAACCTGCTGACCCTGTACATGAGTAAACTCAAAATAGGTCAAAGACCTAAATATACTTTTTAATTTTGCCACTGTTATAAGAAAAAAAAAAGGAATACAGTTCAACATACAGGTTCAGGCAACGACTTCCTGAATAAGATTGCTTATAGCTCAGGAAACAAGAGAAAAAGATAAATAGATAGATAGATAGATAGATAGGAAGGATGGATGGAGATAGATAGGAAGGATGGATGGCATCAAATTGAAAAGCTTCTGCACTGAAAAGAAAACAGAGTGAAGAGAAAACTGAAAGAATGGAAGAAAATATTTATCAGCTACTCCTCTGACAAAGGACTAATATCCAGAATATATAAAGAACTCAAAAAAACTCAACATATGAAAAAGCAAGCAACCCTATAAATAAAGGGGCAAATTAACTGAACAGACATTGAACTTCTCAAAAGAAGTACAATGAATTATATGAAAAAAATGTTCATCACCTTTAGCACTTGGGGAAATGCAAAGCAAAACTACACTAAGGCCCTGGGGATGTGGCTCAGTGTAGCATACTTATTGGCAGGCATGAACCCCTGGCTTTGATTCCCAGCACCACAAAACAGAAAACAAAAACAAACAAACAAACAAACAAAAACCACACAAAACTACTGAGATTCTATCTCACTGCAGTTAGAATAACAAGCATCAAAACTATAAATCATGGGGCTGAGGTTGTCGCTCAGTGGTAGAGTGCGAGGCACTGGGTTCGATTCTCAGCACCACATAAAAATAAATAAATAAAATAAAGGTATTTTGTCTAACTACAACTAAAAAAAATTTTAAAATTAAACTGGGGAGAATGTGGGGGAAAGAAATACTTAAACACTGTTGGTGGGAGTGTAAATTAGTACATATGCAAATCAGTACAAAGTTTCCTCCAAAAGCCAAAAATAGATCTACTGTATGATCTAGCTATACCATTCCTTAGTATTTATCCAAAACAATTAAATTCAGCACATTTTACAGATACATGCATCCCTGTATTTCTGACAGCACAATTCACAATAGCCAAGTTGTGGAATCAGCCTATGTGTCCACCAACAAATGACTGGATAAAGAAAATATGTTACATAGACACAATGGAGTTTTATTCAGCCATAAAGAAGAATGAAATTATAATTCACAGGAAAAATGGAACTGGAGACTGCAATTTTGAGTGAAATTAAGTCAGACTCAGAAAATTATTGTACGTTTCACTCTCATACATGGAAACTAGAAGGAAAAAACAGGGAGGAAAAAGAGACTCCTTCAAATTAGAAAGGCAGAGGAGGGGAGGGAGGGAGGGAAGGTGCCGGTGAGTGAAATATGTTTCTTCGTATACACAGATGCCATGATGAAACCCACATTCTGCATAATTAATATGTACCAATTTTTTAAAAGGACCCAGTTGAGATTTGTGGCCGTGAATTTAAAATGAGGCCATCCACATTATGTGTTTTTATACAGGCACATTAATCTAATAGGTACAGTAGATGAAGACTCTAATACTGATTCTAATGCTAATCTAATAGGTGCCAGTATATGGAGACTTTGACTTAACATGGGTTGTGTTTGGCCAAGGAAATCTGAAAAAGCAAAAGCCAAAGAGGTATAGGCAAGGAAGGGTTATACTGAGAGACCTGAATTTAAGAGTAGTAAGGAGATATGACATGAAGTAGGGGAGAGGCCAGGAAAGATGGCACAAGACATAGTATTGCCTGGGGGCAGGGGCTAGGAAGTGGTAATCAGAGAACAGGAGACAAAATTTAGATCTTGGAAAGATTGCAGGTATTTGCCTGTGAAATGACCCATGGCAGTAAGTAGTTGAGCTAAAGTGAGGGATTAAAAAAAATGTACACACACACACACACACACACACACACATATCACTGAAAAAGATTGATTCAAGGAACTGAGAAACCAGAGTGTTAGAAGAGGCATCCATACCAATATTAAAATCAACAAGAACCAAGGCAGGAGTGTTTTGGGAGAGAGTAAGAAGAGCCAGGAATCCTATCTGCCAGCAAATGAGAAGACTGAGGGTTAGTAACAAGGTAGCAAGGAAACTGCATTACAGAGTGGTTGGATGATAGGAGATTCAGAGCTGGGGTAGTAGAGGAAGGGAGGAATGGTCTGAAGTGGGTAATTATGGGCAAAGAAGATGCCTAATCCCCAGCCATGCAAAGGCTGTGAGAAAAGCAGTGTCCCCAGGGAAAGTCAGGCGTCCATTAGACTAAGAAGGCCAAGGGAACAATCACAGGAGAGAGAACCTAAAGGTGTTTTGCTCCTAAAGGTCCTTGAATTTCTGAGGACACAAGGGAAGGATTAGGGAGTTGGGATAGAGAAACTTGAAAGAAAAATTAAGAACAGAAAGTGTGCAAGCCTCGGGGAGATGAAGAATGCCCAGAACCCTGATGCTTCTTGTAAGAACTGACACAAAGAGAGAAAGTGCACAGTGAGCTCAGTCCTGAGTTTGAGGCAATGAGCAGCAAGGCTGAGAGCATGGGAGGGTTCCCAGAAGGAGGTGTGGGGCCGCCCTGGCTCCTGCAGAGAGAGACAAGAAAGTCCTGGGAAGCCTAGGCCTCCTCCACTGCCCAGCAGGGTAGGGCAGAAATGTGTATGCTTGTCATTACGATAGCATAATGCATATTATATATATATATATACTTGTCAGATACTTTTCTCTTGTTCTGGTATCAAATAATATAAAATCAATTTCCTCCCTGGGGAAGGATCATACATAAGGATGAAAAAAGAAGGTGACATATGCACAAACATACATATTACAGCCTACATATAGCCTATTGATCAGACACTCATCCTATAGGCCTTGTTGGCTTCTTGGATCCACACCCCATAGACCTCTACAGCTTCTAGGCTAGCACTATTCTCCATTCCTATGTAGCATTTCTTTCTGGTTCCAATAATAAAAGGTGCCCCACTTTCCCTTGAGACCTTCTTAGCTTCTTAAAATTTCTTATCATTAACAGATCTTTTCTTCCCCTACCTGGCTGGAGCATGACCCTTTCCAAATACACTAGTGTTCATTCAACAGACTTTCACAGAGCATCTTTGAGGTACACAGCTCCGTCCTGTGAGCTAGAGAACAGCTAGAAACCTTTCAATATACCTGGGGCAAATAAAGAGCCTGGGCACATTCTCTTATAAGTCACTTTCAGGTGGAACAATGAGAAAGGCAGGAGGATAGAGGATGGCCCTGGCATTGCTTCTGTCTGGCAGTGTGACCTGGGACAAGACACACTACCTCCCCTATGCCTCGGGATCCTCTTGTATAAAATCAGGAACCAGTCTAAAGGAATCCAAGAATTTTACCAGTCTCAAGTCTATGAATATACTGAAGTAATTATTTCTGGCCAATTCCTTTTTTCTGAAGAGTCGTCTCCTCCTCCTCCTCCTCCTCCTCCTCCTCATCATCATCATCATTTAGATCTGAACTAAGAAATGAAGCAGCCTTCCAATCAGCACTGAGATACTATGAAAGACTATGAAAGATACTATGAAAGATACTATGAAATAATAAGATGTACTCTCAGTTTGCCACTTTCTAAAAGTTATCTTCAGTGACTCCAAGAAAACACAAGGAATGCTGCTTAAGGCAGGAAATCTGTGCTGTGCCCTCATCACCATCAAATGATGTCCGTGAATTAGGGCCTAGACTGTAACTGGTAATTTCTGTTTCCTGATAGTAGCACGTGTAATCAGCTGCAGTCCTAATGACTAAAATCAAATTCTTAAATCATTCCATGCACTCTATGCTTTATTTTAGCCCTTCACATTTGTTTGTCCTTTGGACTACATCATAGTTTGCTAAAGTCAAACAGGAAAATTAAAAAAAAAAAAAAGCAAAAGGAGTTTAATCTCTTCTGCTGCTTGGGGAAGACTGAAATTTCGTTTGAAATATCCTGATAGAGATTAATCATTGCCTCTATTGCCAACAGTGGCTAAGAACTGACTACAGAGTTTAGTGACAACAAGCACAGAAACATTTATGGAGCCAGTAGAACCACCTCTGAATCCACCATAATCTGGTAAGCGAGAAGAATTCAGAGTGATTACGAAGCGATTATAATGTCACACTCTGACATTATAAGATTTTGAGTATGATGCACATTCAGTGCCAAAACTCTACCAAGAAGATACACAGACTTGAAGATAAAGGCTGGAAGAAACACAATAGGAGCTTACCTGGATCTTTCTGATCTCCCAATTTGTCTAGAATGTTGAAGGAGATGTCAAGGTACTCTCTCTGGATAGCACTGACAGCAATCTTTCTCTGTTTCCTCTGTCTGGGGACTATCTGAATCTTGAACTCTGATTCCTCAGTTCCATCCTCTTCCATTTTTCTTTCAGGATTCTGTTCTGTATCAGATTCGGCACTGGTATCAGGTTTCTCGTTTTCTGTTGGATTTTCAGCATCTTCAGGAACTTTAAGGAGCACGGTTTTGGGCCCTGAACTTGGCATCTGCCCATGCCTCTCTTCCTCGGTGCTGGGTTCAGGGTTATCATCTGTTGACATCTCAGGGACAGCAAATGACTTCTGAAGGTGGTCTCGTTTTTGTTTGAGTGTCAGTGGGCTGCCACAGGAAAACTCTCGCAGCTCCTCTGCCTGAGATAATTCTTCTGAGTCTGTAGGTTCCTCCAGGGCTATGAGAGCAGGGTCCCTGTTACCTGCTGACTGGTTATTTCCTGAGTCCTTAGAAGAAAAGTCTTTGGAACAGTCCTCCACGCTGACTTGCACAAGAGGAGTTGTGCTCAGGCTGAGGGCAGAGGGGTGGCGAGGGACGGGGGGAGAGGAGGCAGCACCCTTGCCACCAGCCCCCCGGTTCACCATCTCCTCTTCCTCATCACTCTCCACTATTCTGAGAGGTGGAAGAGGCTCAAATACAAGAGAGTCACTGTCAGATGTTGAGAGTATAGAGTGTTTCTCAGGCCCTGAAGTTGAATCAGAGGACAAATCTATCAGATCTAAATCTTCTTTGGGTGCAGGCTTTACTGGAGAGTCAACTTTCACCTCGAACGTCTCCATGCAGTTTAACCTAACTTCCGGTATCACAGGCCTTCGGGGCTCTAGAAAACCTTCCACAGCTGGGTTCTCAGGGATTTCCATAGTGTCTGGCCGTGTAGCAGAGTTCTGCCTCGATCGCGCGTGGTTGTTCTGTCTCTGGGCACTGTGAGCAGCTTGGGCAGGGGGTTTATCTACATCACACCGATCTATGCAAGACTTCCTGCGATGCTCATCTAGTGTGAACAAGAGGGAGTCTGCGTTCCCTATATCAAGAGATTTTTGTTTTAAAGAGCGCAGCTTTTTTTTCTGAATGCTTTCTTCTCTCACACAGTGCAGAATGCTGTCTTGTAATGCACCCGTTTCTCTATATTCGGCCAGTTCTATTTCACCTGATTAAAACAGAAAAAGCTAGTACTATTTTACTTGGAGATTTCACCATTTTTCCCCTTATACTTGGGCATACTATTGGCATAAATCATAATCACAATCCCAGCTCCACCAGAAGGAAAAACTGACTTTCTGGCCAAGGTTTTTTAAGGTTCATTCTAATTTCAAAAACGGGAGAACTTTGGAATGAAAGAAACCAAAATGGTAGTTTAAGATCTGATTCCCAAAATCAAGCTCCAGGATAATTCCTCAGCTCTATTCATTTGTGCACAGGAGAAGGAATCATTTTTGGCTGAGGCAGATCTAGGAAACTGTATTCAAATTGTGTGGAAGAGAAGCAAACATCTTGCAACAAATCAAATCAAGCAATGGCCCTTGAAGACGATAATGACGTTAATGATGTATCTGTCAATTCACGTATATATATAAATGTGAATATATATATACTGTTTGTGCATACATATAATATAAAAATCAACGGTATCAAAATGTGTAGTAACATAATAAAAGTAAGATTTCACCCCAAACAAACGGTAGAGTACAACATTTCTGCATAAAATTACTAAGAGAAAAAATTCATACTTCTCTGAACATTCATCTCAACCGGCTGATATTTCACCATTTTGCTGCCGCCTATCCTTTTCAATCTTGCAAAAAAAGTTTGAGACTCTTTATTGCAGGGTCCAGTAGGTGTATCATGAATATCAGATTCATCAAAAACACTATCTTCTTCTAATTGGGGAGAGAAAGTCAAAATTACACTTAAGAGGTTATTCTCTCTTAGGCTGTGTCTACACAAGCATTTCAGTGAAAGCATTCTGGAACAGTCTGGGTGGTTTCTGCACCAGCCAAGTCTAGCTATGGGTTGATATTTCATCCAGGTATCAAATTATACATATGTTGAACAAAGCAACTGGTTACAAGATTGCCCATCATTTTCTAAATGATAATTGGCAGCACTTTTTGAGAGGCATCTCAATATTCCAAAAGAGCCTTCCTAGAGAAACTTTCCCAAATGACACTTAAAGCCAAATGACACAGATGCCAGTAACTTTATCTAGGAATCTGTGACACTGCTTGAACTTGCCTGAATGTCTAATTTGGCAAAAGGAAATTAAACAACATAAGTGGGTCTTGCCCCTTCTAACAATATATGCCTTCCTGGGATTTGGGAACTGGCATAGACACAGCCTAACAGTACATGCACCTTATACTTTGTGAATGCAAAATACTGTACTCTACATTTGGTAATGAAACACACAACACACAGAAAAAGCTTAGAAAAGCCACTTGTTATCTCAAAAGCTCCACAAATGATTATGGACTGAAAGAGTAAACAAAGGAAAAAGAAAACAGAAAAAAAACATTTCCTTCTATTAAAGTAAGACTCTTCTCTGAGTCACTGGCCATGTGTAACTGTTATGGATCTCATGAATCCTACAAAGAATCTTTGACTGTTATGATCCTAGGGTTCCATAAACAAATGGGTCCCCAAAAGTGCCTACTGAGTTTGTTTCTATGTCCTTTCTTCTTTTCTCATTTGGCCATTTTTAAATAGAAATACACTCAAAAACACATTAATGAGGAAGGAACTGCTATGCTGCAACTCACAAAGTTCACTTATTATCTTCTTTCATCCTTTGAAAAGCCAAAACCATATTCGAAGTGGCAAGAGAAAAGGCTGCTTAGACACATTTAATACCACAGTAAATGGAATTAACCTACTATTTGAGTTGAATATCACTGAGATGAAAATATGTAGCCCATATTTATACCTATATATGACAAGATGAGGCTCAGGTGTGATTATGATTATTCAGGATTTCTTGAATACAGGGGAATATAAGCATTAATTTTAAGGACCAATCATTTCTTAATGCACAAGTTCTATAAGAAAATGAAAGCTAAAGCTGTTAATTTTAGATGAAATATCCATAGTAGTTTTTTAATCAAATAAAAAATAAATATTGTCAATCAAAATGGTTACAATAGTTCCCAGTGAATTCCCACAAAGATGAAAAAGCCCATCAAATCCCAATGTTTCTGGGGAATGTAACAAAATGCTCTATTTTAATTCTTCATTTCTATTTAAGCTTTTCCCCCTTTGAAAAATAGTGTTTTGTTTTTGTTTTTGTTTTGCAAATAGGTATTATGACTTCCATGACATAACTGTGGAATAATCCTCAAGATGTACTGTATGACAGAGATGAAAGGACAGCAAGATGATACCCCCCCACCCAGGTTCACTGGGATTGACCCAAACACTAAGTATGCATAAAGAATACCTCTATCTTAACCAAACCTACTCAATTTCCCAGAGACTAAGACTTCAGCTAGTAGACAATATATTCTTCAGGAAGGATTTAAATTTTACCAGAATTTGAAGAACCTAGATTCTTAAACCTTTCAGCAATAAACAAACAGTGGAACTCTAGCTATAATCCATCCCACTGAGATATTCCAGAGCAGTCTGGAATTCAGACTGTTCTTGCACCCAGAGGGTCATCAGGCACTTGACTTTTTCCCAGGATTGGATTAGACGATGTCACCTTTTACAACTCTAATCATGCTCTGACATTCACAGATATATACCTCAGTTCTTCGTCGCACCTGAAAATATCCAGGCTGTACTTTTACTCTATTTAAAGTTTCATTCTACTGTCTTCTTTAAGGAAAAGCCATGAATAAAAAAAAAGGTGTCAGTATTGGAAATTACTAACTTATGGCCCAGAAATGTTTCACTCATCACCTTGAATCACTTCACATTGAATAATGAGACTAGGGAAAAGCGCTTCAGAAAATTTAGACAACATGAAAATTCTGTGAGTATAAAATTCAGGGGCAAACTAGAGAGACCCTCAAGATTCCACTAAGTGCAAAACTAAGTTTGTGTCACAGCCCCAAAGCAAGATGTTTCCAGCATGTTAAGAGCAGGCTTCCAAAGGCTCCTTAACCAAATAGCAGAAAATATCTTACAAACTATCTCTTACTATATGGGTTTTAGAAGCATATCAATTATTTCTCTCAAATTAAGAAGTTAAAGCAGAAATGTTAATGGGAAAGTAATAAAATATTAAGTAATTTTTTTTTTTTACTCCACCATGAGATCTAGGGTCCTATGTCTCCTAAGAAAAGCACTTTCCAGAAATGTGTTATGTATTCAAGCTAAGTTTGGGATAGAATTCCAATATGGAAAGTACCTTTTTCTTTTTCGCTGTATCTGCTTATGTTACTGTTGTCACTGTACAAAGGTCCTGCCGTGGCATGGGGCTTGCAGCTGTGATACTGCGCATTGAGTGTGTTGACTGTTATGTGAATCAGGTGCAGCAGGATCTTGCTGATGTCACAGTCTCGGTATGGATACTGCTCAATAAAATGAAGGGAGAAAAACATAAATAGTTATTTTAAAGAATAAGTTTTTCCACTTAATATCGCCGAGTATTTTTCTTAGTACCTCTTGGGGATAAAAGAAAAAAATACAGAAAAGTAAAAACACAGATTCTGATAATGGCCTTATTTCTCTTCCTCTTGCACCAAACTCCTGACAGAATCAAAGGACAGTTTACAGTTACAATTGTCTTTAAGAAAACTATCTTGCACAGACATCTGGTGAATACAGTTTCAAATATATTCTTTGTTTTCTGACATAATAATTAATGTTTAGATAAAATAGGAGATTGTGTGCATAATCAGAGGTTGTCGCTGGTCAATTCCCCACAATTCATCTTTTTTTTTTCTGGGTTGTTTTTTTTGTACGAGGGGTACTTAACCACTAAGCTACATTCCCAGCCCTTTTTATTTTTATTTATTTTTATTTTTTTTAAGAGAGAGAGAGAGAGAATTTTAATATTTATTTTTTTAGTTATAGGCGGACACAACATCTTTGTTTGTATGTGGTGCTGAGGATCGAACCCAGGGCCTCGCATGTGCTAGGTGAGTGCTCTACCGCTGAGCCACAACCCAGCCCTTCTACTACTATTTTCATTCCAATAGCTCTTCTGCTTCCCAAAACTGATTGAATATCATGGTACTTCTTCTGAAGGTCAAATTTTTCTCCTACCAAGTCCTCAGAGATTCAAATCTCTTCACAGTCTGCTCAAAGATATATTACAAGTACATCCAAAAACAGTGTGACTGTGGCAACTCACCTTGTAAAGGATGACAAGCAAGGCCTTCAACCACATCTGCCGGATGTGAGGTTTTAGGGACCAGAGGGAACAACGAGGTGGCTGTTGGAAATAATGCCGTAGTTGAGGACAAGAGCAGTATTTGAGCACCTGAACCACCAAGGGGAGAAGGTGTTTTCCCAAGTTAATGTTATAGTCCATAACCTGAAATAGAAAAAATATTAGTAACTGAAATAAAACTTTAAGAACACTTAGAAGTTCAAAAAGAAAAATTTGAGCCATCACAACAAAAAATCTGGCAAAACATTTAATCTGGCAAAACATTAAGATCGCTCACAATTATGAACAATAATAGCCAGTTTATGTAAAGTGAAGTTCAACCTCACAAAAAACAAAAACTTGTAAATTGAAAATTCTTATCTAATTATCTATTTACTTCATCATCAATTGATAAAATTTTTTCTATTAAACTAGAACTAAACTGGTCTCAAAGAAAAAAATTCATACTGGTAACAATGTAGAGAAATAGACACTTTCAAGAGAGCAATTTAGGAACATATATTCAGAAGTAAGAAAAAGCACACATCCTCTCACACAATAATTAAACATATCCCAAGGGAATAATCAGCTCCAAAATATGTGGGTAAAGATATTCAGGATGGCTTTGTTGCCCCAAATTAAAAATGATCTCCATATTCAACAATATAGAGATCTAAAGTAGACATGTATAATGTGAATTTAAAGAAGGGAAAGAGGAAGGGAAGGAAGACATGTTAGATTCTCTCTTCATCACAGATAGCTGAGCATTAGTGGTGCTCTATCCAGCTATCAGTATCAAGGCAAGATAACTACACGAAAATTCCTCCCACTTTGCCTATCCGTGCTCATTATTTTACAATCTATTTGAGCCAATTGAGAGTAACAGCTACCATCCATTGAATTCCTGCCAAGAGGCAGGCATTAATTAAGGTGCTTTACACTATGGTGTCTCTAATAAATCTCTGCTACCAGTAAGCAGAGGATGTTTAAAGCCATGAGAGCTAACAACAATGGCAAAGCTGAAATCCACATACACATCTTTCTAGCCTCAAGTCCTCCACCTTTGCAGATTGGTGCAGCTATGCTAGAGAGTGACATGTGTAGCTCTTATCTAATTAGGCATATGTATACAGCCCATGACCCAGATCCCCAAGGGAATTCTCACATTGGTTGATAAGTACCTACACAAGGATTTTAGTTACTGAGCTGTCTGGAGTAGGGAAGAAGTGGGAGCAATATGAGGGAATGGGTTAATAAAATGTGGAAGATCATGTAGATGGCAAGTGACAAAGCAGTTGGAAGTAGCAGACAAAAAAAGCCAGTGATAACAGTGTGGCATGAAGTAGATTGTATGACTAACTCTCTCCACTTGAAGCCAAAAAGGAAGAGGATCTTAAAACCCCACACAAACAAAATAATCTTATATGTCCTTATTGTTTAATGAGCACAGAGTTTTAGTTTAGGACCTTGAAAAAGTCAGGAGATGGATGCTGGTGATGGTGCATAACACTCTGAAAGTACTTAACACCACTGAATTATACTCTTGAAAATTATTAAAATGGTAAATTTTATGTTACGTGTACTTTATGAATGCACATATATACTCTCTTCATAATACCAGGCTACTAATTCTTACTCATCTTTATTATATCCACATACCCATGCCTAATATCAAGTCATGTGCACAAAACTTTATACTCCACTCAATATTCACTAAATGGAATTTAATGCCTTGCTTCTATGAAAACCCTATATTTGACTTCTCAAAGCTGTCATCACACTTACCTGGGCAATTCCTGCAATAAATGCATTAAAGCAAGTTGACAGGCGCATTTTTTGAGGTGCAATCATGAAGCAACCTTCTTGTTGGTCATAGCCAAGTAAGACATACAGGTGCCTCTTGACCGTGTTGAAGGCCTTTGCACTGCTGATGTCTGACTCAGCGCTGCTCTCATCCTTGGCCATGAACTTCATGAGCACTGTGATCAGCTGGTGCACTGTCTGGTGGTCAATTCCAGCATCTTCTGGGAGCAGGTCCTTGATGGTGTTGTCATTCTCAGGAGACTGTTGTCCTGTTAGTACAAGAAAGGCTGTCAGGGTGCAGCTCCCTAGCAAGTGAGTTTACACTGCAATCTCACTTGACATTGATAAAACTCCATTTTTTCTGCTTCTGCTAAGTACTTAAGGGTTCTGTTCTAGACTAGAAGCTGAAAGGCACAATACAGCCTCTTAAGCAAAGCAGAGTCCAGGGTGGAAGTCTCATCAAATGCCAACTTACTTTGGAGTAAGAAAGGAATGGAAATAAAATTGGGGAACCATAAAACAAGTTTCCCCCTAACTACAAGACAAATGTCTAAGCAAATTTTGTATTTAACAATTTTTAATACATTGGCAAAATTTTATCCTTAGTGATAAAGAGAAGCTTCCATTTGAGCTTTATAAAATAAGCATGAAAGAATTACCACAAAATGATAGTTTAAAATCCACTATGCATAAAAAGATCCATTGAGTTATTTTGTTTAATACTAACTCAATTCAATTATATTCAAGAACCAACTGGTGCAAAAAACAAAAGTTTTCTTTTTCTAATCTTGAGCTATCAGCATGTGTATGTACTCTTTGAATGAGGTAATCACAATCACAAAAGCAAAATATAAGCCCTGTGGTATGTAATGAGAACATACAAGAGGAAGGGGCACAGACAAAAAAAAAGAGAAGCATGAAATTTTAAAAACAGAAAAACACCACATGAAGGTGAGCTGGAAGTTCACATGGAAAGAAAAATACCTGAGCTCTTGGTTTCTGCTTAGCCTCATAAATAACCATATGTGAGCAGCATCCTGACATTGACTTTCTCTGTCATTTTCCAAAGTCAGACATTATATTGTGTCTCCCTTTGTTCTGCCCCTTGTGATCAGGTTTAGTGTAGGTCTTTTGCTCTTCTATATTTAAATTTGGGGGCTTATTCAAAATATTCATTGCATTCTTATCCTTTTTTGACAAGCAACATTAGAATTTCTAATTTGAAAACAAAGCTTTTGTCTGAGAGGTGAGCTCAGCACACCAGCATTCTCATCTCTCATGCGGCAAGGAAAAATTCACTAAATGATGACAAACTTTGGTTGCAAACCTTTTCAAGCCTTGGTTACATCCATTATAATCATGCTATAAGTGATGCAACAAAGAGCTAGGAAGCTATTTATACCTATTAACTCCCCAACTAATTTGGCAATGTCTGAGTCTTCCAGGACACAGTCCACAGAAGCAAGAAATAAGAAATATTTCTATGGACCAAAAAATTAGTTGGCAAAAGCCCAACCACTTCTTTCTGGGACAGTGAGCATGAAGTTAATGTCAAATTCAGAATTTTCTTGTTAAGACCTACACATAAGGCAACAAGCTTGATTATTTAGTTTCCCTAGATGATCAAAAGAATGTTGGTCTGTTCACATATAATACAGTGAAAAAGGGATAACTGACAGTGAGTCAACTGAGTCTAAAAACTTAAAATGTCGGGGAAATCATCAGACTCTCCTCAGTGTGACTTTAGAACATTAATATTTTCTGTCTCATTAAGCTTGTCCATAAAGAAATGAATATGTGCAATGTCCTTTAGGAAATTTTTCTACCAAATAACACTCAAATACAACCTAAAGACTTGTTTATTTCAGTGGTTCATGTGCAGAGAGTGATCAATAAAATATTAATATTATCATTGTTTAGCAGGTGTGCATTAGAAAAGAAATCACTTTTTGTGGAACAACAATTTCAATGCGAGGCTAGCAATGCTATATATTATAATTAAACTAAATATCTGTAATATACAATTTGGCCAAAAGCAATGCCTATGGACATCCCTGTAAGAATAAATAAAATCATTTAGAGAACTCTTTTCAGCATTGAAAATATCTTCTTTCGATTTTTTTTCCCTCTTAGAGTACTACTTTACAACTAGAAGGACATTATTGCTTTGAGCAAGTTTGGGTCAAGGATATGAGCGTGGGCATCTAGATTCCCTGCAAGGTCAAATGTTACTACAGAATGCTAGAATACAGCTTCAACACTCCACCCTTCAGCCCTGGAGGGCAAGGGTTAGAGGAACATGCATCACTGAGTCCTGACTACCTCCTGCAAGGCAGATGGACTCAACCCCAAAGCCTAAAGTTAAAAAATGGAAGCAGGAAGCACCTGAGAAGGAGTTGCACCTTCAATTTACACCCCTGAGAATCTAGGGACCTGGCTGTAGAAGAAAGGAGCTCCCAAAAAGGGCCCTGCTCATTTCATCACAAGTCAAGTCTAGAAAATAAGCCATCAGACGCATCTTAAATATTCCAAAACTCTTCCTGCCATCACAATGCTTCTTTAAAGCATGTGGCCTTAGGTTTTGCTAACAAATCATGTTTTCCTAATGACTAAGTACTGCTTTCACCTGTGCCCTAGTCTCACTGCAGACTTGTCCCACTGATCTTTGCTGCTGGAGCGCGCAGCTTGCTGCTCTTGGTTTGCTTCTCCCAAATAGCCAGTACTAAGTGATCCTTCACAAATCAGGTGTACTGAAAAAAGAGCTAGTTAATGGTATCTTTTGCATACAGTAAAAAAAAAAAAGTATTTTTATTTCAATAACTTGTTCTTTCTATTGTGGGCTTTTGCAAATCTCAACTTAATCTCTTTAAAATACAGTAAACTTAAAGTTACCTCAATCAAATTCTCGAGAAAAATGATATAGATAAGCAGAAATGTCTAGTTAAACAGTACTGCTTTAATTTCCTGTGACAGGTATGAAATTTCCATTTTTAAATTACAATGTTTTCTCTAAGGCATGGCAATTAAAACACTCACTAGTTTTGAATTCTAGTGTATGCAGTTCCTTTAGATGTCTTAACCATAGCAATCCAACGTGTTAAAAGATTTGATTTTATTGTTTCTATAATGAAAAATGTAGGCATTTTTATAATCCTGGAGGCAGAGCTACTCCTGCCCTAGCTTTAGTGTGACTCAGTCAGCTGGTCACAGGGGGAGACCCATGAAACCACAAAGTGGAATACAGCGTTACTGAGTCACATGACTTGAAACCAGGCAGGACCAGGATCCCCTTTTCCAGACTTATTTCCTGTCACTCCCCCTGCAGTGCTCCACGCTCCCAGACCCTGGGATGTGTGCGGATCTCAGAATAGAGCCAACACTGGCACACCACTGTCTCTGCTCACGGTGCTCTCTCTGCCTTGCGTCCTCCACCCGGTCCCCATTTTCTGCTGTGGGTCTGGCTCCAGAAGCCATTCTTATTATATATCCCCTCAGTAATTGGATGTGATCCCTAAATTCTTTTACTTTTCAAAGACAAAATAGGAGGAAAGATGGGAGGAGAAAGAGAAGAACGAGGGGAAATTTCCTATATCATTTCCTAACATTCACGTGGCAAATAACTATTACACAAGGCAGAAGTTTGCACTTTTCTATTTGCTGCCTTTTCCTTATAAGAACACACACTCCTTGAAGGCAGTGCTGTGTCTTTAGATCCTTCACAGAATACGGGACATCGTCTGACATTGTAGATGCTAATTGTTCATGAATGTCCTAAGTGCACTGAATTCAAATAATATTTTAGACCTTTTCTTCCATATAAAAGAAAAACTGATGAAGAACCAAAATAACAAGGAAGTGACTAGAGAAACAGGGACTATCTCTGTGTAAGTTGACTCACTGACACCTCTAAGAAAGCAGCAAATGACAAGCAGGTGGAGGAAGAAAGTGCCCCTTCCACAAGGCCCTTCTGTGTTTGCGCTGTGAACGAGGCTGACTCCCGCAGCAGCCCCACTTCGCTGCCCTCTGGCTCCCCAGTCATCACCTCAGCTCACAGTGTCACTCCTAACAGGTCTGTTGTGCATGCACGCAGCCATAGAAGGGCTAGAAAGCTGAGCCGAGGGCCAACTTCACATCCTCCTGTGCTCCCCCCTATGATCCCTCACCCTATCTCCACCAGGGGGTTTACACCCTGCCCCCCAGTCCCAGCCTGACTGAACAGTGGCCTGTTCACAGGAACCTCCCTGATGTTCCCGCTGGTAGACTGCTCTCCTTCCACTGCACTTGACAGGACCCATCCTGTACTGTCACTTTCACTCCAGATGAGAGTTCATACTTGACCTCCCCTACACACAAGCAAATGGAGCATATAAAAACTTCTGATGCATCTTTGTATTCATCACATTTCCTGGTATGTCAGGCACCCAGTAAATGTTTGTTAAATAAAGGTTATTTCCTGAAGATATTTAAAACAAGAGCATTCCTATAAAAACGACTATACTCTTTTGATTTATTGGAATTTATTGGAATGATCAATAGGGATTTTGCAGGTTAGTGAAGCAGTGTTGTAAACCATCTATAGGAATGAAGAAAGAGCCCAGAGAGAAATTTGGAATTCCAGGCTGGGGCACCATTGAGGAGGCAGGAAAGTCAATGCAAGAAAATTTCACCAATGCTAACTAGCACTGGGCCCTTTTCTTGTCATTACCAATGTGGGCCAAAAGTTCTGCAGGTTTCTCTGCAGGCTGGGGTAGAACGGGAGAATGCAAGGACTGTGAGGATGGGGACAGCTGTGGATCATTTGGGGGTCCAACCTCTGGATCCAGCTGGTGATGGTCTTTTGGTCTGGACACTTGTGGGCTCTGCTACACTATTGCAGGTCTAAATGAATGCCCAGATCAGCTCCCCAATCAGACTGGTGTTCTCAGGTCTCATAGGACAGAAATACCCTAAGACCAATTCATCAAGAGATAATTACAGTGGAAAGAAAGCCAAATCTCCTAGATGCTAGTGTTAGTCCTGTCCCTATGTAGGCAGATGTGATCTTAAGTCCCTTAAGCAGACTCACTAATCCCTCAGTAATTCAGTTTTTCTGTCCTTCTGTAAAGTGAAAATAATAATAATAATAATACTTTACATATATCCAGAGTTGTTAGAAGTCAGGTAATTTGCATAAACACATAATAGTACTGTACACGTATGTATGTATTATTATATACCTATTATCATTTAATTATTCATTCCAGAAAGTGAGGAACAAGGTAAAATTAAGCACCCTATATTCATGGGGTTGACTGTTCAGTATTGTGCTAATAGAACTGCTGCATTATGTTTGTTTAATCTTCAACAGGTGTTCTAGATACCCAAGGAAAAAGAATTCCTGGTTCTGCATTGATAAAAATATATCTTATCTCTAATTTTAAAATTTCAGGTTAGCAGTTTAAAAGATTACATATTTAATTAATTAGGAAGAAAAACAAGGTGCAGAAAGCCTACTAGCATTGGCCATATGTGCCTTAAAAATAGAAAGCTCCAGAACTCCAAGCTCAAGACCCAGGTCTGTCACCAGCAAGCCTGTAACATTTGTCCTTTGTGGGAAACTCAGTTTCTCCAACTGCAAAATGAGAATGTTAGCATATCCTTAATGTTTCAGCTATAACATTCTATGAATTTTACTTATGTAAACAAAGGCCTTTAATTTGACTCATAAAAATCACAGAGGAATGCCACTTTGTAGAGCTCTGCAGAATATATCTTCTATAAAAAATAGAATTTTCTGTTTTAGTTGCTGTGTGTCTTATGTAAAGGCTAAGATCAGAAAGTCATAAATTATAAATCCAGTGCCAAAAACTTCAGCCTAAATAGCAATTAAAATTAAGTCTTGCTACATAATTAAATAGCATTTGCTTTATTTCAGGCCTAATCAATAAAAGGTCTGCACAGAGGAGCTCATTATTTAGACCAAACAAAAGTATGCTTATGAAATAGCAAGTCCTTTAGTTTCCATTTAATTGATATTTTAAACCATCTGCACAATCTTATGATTATCCTGGCATGTTTTTGTTTCAAAGTTAAAATATTCAGTGTCCAGTAAATAATAATGCAAAAAGGAACAGCATTCTGAACTTGTCTTAAAAGCTGAGCCAACTGTTTCTGAATCTAAGCAATTCTTACTCATGGTGGTGTCATATAAATTATCTTTCCATAAGTTTTAGCTACATATTTAATTTAAACAATGCTGTTCTCTGCCCCTTTACCGTCTGATCATTTTGGGTGGTTAATGAGATGCCTGAGGGCTTTTCTTAACTTCAAGAAACTTGTATGTTTGCTTTCCCATGGAGATGTGAGAGGACTCTTTCAGCTGGATTGCTAAAGCAGATAATAATTGAAGACTAACTTTTCAAGTAAGGCTTAAGATAAAAAAAGAAGCTGGGATAAAATGAAGAACACTTAGGAAATTGTGTAGTAACAATCTCAAGAAGGCAACTGCAGGGGAACTGGATGCATTTCAGATTTCTAATGAAGCTTAAGATCAGAAATTCCTATTTCTATTTTTTTAAATCATAGAAAGAAGAGACATGAGAAATATGTAAATCAAGTTGGAGTGATTGTGCGAAGTGTTTTCTATACCTATTTTTTCTCATCAATTTTAAAATAGGAAATACACTATTGGCCACCATCTGCCATCTGTATTCATGATCTTCAGGGCGCTCTCTCTTCTCTCCTACTCTTGACTTCCTCACTTCCATAATACAGACTACTTCAAAGTTTCATACTTAAAACTTTCTTTCTGAGTGTCAATATCATTCTGAAAAGATTAATTTGCCAACTATCCTTAGATCAAAACCCAAATATTTTCCAGCATGATACACAGGTGGTAGTTACCAAGTTTGTTTTTGACAAATAAGCAGGCTTTCAGAACCTTTACCGTCTTCCCAGTGAGTCACGGCACCATTTGTGTGGGTAACATTCAGTCTGCAATGTCCTTGCCAATATCTCTTTAACCCTTAGGCTACTTCATGGTAAGTTGTAACATATCATGGAACATCAGATGATAAGTTACACTGTACCATGCTGAATATGAGCCTATGAACCTCCAAAAATGAAAATCCTCCTTGCTCTGAGAAACAGAAATGCATGTAGAGTTGCAAAGAATCAGGAATGGCTAAGGGGATGATGAGCGGATGATGGTGGTTCAAATGTATAATCTCTTAAAATGTGAATCAAATGTATGTTTTGTCTATAGCAGATATAGACAAGTATGTAAACATAATATTTCTATGTGTAAATACACATAGAAATATGTACTATGATAGTTCTAGTCGTACTAGCTTCTGGGAAAAGGTGCATACTGGGACAATATGATGCTTCTTACTGGACCAAAAGTTAAAGGGATCAAAAATCATCTGCTGGGAATATGGAAAGAATTTCCATATCAGGGACTCAAACATTTGAGCATGGGGGGTAAGAAGACCCTTTGGAAGTCTCAGATTCTAAGAATATCACTCTGGTCCAGTTAGAGACACCAGATTCTTTACCTTGTCCACCTGTGATAGACACTTGCACACGGCCCTTCAACGTCAGAAGTACCCACCTGGTGTTTGTTCAGGTGTCCCACCGAGGGCTGGAGCAGACTGCTCATGCCTGGTCAACCTCATAGCTTAAAAATCAACAACAACTCTATTTAAATAAGCATTACAGACAACTTGAGTCTAGAAAAAACACTCAGTGCTAACTGCACTGATAGCAGAAACAAGTTCCTACTTGTAATTAACATTACATAAATGATGTTTATGCAACCAAAGTTTTGTGGTTTTATAGGGATCTCAAGAAGATCCTTCAATGTTACTTCAGTTCTTAAATCTTTAAAATTGTCTTGTGAATTAACTAACAGGAAATAATAATAAATAAACTTCATATACCAAACTGATGAGCTAGGTTAGAAAAGATCTGGGAAACAGATCTTTTAATTAATTTATTTAATTGAGGTACTGGTTTCTAGGATCTGAAACAGCTTCTTCTGAGGCCTCACACTACTCCAGGTCATTCCTAAATGGTCACCTGTGATTATCTTTGCTTCCTGAAAAACTGGTTTAGTGATTACTTAAAGGGCTTTCATTGACTCTTCCCAAGTTCAAAATACCACATTCCCATAGCTTGTCATAAAATAGAGAAAATGTAATAAAATAAAATCATATTTATGATTAAAAATGACCATGTTATATAAGGCTGTTTTCTAAGAAATTGCAGTGTAAAAGCAAATCTTTTAGCTTCTGACAGGGTAAGAAATGTGTTTTAGGTGTTATTAACTTTATAGGCTTTATTTAAAGATTTAATCATTGAATAGTTTTAACAAGTTAGTAATATATTTAAATATACTTGTTCATTAATATGATGATTTAGTTAAGAATTTTTAATTGTAACTCTTGTACCATTGCTAAACATTAGAGTTTATCTAGTCTTTGATTAATTTATGGGAAAGTTTATTCTCTTTAAAAATGCAATATAAAGAAAAAACTTTATAAAACAAGTATAGATAATTTTAAAAAAACAGGCAATGAAGCTTGTTTTAATTATCTGGTGAAGCTGAGTAGGAACCAACTTCTCCTCAGTCTGATTTTTCTTTTTCAAAAACAGCCATGATTACTGGTTTGAGGGCTCACATGGCTTCTCCTAGAATGCATGAGGAGAAAATACATTCCAAAATTCAGCTCTACATGTCTAGCTGCACAGATCTAAACATCTACATCTTATTTAGAAAAGTGCTTAAGTTACAAGGCTGGTGTGCATACTTTCACATTCTAGAACTTAGAAACCAAGTTTCTTGCCAAGCTTCAGTGGATTTGCTGCCTTCTACATTTCAAGACAATTTGCCACTGGATCAGGGCTTTGCTGCACCCATTTACATCCCTGGTGATTTTCTAGGGAATCTAAAAACCAAACTTGTTGAACAAGCTCAGTTTGCCAAATTTGCTACTCTCTGTGAACATTCAACAAGACACATCAGCCTCAGAAAGACATAAACAGATTTAATGAAGAATGGAAGAATATACTCAACGAATTTTGGAGGTCAGAGTCTCAGGGAGGGACAGGGCCCTCTTGGATTCTGCAGGTCCTTTCACACTGTCCCTCAGAGATCGCACGCTCTTCTGGCGGTTCCTTGCAAAGCGAGCCCTCTTGATCTTCCACAATGCGGCGTCACTGAGGTTAGCAACATTGGTCCTCACAGCAGTAATGGCTTTGCAAAAGGAATTAAAGAGGTTACGTGGTTGGTGCTACTGCAAATGAGTACTACCACTTTGGAAATGAGATTCCTCCAAAGACCAAGAAAGGAACTACCATATGACCAACTATTCCACTCCTCGGTATTTACCCAGAAGAACTAAAATCAGTATACTACAGTGATATATGCATACCAATGTTTATAGCAGTGCAATTCACAATAGCCAAGGAAGGGAACCAACCTAGGTGTCTGTAAACAGATAAATGGATAAAGAAAACATGTGTATACATTGTAAGTTTTAGCAGAAAAAGTGTACACAATGGAGTTCTTCTCAGCCATAAAGAATAAAATTGTGACATTTGCTGGTAAATGACTGTAGCTGGAGAACATCATGCTAAGTGAAACAAGCCAGACTCAAAGTCAAGGTGGATTGTTTTCTCTCACATGCATAAGCTAGAGAGAAATTTAAAAATGTAAAAAGGGGGTGGGGTGAGATCCCATGAAAATGGGAGAACAGTGGAGTAGAAGAAAGGAGTTGAGGGAGGAGCAATGGGGAAAGGGGAGGGATTGCAGAAAGAAATTGACTGACTTACACTATGTATATGTATGAATGTATTACAATTAATTCCATTTTATGTATATCTATAAAGCATCAATTTAAAAATAAATAAATAGAAGGAAGAACAGTGGAGTAGAGAGAGGGAAATAGAAAGAGGGAGGAGGGAAGGGAAGGTGGATTGAAGGTGGGGGCTGAGATGGAGCAAACTATATTATATGCATGAATGAATATGTCAAAATGAACCCCACTATTATGTATAATGTACTAATAAAAACATTTTTAAAAGAGAGGTTATTATTTTTCTTCACTGCTATGTAATAAGGTAGTTTGAAACACTCCAAATGTTTTTTTTCAGTATTAAAAGATATATTTCATGGGTGCATGAGTTCTCCTTCTCCCCCTATGATAAGTCCTAAATTTTAAAAAATCATGATTGCTGTCCATTGTAGCCATCATCTATAATCTTTCTGTTTAGACCACCAGATTAAATTAGACAATTTTGCTATCTTTTCCCCCATCTATTTAGAGCTATAAGCAACTCATTAATAAGTATACAAGAGCTTGCAAGGTGCAAATATATCTACAAAAATGCTAATAAACAATAGTTGCATAATGATTGAAAAATATTTAAGGAATACACAATCACAAATGGTTATCACAGGTCTTCAAGGAAATGAGAATAATTTTTATTTTGGAATACCAGTATATACTTAAATCTATGGATTAGTTTAATAGATGTTTAATAAACATTTGATGAGTTCAGTATACATGAAATCAAGGCATCCTTCTACACACCAAGTATCTTCTGCTTCCCTAAAAAGAACACGGACTGTGACTATTTACAAGTTTTTTGTTTTACTTACTTGTAGGAAAAGGAAATTCTTTGTTACAATCCAAATGAAGTTGAGCTTCCAAAGAAAGAGTCTCAAACCTATTGACAAAGAATTCCCAGCTCAAAGCAGGAATATCTTGCTTAAGAAAATGCAAGAGTAAAAGCTTGCTCAATATTGTCGGCCGGTCTTTCACCACAGTATCAAACTGAAAGTCAAGACAAAGACAAAGGCCCTGGAAAAGAAGGGAAAAAAGAAAGTCAAATGAAAATATCTATGGTACATCAATGGCAATATACTAAACAGGTCCATAAACAAGGCAACCTCCTCCATCCACACTTATAAGCAGAATTATTCAAGTGAATTTTTTTTTTTTTTTGTAGCAGGGATTAAACTCAGGGTTATGAAACCACTCAGTTACATCCCCAGCCCTTTTCATATTTTATTTAGAGACAGGGTACAGCTAAGTTGTTTAGGGCCTCACTAAGTTGCTGAGGCTGGCTTTCAATTTGGCAATCCCCCTGTCAGCCTCCCAAACTGCTGGGATTACAGGCATATGCCACAGCGCCCAGCTTGAAATCTCTTTTTAAAATTTTTTTTTTTAGTTATACATGGACATAATATCTTTATTTTGTTTATTTATTTTTATGTGGTGCTGATGTTCCATCCCAGGGCCTCAATGTAGGGGGCAAGTGCTCTGCCACTAAACCCCAGCCCCAGCCCCAAATCTTTTTTGATGGTAAGTTTTGGCAGGAAATATAAAAAGGCAGAAGAGAAGCTCCTCCTAATTGGAGAATATCTCTTGAATTTTGCTTCAGAAATGTGAATGATATGTATGTTATTCATTTTCTAATGCATTAAATAATAACTATTCAATTCAAATACCCCCAAGCCCTCAAGGCAGTGTGTCCTTGTTTTTGTTTTTTTTTGGTCTGGAGTTTCATTAAGAAAAACCTGTTTTCAAAGCTACATTTCATTCTGACTAGAGTGAGATGAAATCTCAGTGTAGTTTTAATTTGCAGTTCTTTAATTGTTAGAGATGTTGAACATTTTTTCATGTATTTGTTGATCATTCATATTTCTTCTTTGGAGAAGGATCTGTTCAGTTCCTTTGCCCATTTATTGACTAGGTTATTTGTGGGGTTTTTGACGTTAAGCTTTTTTTTTTTTTTTTTTTTTTTAATTTTTTATTGTTGGCTGTTCAAAACATTACATAGTTCTTGATATATCATATTTCACAATTTGATTCAAGTGGGTTATGAGCTCCCATTTTTACCCCATATACAGATTGCAGAATCACATCAGTTACACATCCATTGATTTACATATTGCCATACTAGTGTCTGTTGTATTCTGCTGCCTTTCCTATCCTCTACTATCCCCCCTCCCCTCCCCTCCCCTCCCCTCCCCTCCCCTCCCCTCTTCTCTCTCTGCTCCCTCTACTGACATTCGTTTGTCCCCCTTATATTATTTTCCCCTTCCCCTCACTTCCTCTTGTATGTACTTTTGTATAACTCTAAGGGTCTCCTTCCATTTCCATGCATTTTCCCTTCTCTCTCCCTTTCCCTCCCACCTCTCATCCCTGTTTAATGTTAATCTTCTTCTCCTGCTCTTCGACCCTACTCTGTTCTTAGTTACTCTCCTTATATCAAAGAAGACATTTGGCATTTGTTTTTTAGGGATTGGCTAGCTTCACTTAGCATAATCTGCTCTAATGCCTGAACAGACACTTCTCAGAGGAGGACATACAATCAATCAACAAGTACATGAAAAAATGCTCACCATCTCTAGCAGTCAGAGAAATGCAAATCAAAACCACCCTAAGATACCATCTCACTCCAGTTAGATTGGCAGCCATTATGAAGTCAAACAACAACAAGTGCTGGCGAGGATGTGGGGAAAAGGGTACACTTGTACATTGCTGGTGGGACTGCAAATTGGTGCAGCCAATTTGGAAAGCAGTATGGAGATTTCTTGGAAAGCTGGGAATGGAGCCACCATTTGACCCAGCTATTCCCCTTCTCGGTCTATTCCCTAAAGACCTAAAAAGAGCATGCTACAGGGACACTGCTACATCGATGTTCATAGCAGCACAATTCACAATAGCTAGACTGTGGAACCAACCTAGATGCCCTTCAATGGATGAACGGATAAAAAAAATGTGGCATTTATACACAATGGAGTATTACTCTGCATTAAAAAATGACAAAATCATAGAATTTACAGGGAAATGGATGACGTTAAGCTTTTTGAGTTCTTTGTATATCCTGGAAATTCATTCCCTATTTGAGGTGCAGGTGGAAAAGATTACATTTCTAGCAATTAGAGAAATGCAAATTAAAACCACACTGAGATTTTATCTCACTCCAGTCAGTCAAGAATATAAGTAACAACAAATGTTGGTGAGGATGTAGGAAAAAGGCACACTCATACATGCTGGTGGGACTGCAAATTGGTGCAACTACTCTGGAAAGCAGTATGGAGATTCCTCAGAAAATCTGATATAGAATTAACATTTGACCCAGTTATCTCACTCCTCAGTATATATCTAAAGGACTTAAAATCAGCATACTAATGACCAATATAATTCTGCAACATGTACACTCAGAAAAATGAGAAATTATATTTCATCTATGTCTGATATATCAAAGTGCATAACTTCATTCTACTGTCATGTATGACTAATTAAAACAAATAATTTTTTTAAAAAAATCAGCATACTACAGTGACATGGTCACATCAATGCTTACTGCAGCTCAATTCACAATAGCTAAGCTATGAAACCAACCAACATACCCATCAACAAATGAATGGATAAAGAAATTGTGGTATATATAAACAATGGAATATCACTCAGACATAAAGAGTGACTTTATGACATTTTCCAGTAAATGGATGGATCTAGAGACCATAATGCTAAGTGAAATAAGCCAATCCCCCAAAAAACAAAGATCAAATATTCTCTCTGATAAGTGGATGCTAACACACAACAAGGGGGAGGGGAAGAATACAAGTTCAGTAGATTAGACAAAGGGGAACAAAAGGGAAGGAAGGGGGATAGGAATAGGAAAGACAGTAGAATAAATCTAACATAATTTTCCTGTGTACATGTATAAAAATACCTACGTGAATCCACCATCGTACCCACTCAAGGAATGGGGTCCTAGTATAGGACATATTTCATGCTTATATAATTTTATCAAAATGGATTCTACTGTCATGTATAACTAACAAGAACCAACAACAACAAAAGCTACATTTCTGAATTCACATGAAGATATTTTTAAATTCCCTTTCACTTCTAAATTGCATGGTTCTCTAAAAGTCACTTTGTCTTTTTGGAATGTGAGTGGAACAGACTTAAAAAATCAAAGTTGGGGGCTGGGCTACAGCTCAGTTGTAGATCACTTGCCTAGCATGTGTGAGGCCCTGGGTTCAACCCTCAGCACCATATAAAAATAAATAAATAAACAAACAAATAAAATGAAAGCATTCTGTTCATCTACAACTACAAAAAATTAAAAAAAAAAATCAGAGTAGAAATAGATGGAGAATCCCCTTCTCTATTCCATGAGTTTACCATTTCACCTCTCTTCAATTGAGTGAAATTTAAAAGCTGTAATTCCTTCAACCATCTCATTTACTCATTTAACTGTAATCTAACAAGTGCCTCTTATATTCCAGGCCCTGAGCAGAGTGGGACATAGAATTCCTGGTAAGACATCAGAGAAGACTCCAGAAGACAGCTGGGGTTTATAAAGGAAAGCGGGCCACAGGCAGCACACTCTTACATTTTGTCAGACCCTGAAGAGTTTGTCCTTGCTTCTTGGTCTTAAATTATAGGAAAAAAAAAGCCACACCACATTGGGAGGCAGTGTGTACACACAAACACCTGCATGCACACACAGTTAAAAACATGGACTTAATTATGAATCAAACCTGAGTTTGTTCTGCCACAACTAGCTATGTGACTCTGACGTACTTTACCTTTCTAACCCTTAGTTTCTCATTTGTAAAATGGGAGCGCACAAAAGGGTATTGTGAATATGAATAAGCTAAGGCATGATGGAACACTTTTAATACAGGGCATTGGCAACATAGTGTCTATTTGACAAGTGTTAGCTCTTGCCCTAATTGTTAGTTTTGATAACAATGGCAAAATAACAAATCTGTATCAATATGGAGAAACAGTAGAGATTTTAGTCTTGATTCTCTCAAACTGATTTATTCTGTGCCCTTCAATTAGACCTGTCTCTCCAGGACTTGTAAAATTTCTGAAGTTTAGTAAACAGGTGCCACAGGAGATAAATGTACGACTCTCTCAAGGTCTTGTATCACGTTTGTGATGTTTCATTTTGGTGGCACACTTGCCTTCTCCAGCTTTACTTTGATTGCTATTATGATTCATCTGCTTTCTCTTAGCATCTATCCTGTAATGACAGGGGCTTCCAGCCTAGCAGCCAACAAAATGGCCTAGGATAAACCAGCCTAGTTTAAAAAGGTGCTACACACAACAAAAAGTTATGCAATAGTTACCGCTATCAAAGAGTGAGGTCAACAAAACTAAAATGAAAGAGCCAACAAAAAAGAATAAAGGGGCATCTCTGAATATCTGAAAATGGGTCAAGCTCTGGGATGATCTTCAATTTAAATACTTATACTGTATGGGTAGAGATTGGGGGCAAATAACTCATCTTTTTGTTTGTTTTCGATAAAATTTAACAAACCTGCCTTCAAACACACCCACAGAATTTCCACGTTACCATCATTGTCATCCATATTGTATTTATACAATGTCATGGTCTGAAGGTCGTGTTCCCCCCAAAATTTATTTGTTGAAACTTAATCACCATTGTGATCGTAATAGGAGGTGGGGCCCTTGAGAGATGATGAGGTAATGTTGGTGGGATCCTCATGAAGGGAATTAGTGTCCTTTTAAAAGAGGCCCCAGAAATAGTGAAAGGCACCAACCGTGAACCAAGCCCTGACCAGATACTGAAATCTGCCAGCACCCTCTAGAACTAGGATGAGTAAATTTCTATTGTTATATAAGCTACTCCATTTATGGTGTTTTATTATAGCAAGCCTGAAAGACTATGACATTGACAAATACCTCAGTAGTGGAACTGGCACAGACCATCTGCAGAACAAATATTACACATCATACATCACCTGCAATGCTGGCCTCTTTATGGTGTCGAGCAGGAGACCTGCCCTGGTAGCCACTGCAGGGTTGACATCTTCCACGGCTGTCAGAAAGCAGCAGAAGGCGTGTGCCAGGGAGTACTTTAGCAGGTGGTTTTTGGTCACTGAGTGAATATCCAGAAATCTACAAATTACAGCCACTTTTTCCACTGCAATGTAAAATACAGAGGACAAAATGTACAGAGGTACATATTACTCTTACTCTGAGAACTGAACCCACGAGAAAAAGTTAACTCAGGGACCCACATGGCAACGGTAAACACCAAAGGGAGATCCCCGTGCCCGTCTCCAGTGTTGTTTCATCTGCAGCAGAGGCCGTTCCCACTCGGGGCAGTGACTTCCTGCTGACGTAGCTCTTCACTTGATGTACCTCTTAGTCATTGTCTAGGCTTTTAAAATGGTCTTTCTCTTTGTTTAACTTTCAGTTCCATTTCAAACTACTCAAAATGTCTTTCTGCTCACTTGTGTGGCCATTCCATGGGAGCTCTGAGGACCACAGCAGGGAAGAAGAGGCACCCACCAGGCCAGGCGCCAGGTTTGGGTCTACTCTTAATGGTCATGATGTGAAATGACAGATAATTTCCTGTGGCTGCAGAAGCCACACATTTCTTCCAGGATACAAATATACCCTCGTTTAACGAATTTCAAATTATTCTTCAAATCTATGTAAAATTATTCTAGCCATTCTTACAGAACAATCTCATAAAAAATTTTCATACCAAGCACAGCAATACAGTGTGATGTGAATAAAGACATTTTAGTACTTTGATTAAGCTATTCTGGAATCCTAGAATATTCTTTCTACTCTTTTATCCTTGTTGACATTCGACCATTCCTATTAATTGCTGAGGTTCTATCTGTTCAATGAAGTCCCTCTGACCTTCCACCCAATGAACTCCTGTAAAAAGTACTACTCATTTTCACATTATTAATTTACATCTGGCATCTGTATATTCATCTTACATACCCATAGGACATGTGTTCTTTAGTGTTCTTACATTATGTCTTTTATTTTTTATCAACTTCATATGTGCTTGTATTTGGGCTCCTCAATTAAGTTGGAAGGCTTTTGATGGTAAAAATTTTCTCATACATTTTCTTATACTCACTTTTACCACTCCCATAGTACCTCTTACATGTAGTATTTATTCAGTAAATTCATGGATTCACTTGTTTTTAAAATATTTATTAAGAATGTATGTGTTTTATGTATTTGAAATTAAGGGACTATTGTAAGCAGTTGTGGGGAAAGGAAGTAAATGGAAGACTTTCCACATTCACAACTCTTGACTTCAAAGTCAAATTAACTAAAAGCAATAAGACAGATACAACTAGTTGAAATGTAATACAAAACTCTAATGGAGTACAAATAAAATGTAATGAGAGATCAGGGAATAAAGAAACTACTTTCTACTGAGATCACCTTGAAGGTGGAACTCAATGGTGGCATAGATAAAATGAAGATGGCATTTGGACAGGGACTAGAATGGAAGATGATTTCAGACAGAGAATAGAGAATGGCCAAGACACTGGGCCAAGGGAAGCAAGAAGCAATGGGCAAATGACAACGGTACAAGTAGAAAGGAGAGTGGCAAACCAGGCGGCAAACACTTGCAGTTAGGCGATGGGGAAATTTGTACAGCAGTTGAAGGAGCCTGAATATTTTTATTCTCTAGACATTGAGAACTCATTAAAAATTTTTATTTGAAAAGTAACATAATCAGAGCCATGATTCAGAAGACTAATCTGGCAATAATCTAATCCTTAAATTGGAATGAAGAAGCATATTTAAATATTTATCTGCTTTATTTGCATTTAAATACAAATTCCCTATAAAACATTGCAAATGCCATGCAGATTTTTGCTAGAAAATTTTACCCTACAACATCTAATTTCTTACACCATCATGAACTGGCATATTAACTAGTCCCTGGGATTTGTGTGAATGTCAAAAAGCAAGAACTCTTTGAAGTGGCCAGAGTGTAGGAAACTGTTAACTCATCTAATGGGACTTCCATTTCTGGGTCAAACTTTTGAGACACTAAAATACGTGGAACCATTCTTATAAGCAACACTCTGGCAATCCAAACCCTGCTTGCTGCCCCTGAGAACAATGAGACAGAAGATATAAAGTTCCAAGAAAACATCCAAGGTCCTTCTCTACCACATTATTCTGAGAATTTGCCATTTTATGCACTAGCAAATTAGACCCTTCATGCACCAGACTTGGTTCTTTGTGCCTCGATGGCAAGACCAGAAGGAATTCTCAAACCTTACTGAATTACCTGAAAACTTGTTTAAAATCTAGATTCCTATCCTCACCACTACCCTGAGATTCTGATTCAGTACGTTAGGGTGGGGCTCAATAACTATCTCAGTAACTCTGATACAAGTTACCTACATTATTTATAAACCAAATGGACACATTTGGGAGTAAAAAAAGGGGGGGGGGGCTAACTAATTATGCCTGGATAATGTCAAACACTCTGTAAAACTGTGTGGAGGAGACTCAGTTGAGGAACACCAGCCATCAGGAGAATGTCCCTTAAATGGCAGGAGGAGAAAGGAGGCCAAAAACAGATGTCAGAACTGGACATCTGGTTTACATTATGAGCAGAGAATTTTTAAGCTAATACAGAAGTACCTGCTTCAAACCTCATCTTCCAGTCTTTGCTGTTAAAGTTGCTGTTTATGATAGTCCAGAAGATGTCAGCACCATGAGGAAGGGACAGAGCATGGAGGAGGAGAGGGACCGCCAGTGAAGACAGCTGGGAGAACTCGGACTTGACGACTCTCCACAGGCTGAGGAGTCAAGAGAAGCAAAGTGGTGAGAGTTTATTGTTTCCCGGAAAAATATCCTCTTATCTTAGCTCCTGGTGAGTATAGTTAATTGTCAGCTGTTAGGGATGCTTTCAGTGAAATTACATTCATCCACAAGACTATAATCCTCTGATAACATTTTCTATACTGTTATATTAATTTTTTTAAAGAAATCACTTTCATATAACAATACAGAAAAATACCTATTACATCTTTAACATAAAATTAAAATTTGCATATTACAAATTTCAGCTACAAAAATAAACAATGACTTAATATACAAAACTGGCATTAGTTAAGATGATGGGGTGATACATGATTTTTAGCATTTTTCTTTTAATGAACAGCTGTAAAATTTTGTTGGTTTTGCCTTCCCAGCAGCCCTGTCCCCTTATTATGGCAAAGAACAACTATTTTTCTATTAAAAACAGCCTCTGCAGGAACTGGCAGTATTGTCAATCAAGCTCCCCCACTCCCCTATCATGAGGGTGAACCCAAAATACAATAGTCTTTCAATACCCAGAACAGTGACCAGTCTTACAAGTGGGCATATGTTTCAAGCATGGGAATGTCCAAGTGTTTGTTCAGAGAGCAATATTTTCTCTGGGAGAGAAAAGATCTCTCTCTTTCTGAAATCTCAGGAAGAAAGGGCAGTGTCAGTAAGGGGCTGCCAGAGGCTCTCTTTCCCACTTCTCAGGACAGCCTGCCTGGGGAGAAGCCAACACTTGGTTCTACCTAATAAGCAAGACGGACCTAGGCTAAGTGATGGGGTAGGTGGGGAAAGCAAAAAGACAGACAGGGGACAGAGGAAGGTCCCTGGTAATACCTTGCCCCTGATAAGTTTAAGCTAAGACCCTATCAAGCCCTACCAGAATAATTCTCAATATATTTTGGGTTCAATTTTTCATTTAACTATATGAAGCATGCCTTTTATTGGTTTTCTTTGTTATTTGAAGGATTTTTTTTTCATATGTGGCTCCAGAGTTAGTACCAGAAGCAATACTATTTGTTGTCGTGAGTCATTCATGAGCTGTGTGTGTGAGCTATGCGCATTTGAGCATATGAGGGGACGGGTCTGGTGTCGAGCACTTATTGGGCTATGCAACACAAGTGTGCCTTTTCTCTCACTCTGCCTATGATCCCATATAGCACCTGAAATGGACATGACTGGACAAAATGTCAATCAATCACCTGACCACAAGACATCACCAAGCAAGCCTCTACCCTTCGAAACCCATCCCTTGCCTTATTTGGGTGGAACATTTTATAGAATGTCTTTTCCTCAATAAGTAGAGGGGTTTGGGGTGTGCTGGCTCTCTTGCTTGCCTCTCTTGCTCCCCTTGCCCTCTTTCCAGCATGGAAGGTGATCTTTGAGGTCACAGAGCCATCCCTGACCCCAGCAATTAAGAAAAAGGTATTTTCATGTTTGTGTAGTTTCTTTGCCACTTTCTTAGTTATTGATAAATAACTCGGATCATCTTGTCAGCCTGGCCAGCTGGCGACAATTTGTGACTTTAAAAAGCTTATAATGAGGGCTGGATTGTAGCTCAGCGATAGAGCGGTTGCCTAGCAAGTATGAGGCACTGGGTTCGATTCTCAGCACCACATATAAATAAATTTTAAAAAGGTCCATCAACAACTTAAAAAAAAAAAGCTTATAATGTACCACAGAGAGATGAGCAGAATGTCACTTTCTCTCTCTTCTTTGCAGAAAGCATACTGACATACAACACAATAAATTTGCCTGCTAATCAGAAGACATGCCAAAACTATAGCATAAAAAAGAGCCATTTTCAAACACCATCAGTTCAACCTGAGTACTGGAAGTCAGACAAACGTGGGTCTAATCCCAGCACTGCCGTCAATCAGCTGTATAACCAAGGGCAAAGTTTTCAACTCCTCTGAACTCCCGGTTCCTCCCAATGTGGGCTGATGCAGGGTGCTTGGCATACAGGAGTTATTCAAAGACCTTGAACTACCATCATCCCTGTGAGGGAGCATGATGATGTTTCTATGAAGAATGAAGAGGAAAGAGAAGACATAATTGCCACTTTGTGGAACTTTCAACTTAGATAAAGGAGGCGAACCACACACAGAACCTCCAGAACACCATGCTAGGACGAGAAGCTGGATCTGGACTGCCCTGTTGGCTGTTGAAGTCCTCTAAGGCAGCTTGGGTGGAAAAGAGGAAGACTGTCCTTTCCCAGACTCCTTCATTGTCATGATGTTAGGGTGGGACTTTGAGGAAAAAGCTTAGACTAAGTACCCCAAAAGCACAGCATCAATAATCCATTAGGCTTGGGCACATTTTTCTATGGGGAATACTTCAGTAACTGAAGTCTGCCTATTAAGAATCCCCACTCCTCTAGAATTAACAGAACATCTGCCCTGACTGTTCCATCACTGATTCTGACCATATTTGCAGCTTGTCTCATCTTTGGCCTGAACCTTTCAGATCATCCTCACTCTTCCCCACATCCAGGTCAGCATGTCTACCTCTCAGCTCCTTCCTCCCGCTACACCTGGATAATCCCTATTTTATGATGAGGAAACCTCTGTAGCCTCTCCACCTTTCCTTCTGTCATTCCTCTGCCTTTCCCATAGGTGCTTCTGTAGTGGGTTGAATAGTGTCCCCCAAAATTCATGTCCACCTAGAACTTCAGAATGTTACCTTACTTAGAATACACATAATTAGTTAAGGCAAGTTCATACTGAATTAAGATGGGCCCTAAATCTAATGACTGGTGGCCTCATAAGAAGAGGAAGGCAGAACACGCAGGAAATATGCTCTTTACAGCTGGGTCCCAACCTACTTCTCTGGCCTCTTTTTTCCTTATTACCTCACAAAACCACACCATGAATCATGAAGCAAAAATGAAACCTTGGCATCACCTAGGCTGGCCTTGCTCATTTCTCACCTCCTCTTTGCAACTCCATCCTCTGGTTGCTCTTAACACTTATGCTTCCCCAAAAAGGTTCTACCTATCTCCAAACTTATCAACCAAAATTCTTTGCTGTAGTACCCAAACGGTCTCTACTGCTCAGCCCTTCACCAGCCATTCATCCAGAAAAGAGCTCACCCACCTGTGAATTGTGCAAAATAGTCACTTATCACATTCCCTTGGGTTACACATATATACATATTTGGGTGTGTGTGTGTGTGTGTGTGCACATGTGTATAAAATGACCATGTGTCTTAGTTTATCCAAGATCTTAGTTTATCCTGTTGTTTTGATATTATTGTGAAGGCCATCCCACTTTAATCTAAAAAGTAGACCAATTTAAATAATAAAATATGTGATCATCTTCTGTATACTGAGAATTAATCCCTTCTAGACAAGACTACAAACTCCCCAAGTGCCTAGAATAGTAATATATACAGTGAACACTCATTATATTTTTTGAATGAGTAAATAAATAAGTGAACAAAATAAATAAAGACAGACTTGGTTTTGTCTCCTAGTTACCCTTAACCTGAAGGAACCTTTTTCCTTTTCCTTTTTTATCATTTTTCCTTTTGTCTCATCTTATTCTCTTACATGTAAAATGAGGATAATATTTTTTTGACTTGCTGCCAGGAAAACTCTAACAGTTATTTTAAGGTCCTCCAGAAGAAAGCACTGTATATCCAGGGCAATATTTTATTATTATTCTCAAAATGCCTCAGCAGTGTCTAAGAAAATAACTTTCCAGACAATGCATGGAGGGATTTTAGATGTCTATTAGTTCCATTTCATGTGAGAAAATGAGTAAATCCTTACTTAGTTATACTAAGTAATTATTAAATTATCTGTTGACTTTTTATAGGGCATGCTTTATTCTTAACCCATATAACAACTAAAAGGCATAAAAGTAACCCATGTTTTACTTTTTAATATTCCTACAGTATCTAGCAAGTGAACATAATCTTCATATTGACATAGTTTAATATCAGGTGAAATAAAATAAATAAAAGTAGTTCCATAGGTAATAAAGCTGTCCTTCCTGAGAAAATAACCCAAATGAGCTAGTAAGTCATATTCTAAGTTCACGTCTGAAGCTTAAAATATAAACAAACAAAATAAGACATTAGGAAGACATACCTTGCGATCAACATGTGGTCCTGAATGTAGGCTAAAAATTGGGGATGATCTTTTCTAGCAATGTATAAACATTCTCCGTGCAGACAGAGAATCTTCAGGCAATTGAGCATATTAAAAAGAATGTCTGGCTCTTCAAATTTAGCCATTTCCTATGCAAAAAAAAACCCACATGGTTACTGGGTTTTCCAAAACAGCATGCTACTAATCCAAAAATTCAAAGATTTCAGAAAATATACCTGGAAAATGGTGTATATTAGTCTCAACGTTACAGGAAGCTGTTGGTAGCAAAACTTTCTTTCAGTATCATTCTTTACTGCTGTGAAGAAATAATTACACAAAGGTTAGCCTATCTACTCCACACACCCCAATCATCATCAGTTGATCAAGATCATGAAACCAAATACAGAATATATTGATAAGTGTTTGTACACAAACCTTACATGTTTTTATTTGCTCTCCAAATTAGAGTATAGCCCTTCCATGAGACAAGTGCAGAAAGCCTCAATGTAGGCTTCTCTGCCTCCATTTTCACTATTGGCCCATCATGGATTCTGAGATCTTTGGCTCCCTGAGCTACCCCAGCCCAGCCCTATGCAGGTCAATTAGCACCAGAGGGGTTTAATCCCATAAATTAACTCAAAATAGGGCATTCAGAAAAAAAGATGAATGTATTCAGATGAGAACACCACTGGTTTTATCTTTTTGTTTTATCTTCTTGTAGGATCTCTAAACCCTTTGTCACTGGTGGTGGGGGGAGGGCAATAGTATACTATAGTAACTTCAATGAAGTTAACCAAATGAAGACACTAGTGTAAAATGTGTTAAATAACACACCAATGTAGTAAGCTTTGGCAATTTCTAGGATTAGAGACAACGGCAGTCTAATCCTCTCAGCCTATATATTAAACAGTTTACTGAGAATATTCCATTCAAAGATATTTTAAACACTTGCTACCAGCCCTTGGCTCGATTTGTTTAATGTGGAAGTTTGATACAATATTTTAGTGGTGGACATAGATGACTGCCATATGCAATAGGCACCAGGCCACTGAGTGAAGAAAAACGAAATTGTCTTGAAGGTAATGGAATCACTGAACATGCGGATGGAGCAGCCACCCCCTGACTCCCTGAGGAGGAGTGAGGATCACTGCCTGAAGGCCACAGAGCTGGGGCAGCCTGCAGCTCTGAGAAGCCAGGAACGCGGTCATGGGAGAGTTTACAGGGGCTTCCTTGAGGACACAGTCCATAGCTGTGTCCTGCAAGACAGCAGAGAGCAAAAGAAGGGAAGCAGCTGATGCTGTGCCAGAGCCTGAAGCAGTGTCTGGGGAAGAAGGGCAAAGTGAACGCCTTACAAGTAGAGTTTATGATATGTCAGCAAGAAAAATAGTACAGCTGGCCTCCACATCCACGGTCTCTGTACCTATAGATTCAACCAACTAAGGCTCCGAAACAAACAGAGGGGAAAAAAATGCATCTATACTGAACATATACAGATTTTTTTCTAATCATTATTCTATAAAAAATGCAATATAACAACTATTTGTATAGCATTCACACTATATTAGGGATTATATGCAACTTAGAGATAATGTGAAACACATAGGAGGATGTGTGTAGATTACAGGTAAATATTACACTATCTTGAGCACCACACAGTCTTTGATCTCTGTCAGGCGGAGCGGATGTGTCTTAAAACCAGCACCCTAGGGACATCTGTAATTTATTTTTTAAAACTGTTTGATTTTAACCATTGTTCAAATAAAATATTGTATATAGAAGGGGCAATTGATTGATTTGTGCATTATCTTAGGTTTAGAAAATAAATCTGTATGGAAAGAGCACAGGTCAGGGGATTCTAAGTGAAGCCCTGGCTTCCCTTAGGCATGAAGCCTGAAAAAAACATGACTCTGGGCTGTCATTACTTTTGAGTAAAGCAGGAGACCTGGTTTCTAGTCCCAACTCCCGCTACTACTAGTTTTGTAAGATTCGAATTTCTAATTCCCAGGCCCCCACCCAGAATATACTCAAAATTGGGGGTGGAGAGTGGAGCTCATTTGTTTTGTTTGTTTCCAGTCCTCAGATGTTTGTGATGCTCCATCCAGCACAGCCTTGGAAGCACTTATGTATAAGCATAAATTATAAATGAATCACAAGAGCTACACCACCATGGGCAGATCATTTAACCCATCTGGGATTTATTTTCTCATCAGCAAAGTTAGAAGGCTGAACTAGATTAGCAGATTCAACCTTCTTTTCTGAAGGATGCTTTGTTTAAGGAAAATCCTGCTTAGAACTCCAGTGTAAAAAGTATAGCAAATTGGAGAACCCCACAGAGCTGGGCAGGGAGCCCACATATTTATCATTGGCCCTCATTTTCCCACCAATTGTCACCCCAATGAAGGAAGTTCCAAAGAAATTAACAGGGAGTTTTCATAGCTCCAGGAAGTACCCTTCAAAAACCAATAAAATGGATCACCTCAGACATTCCTTCAAACTCTAAGTTTCAATGGTATCAAGTGGTGTGGGCTGAGATAGTCATACTCACTTTACCAAGTGGAAGCAGTTCTGACCAAGAATTTTGTAGCAATGATGTGGTTACCTTGGTCTGAATAAGACACTGAGTAGCAACAGTGAACCCCACAAAACAGTCCCCTAAGAATGCTTACTGTTCGCTGAAGGAATGATGTAAAGCCCTTGTTTTCTGATTCTGGAGTGAGTCTCCCAGGACGAAGATAGTCTAATAGTTCAGGATAATGAAAGCAGGAATATTTTTTTGAAGCTGCCCCAATTGCCCCAGGTACTGTTCAAATTCCCAGAGTACCACCATCCAGATCTACAAAATTAGGCTTCTCCAGAGGCACATGGGGGTCACATCCTGAATTCCCTAAACTCCCTCAGAGCACAAATTACAAATTAATCCATTTTCCTGTCATCTTGTTGTTCCAAATCTGCCCACTCAGAGCCTTTAAGCAAATTATAAAGTCATCCCTCCTCCCAACTGGGAGTGGAGTCATCTAGACTCTGAGAAAGACCTTAGCAACTACCAACTGTCCATTGTCCTAGCCAAGTGCATGGGGTGCAGAAACTGCATGGAAGCAAGTTGTGTTCCCTCTGAATGAAAATATTTTGCTCTGGCCACGTGCCCTGAGTAGCTGTTGAACTTGCCAGCACCCTCCACCTCAGCCAATCAGCGTCTGCTTATAGTTACTTCTGCACACAATGAACACAACTCATTTTGTCGGAATTGTGTTAGTTTTCTACACTAACATAAGTTTTTCATGGGTAACAAGATCTGTTTCCAGAAAGATGATCAGATTGTGTTCCACTGAAGCTATAATGGATCTTCCACCTCATAATCTGGTAGGAAATGGCTCATCTGCATAAGTCAACATTAAGAAAGGTGCATCTGAACTTGCCGTAGTCTATATCAACCTAAGAAACCAAGGATCTGAGCATTGGGCAAACTGGAAGGTGCATACTGTGCCCTCCCCATCAGCCAAGTTCACCTACCAGCATGTTCCGTGGGAGTGGTGCGACTGCCTGGGTTCTCCCCATGCTTGGCTGCTGGGTCCTCCTCCTCTCCTTCAGGGCCTATAATGAACTCTGGTCTGGAAGAAAGGAGGCTATCCTCCAGGCTGTCTGTGGGCTCCTGAAACAAACACAGCAAACCGTTGGGCTGCACAGAAGGTTTGGCTTAAGTCAATAAAAATGGATCATGGCCTGTTCTGTTCAACCCTCTGAGCTAGGAGGGCAAGGCAGCACACCTCCAGGAAGCCTGAGTTTGCTTCCATAACAGTGAAAGATCTGTACCAACTGTTATTGAAGCATTTGTTTTCACTTGAATAAAAAAGAAAAAATAATGAACACATCATCTAGGCGACTCTCACATCTTCCTAGGCTACTCTCCACTTCTGCTTTAATCCCCTAGATTGGTAAGTATCCCACTCACCCAAGGACTCCCACCCATGAACATTTTGTTCAGAATTTATTTAGGAGGGGAAAATAAGAGGTTTTCAGAGATATGTTCAAATACAAATGCTAATTGTCCAGTCAAGTTAAAATATTAGAAGCAAGAAGTTACCATAGCATGAGAGAAAAAGGGAACAAGGTAGGACAACCAAAGTGTCCATTAACAGATGAATCAACAAAATGTGGTCTGTCCATGCAATGGAATATTTCTCAGCCTTAAAAAAGAAGGAGATTCTGACACCTGCTACAACATGGAGGAAACTAGAGGACATTCTGCTCAGGCATACTACACAAGTTTCACTTATATAGTTTACATTGTATAATGTAGAAACAGAAGAATGGTGGCTCCCAGGGGCGGTGGGAAAAGAGACAGGAGTAATTGTCATTTAATAGTTTTAGAGTTTCAGTTTTGCAATAGGAAAAAGTCCTGGAGATGGGTTGTATAACAATGCAAATATACTTAAAGTTCTGTATTTATACATAACACGTCATGTATATGCATATGCGTGTGTACACACAAATAAAACAGGCTGCAAAAAATAGAAGGAAAAGAAAATATTTAATTTTTCTGAGGTTTTTTTTTTAAAGAGAGGGTTAGGTATGGCTACCATTTAAAATATCTAACCTCGGGTAACTCTTCTACTTTTTTTCTTTCATGACTCATCTTCAAATATCTTCTTATAAAATTATCCTCATAACTATCACATTGACCACTAAACATTTTTTCAAACTTTATTTGACAAGCAAACAGGAGATAAAGATTGGCAGGACAAAGAAGATCATGAAAAGAAAAAATAAGTGCTAAAACAGTAACTGATAGGGCTCTGAACAAACACCTTTGCCAACTTCATAGTTTTATTGAGGCTGGCCCTGTTCCTGGAACAAACAGAAAGAAAACACCACAGCAAATCATAAACTGAGTTTCACACAGTTTGGCCCAATGGAGAGTTGCCTGCTATATACCGACTCCTGCATACACCTGGGAACCCACATTTCCAGTACTGTCCACCAAGGTAGCAGAGACCAGATGTGACCTGTCTTGCAAACTAGCCAAAGCCTCCTGCCAGCCCATTCTTCTTGTCCTCACCCACTCTCCTGATCTCCACTTATCCAATTAGGAAGTAGCTACTACATGCAGTAGACACTATTTGTTCTAAGAGTCTTCATCTGTTGATGAGCATCTAAACCATAATTTTTTTAATACTGGATATTGAACCCAGGGACATATAACTACTGAGCCATGTCCCCAGCCTTTTTTTTTTTTTTGTACCAGGAATTGAACTAAGGGGCACTTAACCACTGACCACATCCCTATCCCTTTTTATATATATATTTAGAGACAGAGTCTCCCTGAGTTGCTTAGGGCCTTGATAAGTTGCTGAGACTGGCTTTGAACTTGCAATCCTCCTACCTCAGCCTCCCAAATTGCTCAGATTACAGGTGTGCACCACCACACCTGGTGTCCCCGCCCTTTTTATTTTGTATTTTGAGATAGGATCTCACTAAGTTGCTTAGGGCTTCGATAAGTTGCTGAGGCTGGCTTTGAACTTGCAATCTCCCTTCCTCAGCCTCCAGAGTTTTTGGGATTATAGACATGCACCACCATGCCCAGCAATTGCTCATCATACCATTTGTGTTTATTGAGCCAATTAACATTGTAGATGTCATAATAGAAACTAAGTATTTAGTTCAATGCTGTATACTGTTTTCTTCTGTTGTTGTTATTATTTTGTCTTCCCTTAAACCATTAGGTACCAGAAATATTCATGGATACTATAAATTCATAGGGTAGAAACTCTGCCACCTCAGATTGATACTAATAAAAGGGTAGACACACAAACAATATGAAAAAGCAAGGGAACAAACCATCCTAAACAAATAAAAATACCTCAATAACAGAATCCATTGACATCACAGTGGAGAAAATGTCAGAGGAGGAATTTTAAAAGTTCATAGTTAAACTGATTTGTAAAGTAAAAGATGATGTAAGGAGTGAAACTGGAAAGAAAATAAAGTGAAAGATCACTTCAATAAAGTGATAGTTTCTAAAAAAGAACCAAATGGAAATCCTCAAGCTGAAGAAATCAATAAACCAAATTAAAAATTCAGTGGAAAGCATCACCAACAGACTAGACCACCTGGAGGATAGAGTTTTAGGCAATGAAAACAAAATATATAATCTTGAAAATACAGTTTACCATGGAGAAAAGATGTTAAGAGACCATTAAAAGAACTTCCAAGAAATATGGGATAACATGAAAAGGCCAAATTTAAGATTCATTGGGATAGATGAAGGCTCTGAAATAACAAATTAAAGGAATGCACAATCTTTTAAATGAAATATCATCAGAAAATGTCCCAAACCTTAAGAATGAAATGAGAAATCAAATACAGTTGGCTTGCATGACTTCAAATATATAAAACTGCAATAGACCCACATCAAGGCACATTATTATGAAAGTGTCTAACATAGAGAATAAGGTAGAATTTTAAAGACTATTAGAGAAAAACCATAGGTCATATCTAGACATAAGTCATTCCAGACTTCAGCTGACTTCTCAACCGAGACCCTAAAAGCTAGGACATCTTGGAATAATATATACAAGTTCTGAAAGAAAATGGATGCCAACCAAAATTATTATACCCAGCAAAATTAACATTCAAATTGAAGATGAAATAAAAACCTTCCATGATAAACAAAAGTTAAAAGAATTCACAACTAGAAAGCCTATACTATAAAACATACTCAATAAAATATTTCATGAAGAAGAAATTAAAAATAAAATTCAAAAACAGCAGAGGGAGGAACTACACTAGAAGAACAGTCAATCAAAGGAGAAACTAATACAAACTAAAAACCAGAAATAAATAAAAATGACAGGGACTAAAAATCATCTCTCTAATAACATTAAATGTAAATGGCCTAAAGTCATCAATCAGAAGACACAGAGTGGCAGACTAGATTGCAAAACAAGACCCAACAATATGCTGTCTCAACAGACTCACCTCATAGGCAAAGACACCCACAGACTGAATGTGAAAGGATTGGAAAAAAACATATCATTCACATGGATCTCGTAAACAAGCAGGGATTTCTATCCTCATATCAGATAAAGTGGACTTCAAGTCAAGGTTAATCATAGGAGACAAAGAAGGTTATTTCAGACTACTTAAGGGAATTATAAAACAAGAAATAACAATAAATATCTATGCCCTAAACATCTATGCATTTCAATATGAAGATACAATACACATATCAACATGCCTTCTCAATATGAAGAATCAAATAGACTACAACACAATAATACTGGGTGACTTTAACATGCCTATCTCATCACTGGATGGATTGTCCAAACAAAAACTAAATAAAGAAGTTGTAAAACTAAAAAATATAATTAATAATTTAGATCTAACAGACATGTTTAGACTATTTCATCCATCAATGACTGAATACACTTTCTTCTCAGCAGCACAAGGATCCTTCTCTAAAATAAACCATATCTTAGTCCACAAAGCAACTCTTTTAACAAATAAAAAAATAGAAATAATACCATGCATCCTAACAGATCACAATGGAATGAAATTTTAAAAATAGAGAAAATACCATGCATCCTATCAGATCATAATGAAATGAAATTAAAAATCAATGATAAAATAAAAAATAATACCTGGAGACTAAATAATACACTATTGAATGACAAAAGGATAGCAGAAGAAATCATAGAAGAAATAAAAAATACTTAGAAGTAAATGAGAATAATGATGTAACATATCAAAATCTCTGGGACACTATGAAGGTGGTTCTAAGAGGAAAATTCATAGCATTGAACTTATTTGTTCTAAGAATAGAAAGACACCAAATAAATAATCTACATTATATCTCAAGGCCCTAAAAAAGAATGAATCAACACCAAAATCAGTAGAAGACAGGAAATGATTACAATCAGAGCTGAAATCAATGAAACTGAAACTGTAAAAGTTAAAAAAACTCAACAAAAAGTTGGTTCTTTGAAAAAATTAACAAATTTGATAAACCCTTAACCAAGCTAACCAAAAGAAAGAGGGGAAAAAAACCCAAATTATTATAATTCATGATAAAAAGGAAATATCACCACAGACATTACTAAAAACCAGAGGATAATCAGAAACTATTTTGAAAATTTATACTTCAATAAATTAGATAATCTTAAAGACATCAACAAATTTCTAAGACATGACCTACCTAAATTGAACAAGGAGGACATAGAAGATTTAAACAGATCAATTTCAAGTAATGAAATTTAAGACACCATCAAAAGCAAAAATTGTTAATAAAATAATGGAAAACTTCACACAAAAATATATTAAAAAGAGAGTGCACCATGATCAAGTAGGTTTCATCCCAGGGATGTAAGGTTGGGTCAAAATACAGAAATCAATAAATATGATTCACCACATCAATAGACTTAAAGACAATAATCACATGATTATCTCAATAGATGCAGAAAAAAACATTTGACAAAGTATAACATCTATTCACATTTAAAACACTAGAAAAATTACAAATAGTAGGAACATATCTCAACATGGTAAAAGCTATATATGACAAACCCAAGACCAACATTATTCTAAATAGAGAAAAACTGAAAGCATTCCCTCTAAAAACTGGAACAAAATAGGGATGCTTTCTTTCACTACTTCTACTTAACATAGTTCTTGAAACTCTAAGCAGAGAAATTAGGCAAAATAAGTAGAGGGATATGAATAGGAAAAGAAGAACCCAAACTATTCCTATTTGCACTATGCAGATTTAATGCAATTCCTGTTAAAATTCCAATGATGCTGTTCATAGAAATAGAAAAAGCAATCATGGACATTTGGAAAGATAAAAGCCCTAGAATGGCCAAAGCAATCCTTAGTGAGAAAAGTGAATCCAGAGGCATCATAACACTAGACTTTAAATTATACTACAGAGATATACATCAACATCAATGCTTATTACGGTTCAATTCACAATAGCTAATAGAGATATAGTAACAAAAACAGCATGGTATTGGCACCAAAACAGACATGATGACCAATGGAACAGAATAGAAGATACAGAGACAAACCCACTTAAATACAGTTATCTGATACTAGACAAAAGCTCCATAAATATACATTGAAGAAGACAGCCTCTTCAACAAATGGTGCTGGGAAAACTGAAAATCTATATAGAATATAGATTAAATCTGAAAATCTATAGAGTAGTAGAGTAAAATGTAACCCTAATCTCATATCCTGCACAAAACTCAACTCAAAACTAACTCAAAGTGGATCAAAGACCTAGGCATTAGACAAGAAATGTTGCACATACTAGAAGAAAATGTAGGCCCAGCATTCCATCATGTCAGCTTAGGAATCACCTTTCTCAATAAGACTCCTGGAGCACAAGAAGTAAAATCAAGAATCAATAAATGGGACTGTATCAAACTAAAAAACTTCTTCACAGCAAAGGAAACCATCAAGAGCATGAAGAGAGAGCCTACAGAATGGAAGAAAATCCTTGCCACCTGCACCTCACAGTATTAATCTCCAGGATACATAAAGAACTCAAAAATCTTCACACCACAAAAACAAATAATCCAATCAATAAATGGACAAAGGAACTGACAGGTACTTTACAGAAAAAGAAATATGAATGGCCAATAAATATATAAAAAAATGTTCAACATCTCTAGCAATTAGAGAAATGCAAATTAAAACTACACTGAGATTTCATCTCACTCCAATCAGAATGGTAAATATCGAGAATACAAGTAACAATAAATGGTGGCAAGGCTGTCTGGGAAAGGATACACCCATACATTGCTGATGGAACTGCAAATTGGTACAGCCACTCTGGAAAGCAGTATGGATATTTCTCAAAAACTTGGAATGGAACCACCATTTGACCCAGCTATCCCACTCCTCAGTCAACACCCAAAGGACTTAAAATCATCATACTACAGTGACATATCCACATCAATGCTTATTACAGTTCGGTTCACAATAGATAAGCTATGGAACCAAACTTCAACAAATGAATGGATAAAGAAATTGTGGAATGTAGACACAATGGAATATTAGTCAGCCATAAATAAGAATGACTTTATGACATTTGCTAATAAATGGATGGCTCTGGAGACTATTATGCCAAGCGAAATAAGCCAATCCCAAAACCCAAATGTCCTCACTGATATAAGGATGCTAACACACAACACCAGTGGGGAGGGAAAGAACAGAAATTCAGTAAATACCAGAGTAAATCTCCACACCCCACACCATGTACAACCACAACACTGGAATCCTAATTAGAATAAGATGGACTCCATGTTTGTATAATATGTCAAAATATACTGTCATTTGCAACTAAAAAAAATCTTAAATCTTTGTGATAAAGTTCTTTTAAAATACCAGTAATGCTTTATGTTTATGGAAACTGCATGAATGGAGTTCTACAACCCTAACTCAAGCCACCTAATAGAATTCCATATAATGTGGCTGCATCTCCAGTCTTTTTCCAGGAACTTGTGTTAGTGAAAGTAATAGGAAAACTTTCTTTTGGTACAGTCTCACATATAACCCAGCACAGAGTATAAGATAACCCTGGAGGAAGACCCCATTACACCACTTTACACCACTGCCACCATCTTCATTACTACTGTACACAAGTCATCTCTCTTCTTCCACTACTTACCACCAGCCTGCTCTCTTCTTTGGGAGCCAGTCTTTCTAGGAGTTCACAAGCAAGCTGATAACAGAGGATGCTAGACTGACATAAGTTGCACTCGATTGCTTTTTCCTCCTTCTGGCAGGTGTGGGAGCCCCCCCAGGGGGCCTGGAAGACATTGTTTATAATAGAAATAATGTCCTTTGACAAGCTGTGCTCTAAACCCATTGTGATTCCATCATCTTGTAACTCCATCTGAAAGACATTGGGAAAAGGATCCCCCCCAAAAAAAAAAGAAAGAAGAAGAAGAAGAAGAAGGAATTTGGTATTTTTATCCAACATTTCATTGATATACTAGATGGAGATAATTTTCACTACTGACACCAACATTAAATTATTTAATGACAATATAGGTTCAATATCATAGATCGATATTTGTTTCCAAAGAGTCTTCTAGAAAAAATATAAACACAAGACAAAATAATGAGAATTATTTTAAAAATCACATGTAACATTTAACAGAGTTGTTTTAAAATGCATCACTTTGTGATATTTTATACACTTAAAAAAAATGCTATTCCTCATCTACTTTCCAGATCTTGGTTTCTAATTACTGCAATCCACTTAGTGGATAGGAATCAGGGATCCTTGGAGAAATGGCCAATTCCAGGGCTGGGGCAAGGAAAATATAAGATGAACCTGGAATATCTTGTCATGCCAGAAATTAAGGAAATGTTCAAAGAATGATATGAACATGTCAGAAGAACACAGAGCCAGCTTTAACAGACTCCCACTGGCCAATATGAGCAATAAAATAAATAATCATAGTTAAAGATTATAACTTACCGAATAAAATAAAAAATATCACTTGGCAGCCATCATAGTAAAAATTGATGCAGGCATGAAATGAATGTCAGTGCTAAAAAGTCTCATTAAAAAAAAAAAGGAAATCTCATCATCTGAAAGTGTTTCCCTACAAGTTACTTGCTATTTACAAAAGGGAAAATACAGGTATCCCTGGTATCTACAGGGGATTGGTTCCAGAACCTACCCACATATATGAATTTCCATAGCTTTATATAAAAATGTTACAATATTTGCATGTCATGTACATGTATTCTCCCATTTATGTCAAACCATCTCTAGATTACTTACAATACCTAACATGATGTAAATGTTATATAAATAGTTGTTATACTATATTTAGAGAATAATAACAAAAAATAAGTCTGTACATGTTCACTATAAATGCACTGTTTTCAAAATTTTTTTTAATACTTGGTTGGTTACATCTGCTGATATGGAACTCCTACATACCCAGGGCTGATTTGTAATGACTCAATAGAGAAAATTGGCAGAAATCATATTGTAAACCAAGTGATCAAAGTTATTACTAGTAAGGGGTCAGTATTATATCTGTGCCTCCTGACATGATGCACTACAAAGGACAGAACATCACATCTTTGGTTCTTCCTGCCAAAAACGTATGAGCCAAATTAAGTCATAAGGAAATGTCAGACAAACTCAAAGTGAAACACATTCAACAAAACAACCAAACTATATTCTTGAAAACTGTCAAAGACATGCACAATAAACAAAAACTGAGGGACTGTCCTGAATTAAAGAAGACCAAGAAACCAGCACCAGTTGTTGCTGTGAGTGACCCTAGATTGTTCCTAGATAAAAAACAGTGTTTTTTTCCTTATGATATAAAAATGATACTTTTATTATATCAATTTTAAATGAGTAATTTCTGTAAGATAGATAAAATATTTCCTGATTTGATAACTGTACTGTGATTATGTTAGATAATATCCTTATTTTTTAGAAACCACTCTGGAGTACTTGGGGATAAAGATACCATGTTTTCAATTTACTCTCACATGATTCCTTAAGAAAATTCATTTATATGCATACAGAGAAAGAGAGAGAGAAAGAAGTACATGTGCTAAATGTTAACATCTGAAGAATTTGAGACAAGAGTGCTCAGGAGTTCTTTATACTATCCTTGCAACTTGTCAGCAAATCTAAAATTATTTAAGAATAAAAGTCTTTTTAATTTATTTTTTTAAAATTATCTTTGAAAATCAACCCATAAGATATATTAAAATTAGTCCCATCACTATGGAGTTGTACCTCACTGTTTCAAAAATAGTTTTGTCCAGTTTGTTCATCCAATTTATTCAACAGAATCAATTCTAATGAAGCCATAATCTTCTAAAATTCAAATCCATTCTCACATGTCAGCATCATTGCAAATATCTACACAAGTAGTTTTCAGGCTATTTAAGAAATTTCCAAAGCAATATGTAAAATGACCTGAGTGATGCCAGTGTGTATCACTTTTATTTTCAAATCACTTCAGTAAGTGTGAAGATGCCCAACACATGGAAAGAATCACTATACAATGTTTTTCCTCCTTCTTCACCTTTGAACTAAGGGAAGCTCATGCTTCAGCTACCTGTTTCAGGAGAAGATCAAACATGAGGATGAAACAGTTTAGATTCATTTCATCATCTTCACAATCAAAGTCAATAGTCCTTCCTCCTGGGTGTCCAAAATTCTTGAAAGGGCTACGGAATGGACTACGCATAGGACTCCGAAATGGACTCTGGAAAGGACTATGAAACGGACTCAGCATACTGTGCTGAACTCGTCGCCCAGGATCAGAGGCAACACTCACCTACGAGAAAGAAAGGCAACACACATAAATGAATTCACAGAAGCTCAAATGGCTGCATAAAATAATTAGGGACTCTACAGAAGGCATTTCCAGCTGTCACACAGATTTCCTTTGACATTACCCAATGACATTAGTACCTCCAAATACAACTAATCCTCTCAACACATTAAAATGAAAGAACCATCCAAGTTTTCAGACTAATTGTCAAAGAATGAAACATCAACACTGGAAAATGAAGGCATTTGTCATATTTTTCATCCCATCAAACAGTTCCAATTAAACTATATTATCTGAATCTAGTTTAAAAACCATAACCTGAAAAAATGAGGAATTACAAAAAGTAAAATAATGCAAGATAATTTTTAGAAAAATAAGCACAGAATCTCAGATTAATATGACTAAAGAAGAATGGCCTCTGGAGATTATAATGATTAACTATCACAAGAAAATAATAATATAACTCTGCTTATATATCCCCCAAGCCTCACCTCCAGCCCTCATTGCCCTTCTCTGCCCACCTTCATGCCATGAGTGTTTTGCACTAAGTATACCCTGCTCCTTTGCTGCTTGGCCTCCAGGTGGGTTCAGTGGATGAAGGCACCAGAGAGCACCTGCAGCTGGCAGGGCAGGAGGCAGGAGTGTTTCTCCCCACCCACTTCCTGGCTTTGGAGCTGCACCTGGGAAGTGTCGCATCACTCCGCAGCTTCTCCAGCAGCCCTTCCTTCTAGTGTCGGCTCTCAGTTGGCGCCAGGAACTTTCTTCCTTGTTCTTTCAGCCCTAGGGGAATAGAGGCTTCCTACCAGACTGTCACTAGATTCTGGGTGCTTCATCAACTCTTATTGCTGCTATAACCTTTTCCATAACTCTACAGACAGAATTTCCATTAAAGTCTCTTCATTTTAACCATCTGGAATAAATTCTGTATCAGAGCCCAGACTGTCATAACTGTGTATCACTTTTATTTTCAAATCATATTTTCTCTCATAAAGATCTTTCTAGGAACCCGAAAGCTCCACAGCCACTATTTTTAAGGCAAAGAGGAAGAGCACCCCATTAAGAATTGGAATACCTGGATATTTACAGTGTTATTTATGAATCACTTCACTTACCAAGTATCAAGTTAAGTAGCTGTAAAGTGAGGATAATGAGTTCTTCCCTGACTGCTTCACACAATTCTGTGATATTGTTCATTGTGAATACTTTGCACAGAATAAAGTACCACACAAAGTAATACCATTTTAAAGGTTATAGAAGAAAGAAATAAAATTAGGTGGTTGGCAGCTTGTTCCTAACAGGCCAATGAAAAAGAAGTGATTTATTTTTGAGTAATGAATACAAACCATGATCCTATCATCATGTTAGGTTTCTTATTCCCTAGACATCAGTTGGCATGGGGACAGTGTTATGGTTTAGATATGAGATGTCTCCCAAAAGCTCATGTGTGAGACAATGCAAAAAATTTTAGAGGTGAAACGATTGGTCACGAGAGCCTTAACCTAAAGTCAGTGCATTGATCCTGATAGGGATTAACTGGGGGATAACTGTAGGCAGGCAGGATATGGCTGGAGGGGGGGGCATTGGGGACATGCCTTTGGGGTATATATTTGTCTCTGGAGAGCAGAATGGTTTTCTGATGCCTGGTGTCCAGTCCTGGGCCACTTTCCTTCTCACCACCCTTCTACCATGGTGTTTTCCTCACCTCCAGCCCAGAGGAATGGAGTCGGAGGTTATGAACTGAGACCTCTGAAACCACAAGCCCCAAAGTAAACTTTTCCTCCTCTTAAAATTGTTCTTGTCAGGTCTTTTGGTCACAGCAGCAAAAAGCTGACTAAAACAGGCGGGTTCCATGGAGAGGTCTGACAGGAGGGTTGGGAAGTCCTTGCCCACCCTCCAGGGAGAGTCGGCCTCTCAGAAACTGCACATGGCCAGCAGAAACCACATCAGATTACCCACAGAAACAGTATCAAGAATTTCTAACAGTTTTTGAACACTTTTCTCATCCACAGAGATGTAAAGAGGTCAATAAAACGAGCTCAGTTAGTTCATACTGACAGCACTATCTACAGTCACCACCAACTGATTTCGTTTTCCCAAAACACAATGACAAAAAGCAAAAGACAAAAAACCATCCAAACTCCTCACAATGTGTGTGAAGCACTGATTTGCCCAGTAGCTGGAATGAACTCTCATTTATCAGGAGAGGTGGGGTAGAGGGGGCATCAAAAAAGCTATGTTTTTTTTGTTTGTTTGTTTGTTTTGTCTTTTCCTTTTATCAGTAGTGAGAGAGAGCAAAAATTAATTTTTCCCAAAGAAAAATAAAAAACTCAATAACTTATTGATTATAGACTATACCAAATCTATCTCAGATAAATGTTTTTTATTTAACGTACTTTTAAAATTACTGAAATGAGATGTGATTTTAAAAAGTATCTTCAGAGAGATTTCTTATGATGCTACTTTCAAGCTTGATAAAACTGACAAGGATTTTTTAAATCTTAAGACAGACAAGAACAATCAGGTAATAATTACCCTTCGAGCTGCAAGGTTCCCTGCCAGTTCACTGACTCTTGATTTTCTTTGATTTGCCAGTTCTTTGACAGAATTAACTCCATCAGAAAACATGCTTATTAAGAGTTGAAGTGGAACCATGATATCTAACTCCGATAATACCTGGAGAAAAAAAGGACATATTCCCCCCAAACATGTCAAATTTAAAACTCTGAAAGCTACATTTGATAATTTTTTCCCTAAATCAAACTATTAAGCATGAGGACATTCAAACTTACTCATATTCTACAGTCATCCTCAAATTTTTGCACCAAGAAAATCGAGGGTGTCTTTAAACTGAGTTTTCCCTACCCTGATATCCAATAAGTCGCCATGTTCTTTCCACAGAAATCATCAAGTTTCTCTTGATGCTATCCCTCCTCCTTATACCCAGTGCTATTGCTTTCGCTCACATCTTTCTCCTGGACAACAGAATCTGGTCGTATCTTCCTTGAGTTCCTCTGCACTCTCACCTGATAACCCCATCCAATCTTGCTGTCTGGTACAAGCTTATGTCTTTCTGGGCCAAAATCAAGTCATCTTATTTGAAAAGAATTTCCTGGAAATCTATACCTGCTTCCTTCAGACAGAAAAAAAATAACCCTAGTCTCTGCTTCTTAGAGCTTTATACATATGTTTATTATAGTAATTACCACTTTTGCTGCGTTTAATTATCTGTTACTATCCCTCACACCATGATCTGCTTACAGAAAGGAAGTATGGGGGAAGAGCTACCTTACAGTGCCTGGCACGCAAGAGCTCTGAAAAATTTTCCAATTAATGCATATATGATTCAATTCCAACCACTGTATTGTCCAGTCCCCTCCCCAAAAGGTGAGACCAGGAGTTTGAAACCTTCAACTACAGCACACTGCCTTCACAGTAAGGCCATATTAGAGCCAAATCCATAGAACCTGTGGACTGTATCTGACCTAACTCTGGTGGGGACAGAGGTTTGCAGCTTAAGGGGTGTGTCACAGAATACTGAGGCAACATTTAGCCCTGTATAGGAAAGACCGGCTTTCCTAAAATAAAAATTATCTTACTGAAATCTATGTGGAGATAAAATAAGTTAAATTCTGAATCCCAAGGTGACTTTTTTTTTTCAAATGCTCCCTTTACTCTTTGTTAATTCTAAAAAATATTGTTCCTTAGTTTAGAATCCAGAAAGGCCTTTTTTGCAACTTGAAAGGCACATAGGAGAAAGGTGTATAAGAGTTCATCTTTGTGTGACACAGAAATGCATCTGAGGCTAGAGACGTAGCTCAGTGGGACAGAATATGCTGGAATGCATGAGGCCCTGGATTCAATCCCCAGCACAGCAAAAGAAAATTGTAAAAAAGTAACTATAACCATAGTTACTCTAAACAATAAATTTGTCCTTATTTTCTGAAACTGCCCAAAACTTTACATCAGATATTCAACTCGATTTAATAATTTTTTATTAAATATTCATTAAATGCAAAGCATGAGAGGAAACGATGAAGAGAGTTGTAAATTCAAAAAAATAAAACCCAGTCCCTGAACCCAAGGAGTGTGTAAGCAGGAGAAGAAACAAAAACTAACTCTAAGAAAGAACAGATTTCACACAGAGAAGCTGTGGGGAAAGAAAAGCGCTCGATGGACAAATGGGGGTGTAGAGCAGCGGGAAACATCAGAGGAGACCCCTCCGAGCTGGGCTTTACAGGAGAGGTTGGAGTTCACAGGAGAGGCAGAAAAGAGAGTCATTCCCGGTTGAGGAAGCAGATGAGCCACTCCCTCCCTTAATCAGTAGTCCTCACCCTTCCAAATAAAGGACCTGTTTAATACTAAAAGTTTTTCAGAATCCCAGACAGCAAGTAATATAAGGACCAAAAATCTCTATGAATTCAGTAACACTATTGCATAAATTTATATTTGATAACCATAACTAGAGCTACATATATTTGAAATTTAATCATTTATTTATGACTAGGAGATATTAGTCTACAATAATCCTCAATGAACACATGAACTTATGACCCTGCAAAACCTCCCACCCCTCTAACAAGGCTAAGAACTTAGCTTCTAGGATAAGAACTATTACCCCAAACAATCATAAGTATCATTCACTTACATGAAGCCATAATAAAGCTTGTTCCTGCACAGAGGAGGGGTAGCCTGTAAACCGACAGCTAATAAATCCAAACATCTCTTCCAATGAAAAAGGCAGAGGACAGAGCTCAATGTCAAACATTTTGCTGGAAAGCAGAGCAACAAAAGTAAATGACCAATGGGCACACATGAGGGTAAACTGATACCACCAAAGTATTTCTCACTATACCCTATTTGGAGAGCCAAACCTTTTAGATGAGTTTGTGCTCTGACCTATTATTAGTATAACTTGTTTCACTGTAAGAGAATTGTTTACATCATAGAAATACATATAAATAATTCACATGGAATCACATTAATGCCCATATGCATATTAGGTTTAACAGAAGGAATTACATTTCTAAGGAATTAGAGCTGCATCCTAGCCTCTAAAAATATTTTATCTTTGTACTTTTCCAACACAGTCAATTTCAATTCATATTTGAAAATAAGCAAACAATGTGATGTATATTTATTATTCCTCAAGAACAAGATCTTTTCTGAACAATTTCAAATCATTTTGATTCAATTAATAGTAGCTATTTTATTTGTGGCTTCCCAATTCTCATAGAATTGTTAAAAAGGGAGATTACACAAAATGCTTAGTAGAGTACCTAGCACACAGTACATGCTTGATAAATGTTAGATATCAATATAATTGCGGTGACTTCATTAAACTACTTACCCACCTTAATACTTCCCTGAATTCCTTTAACTGATTATCTGGGACTTCTGTTCTGATGGCTTCCAGCCATTCTGGCATAATACACTCCCACACTGATTGGCTGATCACATTGTAGGGGATCAGGCAAAGGATCCGGTTGAGACCTTCCTTCAGCTGAGTGACTGTGCTACACGACTTATCCCAGTATCCACCAACCTGGTGGGGTTTTCACAACCACAGGGGAAAAGAACAAAACACTCCTGTTACAATCATACTCAAGAACTTCCTAAAGGAAATGGGTACACAGAAAGGCCAGAGCCTATAACATCGGAGTTCTTGGCCAAGAATATTCAGTGAGATTTGTAAGAATCTACAACTGAACATTAGGATCCATTAGTAGTAAAGGAAAACATAGTTACAAATAGGTCAAATATTGATCACAGGTTGAATTTGAACTATTCTACTTTGTACTTTCCAAATCACAATGACAATTAGAAAGATTTCTTCCTAACATCATTGAAAATACTATGGAGCATTGTTATCTCTAAAGCTTGATAAATTCCTTATAGCATGTGCAGTTACACCTTGCTTCAGAGAAATACGGTTTTCTACTACAACACACTTCATATTATAGATTTTTTTTCCAGAAAACATAGTCCTTATTCTTCTAAAAATTATCTTGCAGTATTTTATTTTTTGTAATTCCTCATTTTTTCAGGTTATGGTTTTCAGTAGAGTTCTGTTTTTCTCTAAGCTGCAAATTCTGCCACAAATTTTTCCTAAGAATGTTTTGAGGCTGGTTGAATTAGTGAATAAAAAGATGCATTTTGTAATGATCAAGATAGTACATCAACTTCCTAGAGGAGGAAAAAAATTTAATCATAAATTTACAAATATAAGTTGTTTTAACTCTGATGTTAAAGATACTATATTTCTCTTATAAAAGTAACAAAGGGTTAACCATTGACAGTTCCCGAGTCTTTACCATGGAAGATAAGGTTTATAGGAAATCATCTTATTTTAAATGAATCCAATTTTTTTCTGTGTGTTTTTGGTTTTTTGTTTTATTTGTTTGTTTTTAGGCTGTGCAAATTGAACCCATGACCTAGCACAAACTAAGAATGCACTCTACCTCTGAGTTACATAACCCCTGCCCAATGACTCCAATTTTAAATGTTTAATGATTATATCTAGAATTCTAGATTATTTAAAAAATTAACCAATTCTATTTTAAAACTCAAATATCTATCTGGTGTCATGCTGATCAAAATCCCAGATGATTAGCTATTTTCAGAAAATGAATTTATTTCTGGGATTTTTATTGTTGCTGTTAATTACAGATAGACTTCAAAGAGCTGACATTGGTAATGTTGAGAACCTGGAATGTATTGTTATGGAGGTTCCTTTGCATTGTAACTCATGGTTAAGCCATGTAAAGACTTGGTTTTGAATCAAATTTTAGAATGCCTTTGGAGATCCTAAATTGTCAATGGCCAGATTATAGATCATTTTATTTGGAAAAACTGTCATGATCAAAAAGATTTTTAAGGGGTAAGGTCAGGACATGGGAGCATGAGGGCTGGCTTGGTGCTTGCTGGCCCAAGGCCAGCACAGGTATGGGAAGCCAGCACAAGATTTAGGATCTAGGGCAGGAGCCAGCAGGAAGGCATCATCCAGGCAGGTGCAGCTGTGGCTGCTGCTGCTGCTGCTCCTGCAGGCAGCAGGCACTGCACAGTCTTGCCTCTGCCACCCTCCAGGCCAGACCCGCTACTGGCCCTTGTTGGGCAATCAGCTGTGCCATTGGGGTACAGGATGTACCCCTGGACTCATGAGTGCTTGTCCCTAATGGATTTGCCCAAGAGTTTGATTGGCACAGTGTGGATGATGTCAACTATGACAGTGTCACCAGGAGTTTGATTGGCACAGTGTGGATGATGTGAACTATGACAGTGTCACCAGGAACATCCCCTAGTACTGAAGCTCCTGTTGGAACACACCAGCCCCAGTGCCAGGGCAGATCTGACCAACATCAAGAGGAAGGGCACAGGACCCTCCACCCTGTTCTGGAGCAACAGCATGTAAGGGAGTTCACAGGCTACTGGTTTGGGAGTATGTCCACCAGTAAGGCATTCCCAATGACACCTGCAAGAATTACTAGGCCAAGGGCCAGCAGTTAGATATGGTTAGCCAGTTGGAATATGCACTAAAATGAGAGTTCCATGCCATTCAGAGCTGTGCCTTCTGAAAAGTGAGTGACGGCGGATCCCTCTCTGGGAAGAACACGATGCCAGAAATCTATACAAATGGTCCCATCAGCTGTAGTATAATGCTAACAACCCCAGAGATATTTGTGTCCAACTCTGTAACAAGGCCTACATAATCAATCTCGTTTTTGTGGCTCAGTGGGATGTCAACAACAGGACCAAGTACTAGATGGTCTGTAATTCACAGTGGACCCTGGGCAAGAGAGGCTGAATAAGGATAACACCTGACTCCTATAAAGATGGAAAGAACACCAGTTAACAACTTTATTATTGAGGAGTACTGAACAGTTGGGGACCCAATTTTTTAAGTCAGATGTCTCTGGAAGAACAGTTGTTTTGTTTTGTTTTTAAAGAAATGATATCATGAACTATAACCAGAGGATCCTATGGCAATATGCACCAGCCTGGTTAGTAGAACTGGGGTGATGGACTATATACCAACACTGTACAGCTAGCAGTGACACTAAGCAGCCAGAAGAGGTGCCTGGCAACACGAGGACCTATGTGGCTGAAAGGACATTCCTGAGAATAAGCTGAAAGTGAGATGACCTCTACACCTGCACAGGACTAGTCCTCCTCCACAAAGACCACAGCCAGCCAGCTACCTAGCAAGCAAGCTACCTAGCAGACAGGAAATTGTGGGACCAATAGAAGGTTTGATACTTTGTATTTGGTAACTGTAGTCTGTAACAGCATTTCTATAACATGTATACTCAGAAAAATTAGAAATTATATCCCATCTATGATTGATATATATCAAAGTGCATAAATGCATTCTACTGTCATGAATAACTAATTAAAACAAATTACAAAAATTAATAAAAATAAATAAAAGAAAAAAGGAGGTAAAATAGTTCAGACATCACCAATTCTTATGTTACCTTGAAATCAATGGGGGAAGAGAGCAGTAAGTGAGGAATAAAAGATCCAACTTCAGGGGCTGGGGCCATAGCTCAGGGGAGCTCTACATTACTTGCCTAGTATACACAAAGCCCTGGGTTCAATGCCCAACACTGGGGGCAAACACACCACTTTAGACAAAGAAAATAAATACAAGTATTTTTAGAGAGCACTTACTGAACAAATGTCCTTTTGCCCATATAAAAGAATCAAATGGAAAGAACAAAACAAAAAAGCACCATGGCTAGTCGAAAAGACTCCCTCAACAAAATTAAAGAAGAGAAATCAAATTTAGAGCTAAAATTAAGATCCACACCCACTACAAACTTCCCTGCACACCTTTCCTACAAATGATCCAGCTGAAGGCTGATGTTCAAGTTCTGATAGAAACTGTTCTAGAAGCCTTCCCTAGAAGGTTAACTGAACTACAGTAAAACTGCTCAGAGGGCAGCAACACATTCTAAAGGCTTTGTTAAACAATTTATAAAAAACATTCCCAAAACATAGAGCTCTAAATCCAAAAGCCCCAGAATATAGGAATCTTCATTTCTATATCAGTGGGAAATTTTTTCTCTGATATAAAGAAACAAATTCAAAATAATTTAGTTGGATGAGCAGGCCATCCCCTTAATGTTATTATTGAGGCCACCACCCAATTCTTTGAAGAATTAAAAACAACTGTCCTGGCTGGGGTTGTGGCTCAGTGGTAGAGTGCTTGCCTAGCACATGTGAGGCCCTGGGTTCGATCCTCAGTACCATGTAAAAATAAATAAAATAAAAGTATTATGTCCAATTACAACTAAAAAATAAATATTAAAAAAAAACCCCAACAACTGTCCTTGCCTTACCGACTTTATAAAAACAGAAATGTGGCTCTAGGAGTAACCCTGAGCCACCCATCTTTCTTACCAATCTCAAACTTCTGCTGTTCATCACACAATACTTGCAGATACTGTAAAAAGTTTGGACAAAAAGGAACTTTCCTGCCCTAAGGGAGAAGAAAAGTTCAAATAGTAGCTGCCCTACGCCTCTGCCTGCTTAGTCAGCCACCCTGAGACCTCACATCAACTAGCCCTCAGCCTGGCTATAAGACCTGCAGGCTCTCAGGGCAGGTAATTTCGACTGCCCTTAAAAATGCCTCCTTGTAAAAGCTCAACAGTACCCTGAGAATTCACTGTTTGTTCCACACAAAACTTGGTAACTGGCAAACATGCCCCTGACACACCCAGAGCAGGCACTTTAGACATCTCCTACAGAACCTGAGAGCCTCTTTAAAATGCAGACTCCAAGGGAAAGAACTCTGGCTTAAGCCCCAGAATTAGGCCCGTTACTTTACTGTACTACTGCGTCTTGACATAAAATATGAGAAATTAATTTTTCCTGATACACACCAATTAATACCCTTAATACTTTGGGGGGGGGATTGAATGCTGGGATGTTACTGGGATTGAATGCTGGGATGATTTACTACTGAGCTACACCCCCAACCCTTTTACCCTTTTAGCTTTTTGAGATAGAGTGTTATTAAATTTCTTAGGGTCTCACTAAGTTGTCTAGGCTGGCCTCAAACCGATGATCTTCCTGCCTCAACCTCCCGAGTCACTGGGATTACATGTGCCACCATGCCCAGAACACTTAAATTTTAAAACCCAGTGCCTTTTTCCTTAGTTCATCTCAGAAAAATTAGCCTATCTATTCAGGGATGAAATCTACCAAATTATGCTATATCCATGTACAAACATACCACAATGAATCCAACTTGTATATACAATGGGGATTATATATATATATATATATATATATATATATATATATATATATACACATTCACGCACATATATGTATATGTGTGTATATATATACATACACACACAAAATTGGGATTATATATATGAGTGTGTATTTATATGTGTGTATATATGTATACACCAATGAAAAATGAATTTAATAAATAAATAAAAGAACTTGGGGGCAAAAAAAAAGACTACCATAAATAGTACATTGTTTAGGTAGAGATGGGGTTACAGAAGTGAGGTGTATTCATGGGGAAAAAAATAGCTTCTCTAGACTAAAACAACCACCTGAGGTTTAGCACACCTCCCTGAGACTACATATCAGGGCAAATAAAAAGAGTTAAAGGTCTCTCTGACAAATATTGGTTAAAAAAAAAAAAAAAAGCTTTAGCCCTTGCATTGAACAGGGAAGGACTTATTCCATCTGCAAGAATACAATTCAAATAAAAGTCAGACAAAGATGAAGACCAAACCTTACACAAACTAGTGAGTCTGTACTCCTTTGAAAGTTGCAAGGTCTCTATTTTGTCTCTCTATATGTCTTTGTATAGACATTATGTATATGTGGACTCTCTTCTTACCTCTAGCTACTAGTACTGCCAAATTATTTATAAAATCCTTTACAAGAGAGCCCTATTATAAATAGGTTTCAAAAATTAAGTGCTTATACAAGTTAAATATTCCTAAAAGTCTCAAAAACATAGGAACTGACTCAAATGTGTTAAGTTTATGTGATCTGTGTAAATCTTTGGTAAATAAAACTCGTTTAATATTGTTGGTTTAATAAAAGCAACTGTTTTTCAGAATTATTAGCACTGCATATGATAAACATTATATTTTTAATCTTCTTGAGTTTACTAGTCAAATACATTAATGTATTTAGATGTTCAAGACTGCACAGATTTGCTGGGCGTGATAGTGCACACCTGTAATACCAGTGGCTCAGGAGGCTGAGGCAGGAGAACCAGCAAAAGTGAGGTGCTATGCAACTCAGTGAGACCCTGTCTCTAAATAAAAATACAAAAAAGGGCTGTCCAATATCTAAAATGTTCTCAACTACTGTTCTCTGGACTCAGAAACTAGATTTATAATTTACTACAATCATTAATCTTTGTTTTGCTTTTTTGTTCCTCATGCTAATCTATGCTTTTTCCCGTGTGCAGATCTCTTACCTCACATTTCCTAACTAGAAGCTTCTCTCCACAGCAATCTACCTAGCTTCTTTTGTAAGTGTGAAAATTCAAGGGAAGTTTCAGAGGAAGAAAGGTGAGGATCCACTCAAACGCCCAGAATTGGCATCAAGATTATTTTAAAGTGAAAACATTTGAGCTAAAGAAGGAACAGAAAGAAACCTTATCTGAATTTCTAATATTGAACTAAAACAAAGTCCAGAAAATAAACCTCCCTCCCAAGGGAGTTTCCTATGAATTCAGCTGCCATACAGACAGGCCACTTCCTGCCCATCTGCAGTAGTGTCAAAAAAATAAAAAATAAAAAAATTTCCAAAACATCTCACCAACTCCTAAAAAAACAAAAAACAAAAAAAAACCCTTTGTTTGGTTTGCTATATAAATCTTTTATTTCTGTCTATTCGGGGAGTAATTCATCATTGAGTACTCCCACATGTACTCATAAACAAACCGTGTCTTCTCTACTGTTACTCTATTATCAGTTAACTTTCAGACCACCAAAAACTGGACCCAATTAAGAAAAGTTTTCCTATTAACATAATAATTTCTTCTCATATTCCTGGGTTGGATCACACCAATTCTTCACCACTCTAAGAGAAATAATAATAGAAAACATATTAACACAGGCAAAGAATTCCAGTAAATGGGAAATTTCCATTATGTAAAAATTCAAATTTATAATTGAGTCAGTAGGTGGCACCAAAGAAAAAAGAAGTATATCTGGATAAATGCACACATCACTGAGTCCTGGAAATCAAATAAAAGCTACTCCTTCAGATGGTCTGTGTTCTGTTTTATCCTTAAGTGTCCTATTTCAATGCAGTTTTAAATTGAAAATTGCCTAAAGGTCTTTTTGAATGGAAACAAAAAAATTACAAATAAAACTTAAAAACTACTTAGAGGGCTGGGGCTGTAGCTCAATAGTAGAGCACTTGCCTAACATGTCTGAGGTACTGGGTTCAATTCTCAGCATCACCTATAAATAAAATGAATAAAATAAAAGTACATCAACATCTAAAAAATATATTTAAAAAATACTTGGAAAAAAATTTCATGTATTCCTGCCAAAAACTGATTTTGGGCATCTATTTTTTCTGGGTTACACACAAATTATATCATATTGAAAATATATGAGGTGCTCTCAGCTGTACATCTGCAACCTGTGATCCACTGAGAGAAGCAAAAGGTACTCACAGAGAAATCTGCCCCCTAAACTGGGAAAATAGAAGTGTTCTGGCAGTCTCTGAGCAGTTTTGGAATTTCAAATGGCAGTGCAGGAACTGTACCACCGTCTTTAGAAATATACATGGAACCACAGAAAGTCCCTCTTCTTCAATAGTAGCCTTTCCACAGACTAAGCCAGGAAAGGACTAAGCCCTAGCAACCCCACAGAAAAAGCTGTGAATGCTGTTGGTTGTTTTTTGGTACCAGGGATTGAACCTAGATGCCCTTTACCACTGAGCCACATGCCCAGACCTTTCTGTATTTTATTTAGAGACAGGGTCTTGCTGAGTTGCTTAGGGCCTCATTAAATTGCTGAGGCTGGTTTTGAACTCTCGATCCTCCTGCCTCAGCCTCCCAAGCCACTGGGATTACAGGCATGTGCCACCACTCCAGGCTGGTTGTTTCTTAAAAGATATATTCAGCAATGTCAAGAGAGAATGCTTTCTTAAATTCTTAAAGATACCTCAAAAATCCATTTTGCCATTCATTCTTCCATATCCCAAACCAACATCAAAGCAGCACATCACAGAAGATGCACTTATTAAACTTCTTTGGCTATTGGTCAGAATTAAAAAGATGAAAGAGAGATGCTACTCCTCTGTCCACAATGACAACATTCTGACAGTCAAGGTGGTGCTTCTCCCTGAGCCCTCCTCCCTAACAAGGTTCAAGCTATTGGCCTCCACTTACCCTGGCAAATTCCATGGGTTTGGGAAGAAGGCACATGACCATGACATCAAAGCGAACATCACACACTGTCTTCAACCACTTGGTGACAAACTGTGGCTTCAGTTTTTCTACCAAGCTTCCAACTTCATCATCCATCATGTATGCTGTGGAGTGAAACCACTGAAATACCATGGCCACCAGCCGGGCCAAACTTTCTGTAGGCGTGTTCTCACTGGGTGTGCACAGGCTCACCTGGGGCAGAAAGAGTAGACACTTGTTCAGTCTCCGTCCTTCATTACAAAATTACTGCATGTACATTTACAGGCAAAAAAAAAAAAAAATGTTCCAGAAAATCTATTTGAAACAGGCAGTTTTATAAATGATGATCATTTATCCAGAAATTATGTTCCTCTCTACAGGGACAGATGGAGTGCAACAATAATGTCCCCTCAAGATTCTGCCTTCCAACAGCATTTCTTTCCTACAAGAAATCTATTACATAACCTAGCTAGATAATGCTTCCAAAAATTAAGTCCATGAAGTGCTATTTCATGAATATCTTCAAAGAAAAATAATATACATACATTTCATTTCTAACATGATCAGATTTAGGTAAGAATTTTGTAGCAGTAATAATTCTAATACTTTGAGGCCCCTACTTTATTACCATATTATAAGTAGATTTTTTTTTAAAAAAATCATTTATTCATTCATTTGGAGATAATCTTTTATTCAGTATTGTAGCAGGGTACAAGAATACAAAAAGTAAAGAAAGCACTGCCCCTGCCCTCAGAGTTCCCAGCAATAGTAGCCATGGTATTATTAGATAACAAGTTCTTGGAAGCAAGACATGCAAAATCAACAATTAAATCCCAATTTGGTAAAGACTTTTTCAGGAAACTGTGTGCAAGCATAAAAGAAACACATCACTATGGAGACTTAATCCATGTCTGTAGCCAGCAAAATAAATTAATAAATAAAAGCCTGCTTTCTCTGCACAATCAGTGCATTTGGCTGGCTTCAGGTTTTAGATCTATATGGTTAATCTCCACTGAATAAGAGTTGCAATGGAATCAGTCAGTTGCTATCACTGATTCCTTGTGTAAGTTTGGCTGTGATTTCTGTAGTTTACAAGAAACTGACTTAAATATACATAAAGCTCCATAGAAATGGCTTTCAAGAAAAATTTCATGTACATGAAAGAAAGGATGTAAGTTATCTGTAAATTATGTTGAACCCAGTACTTTACAATCCATACTAGCAAGTTTCCCATTTGCACCTTGTCAAGAAAGTGCATTTCAACCAGGCAAGGCCGTGACATTGCAGGTTTCAATGCCTGAGAGTTTATTAAAGTCAACCAGGGAGCTTTTTAAAACATTTCCAGAACTATAGGTAAGATCTAGACACTGTTAGTTTTTAAACATTTTCTTAGGTAAATCTAATGGGCAACCCAGAGCTGACAGCCACTGCACCTCAAAGTATACTGCCCTAAGATTAATTTATAAGCACTAAGATAATTTTTCAATATTTAGTATTTACTCCTTTCAAAAGAACAGGAGAAATCCCTCATCAGTGCAATAAAAAACAAGAAAGCAGAGAATAGTTAACTTCTTTTTCTTACTAAGAACCATATTCCAAATTGACTAAGCAGCCTCTGGTCGTGTTTATCATCGTCCTTGTTATCAAAGTCAGCATTATCCAGGGAATGGTGGGAAGAGGAGAGGCCCAGCTGCCGCCGGCGATTCAACTCATGTTCCCGCTGCTCAGCATGGAACTCGGCTTCTTTCAATAAGCTGACAAAATGGGGTGATTTCAAATTAGATTATGGAAAAACACACTGCAAATCATAACCTATCCAGAGCAATTAATTCAAGCATCACAGATCACCTCCTTTAAATTGGTGTGAATTACTCCAAGAAGCCTAATTTCATTTTTTTTTTTACTATTTTATAGTCTATTCCCATTTCAAAGATGAACAAACAAACTGAGGCACAACCAGGCTACTGCCTCCCATCAATTATAAAAAAGCAGAACTGATGTCTCTAATTTCTGGTTCACCAACCATCCTACTGTGAGTCCATTCTTCTTCATGTCTACCATGAAGGCCATGTAGATAGGAAATGTATGATACAAGGAGAAACTGAGCACCTGTATCCAAATGGAAAAATATTCAATATTTGGTATTCAAAGACCTGAAAGTAATACAATGAAGACTCCTTTTCAATTTGCTAAACAAATAACAACTTTAAAAATAATAATGTTGATAAGGGTTTAGCAAAAACTAATAACTTCATATTCACTGTTGGCATTGTAAATTCATATACATGCTTTGGAAAGCAATTTAGTAAATTATCAAGAACAATTAAAATATTCAGACCCTTTGATTAGTTAACCCACATCTGGTAATCTACCCTAAGAAAATAAAGGAAGAACATTATGCACAAACATATTGAAGAGTTCTTTATAAAATTTGAAAAATTAGATGCAATCTAAATATCTAATGGTGGAAGTAAATAAGTCATATCTAGATGAATATGATGTATTCACTAAAAAGTGATAAATACGGAACTTCACAACGCTGAAAGAGCTAATTATATAATGTTGTATCAAAAAGAGCGGCAGATTCACTGTGATTAGAGTTATATAAATAAAACTTGAATTTGAATGAAACTAGATGATGTGCAAAACTAACCATTATGACAGTATGGCTGTTTGGTTTTGTTTGTTTTGTTTTCTATTTCCAAACTTGCCATGATGCTTGATTTAACAAACATTTCTACTCTGTGTCAACCGCTGGGATAAGAGAAATAGAAAAGACCCTCTCTGTCCTTAAAACTTACATTCTAACAGTGGTGTTTTTGTTTTGTTTTTAATCTTGCTTCCTTGGATATTACGTATATTTTTAAAAGAATAAGAAGAACAAGTATAGAGATTATCATTTCAAATGCTGATTTCTCCTTCATCTAATAGAAGGAGAAAACCCCTGTAGCCTTCAGATCAGGCCCTGTCTCAATTCCTGGGCCTCAAGCTTGACCCCAGTACCACAGAACTTGGAGTCCTTCCCCCACTTCTCACTCACATGCAAAAGATTTGTTCCTGTGGCTTTGCTGCCCTCCTGACTGGCTAATGCTGCTGTCACTCAAGGCAGGCATCCCTATCTCTGATGAGGTCTCCAGTTACCTATTACCCCTGGCTCAGGGCTGTCATTGCTCACTAGAGTGGTTCACAATTACAAACTTGTAAGTTCTTCTAGTCCCTGCCTGAGTAATTAGAAGACAATTCTGTCTCTCAAGTGCCTAGTGCAATGCCTGGCCTGTACCTGGCATTGGACAAAAATATTTATTGAATTCACAATTGAAAGCATCATCGTGTCCACTCTGCAGGAAGGTGAGCTGCTAGACTGCGGGCATCTGAACTTGGGTTGGATGTAAGCTTCTCGGTGCACCAAGGTCAGTGCGGACGCAGGACTGAATAAGAATTGCAATGGAATCAGTCAGAGACACCTCTGGCTAGCTGCGTTACCTAATCACCGCCTCCACTGCGCAGACCAGCTCCTCGGCACCGCACTCCCGCGTGTTGATCGGGGGCGGCGAGGTCTGATAGAGGTGGGTCTCCGCAGCGGCCCCCACCTCATTACTGTGATGATTCGAGTGGCATCTTTTGCAGTACCGAACAGGCCTGTTTCCGTGACGACCGCAGCACCCTGCGGAAAAGCAGGTGACGACTGCTCTTCTAACGTGGGAACTGCAGTTCTAGAAGCAGAAGTGGTGAAATCAGTTAAAAACTGATCCCTTAGGTAAACTTGGCTAAGAACTAAAATAATGGGAAACTTAAGGGACCACCGGAAGTTAACAGCTCATTTCAAAGTACTGCTGGTTTCCAAAATTCAGGTTATTCTCTAATCAGTTAGATTCCAGTTGTAGTCAAAAAGAAAGGTGAAAGGTGTCTTCTAGTGAGAGGGTAAGATACATTCCAGAGATCAGTAGAACTGTACTGAAAAGCCAGGGGATGAGGACACTTTCAGGATTATTTGGAGTTAATGATTCAAGAGTTTTCAACAGAAATATAAAGAAAAATTAGAACTGTGGTTTAGAGAGAGCACATCAGAGTAGGAAAGGAAGAATTTAACTCCCGGAATAAACTCTTTCAAAATTATTTTATCCACCACTGGAAGAGCAGATTTCCACAGCAGCTAGTCTGTCCTTGTTGCATTCAAGGACAGGAAGGGGCCGTGCTGTGCTGAGTTGATGGCCCTAAAGCAAGCCTCTCACTCTCACCAACACACTCTGAAGACCTGAAGAACGTGTCAGTGGACACTACAGGACATGCCAAAACACAGCCAGAACCGTTCACAGAATCAGCTGCTGAAATCAACCACAGGAAGCATCAACAGATGAAGTGATGGTGTGGTGGGGGGGTGGGAGTAGGGTGGTGCAGCAAATAGATTCCTAAGCTCAGGGGGCTGTTGTCAGAGCTGCCCTGACAGGAGGCCAGAAATTAGGCAGCATCCAAGGAAAGCAATCTGAGGACCAGGCAGGACACTCCGACATCAAAAACAAATGGTCAAAAAAACACATGCCTTGAGCCTGTTATGATGCTTCCACCACATGTTCAATGTCAGAGCTCTTCAGCCTTTCAATGGTGCTTGTAAAGATGTGAACACTTCTGGGACATGTCATCTTTAAGAACTCAGAGGTTGGCAAAGCTTTGAGAACACTCCAGAACAGATATCCCCATGGGAGATGGAAAGAAGAAAGCAAGCCCAAAACCTACATAGAACTGTCGACACTAATGAATCGTCATGGGAACCACCATCTCAAAGCAAAGTTTGTTACACTTTGATCATAAGGCTGCTGACTCTGGATCTAGTGCTAGAAACTCAGTTCCAAATAGGAATCAGACCAATACATCATCAGCCCCTGTATTTTACAAAATATCAAGCTCTTCATCCGGTAGCTACATCTTTATTGTCTTAAGAGTTTAAAATATTTCTAGTGTATTTTCTTTTTACTAATAATTCTGGGGGGAAAAAATCATTTGTTGTGACTCCTAAAAAAAATCATTTGTTGTGACTCCTTATCTTCTTTGGCATCCAAATCAGCCTGAATGGATTGTTTTTCCTGAGATCAACATCTCTTTCACCTCACAGTTTCCCTTTGGAAGTACATGAATTATTGGTTTGGGGCTCCTTCTGTTCACCCACCAAACATACCACTCTACCAGCTGAACCACATGTATCAGGATGTATTCTGGTGTTGATTTTTTTCCTCTCAGTTAGTTATGTTTATTGCACAACCCTCCCCCTAAAATATAGGGAGGATTTCCTATACTGAAATCTTAACCTACAGGGTGATGATATTAGTAGTGGGGCCTTTAAAAGGTAATTAAATGGTCACGAGGGCTACACTGCATGACTGGAAATAGTGGCCTTTTAAAAGAGGTCCAGGAGAGCAAGTTCATTCCCACTTCACGAGAGGAGGCAACAAGAGGTACCATGTATGAGAAACAGGCCCTCACCAGACATTAAATCTGCTGAGGCTTGTTTGTAAGCACCCAGTCTATGGTATTGTGTTGTGGCAGCCCAGAGAGACCAAGACAGTGATAATTAGTCTTTAGTCCTACAGGAGTTCCACTGTTACATAAACAAGAGGACGCGGACATGAGTTAGTTGGCAGTTATTGGCTATATATAATATGACCCTGAGTTAAGGTCTACTAGTTCCCATCCTATTTTCTACTGCCCAAATGCCATCCAAATCCTAATATCATTTCCAAATTTTCTGACTTTTTGCTATAGATTTCTTGATTCACTATGTACAAGAAAGGGAACTTTTCTTATTATAATTATTTATGATCAGTGTGACATTTTGCTATGGCTTATGTAGAATGGACAATTCAGATATACAAAGAAAGGGAAATGTCCACAACCCTTCCAAAAGATTGAGTTATATAAATAAAGATGACATCAGAAAGAAATCCAGTAGGTTCATAGATGTATTATGGATACAACAAGAAAATATGAGATGTCCATTATATACCTAGCATAACACTTATTCCTCAAATAAATGCTTACTTGTGGCCATTACTGTTGACCAATTGCCCATTTGCTTTTTCATTTTGTCCTACTGTTTGTGTTCACCCATATTCAAACAGCAGACAGTGACTCCTTATGTTATGCCTTATTCTAGTCCCTGTTATCTAGAGGCCCTTCCAACTTTTGTTACCAATAGGTAGAGTCTATTTCCCCTCCTCCTGAATCTGAGACGGCCTTGGGACTAGCTTTTAACTACTGGAATATATCAGATGTGACAGTGTGTGACTTCAAGCTTCTGTGTCAAGAGGTCTTGTACCCACCACTCTTGCTCTCTTGGGACACTGCTGCCTTGTAGGAACTATCAAGACTAGCCTCCTGGGGATGAGATACCTCAAGAAGAGAGGGTGTTCCAGCCCTTCCAGCAATCCCAGCTGATGCCCCAGACATGAGGGTTAGGATATCTGGGGCCAGCCAACTCTCAGCCTGCCCACTGAATGACAATGCTTGCACATATGAGTCTGGACAAGACCAGAAGAATTGCCCAGTTAATCCAGGTCAAATTTCCAGTCTACAGAATTGTGAACACAAATAAGTAGCTATTATAACAAGATGATATGTTTTTTATGCCATAATAGAAAATATCTCCAGAAGTAAGGTGCAGCCATAGCATAAGTTAAAAATATGTAGCATTGGTGTTGGAACCAGGCAGCGGTGGAATCTAGAAAAGCAGTCAAACATGAAATGATGCAAACTGGAAGAGGTTTAAAAAGGCAGTGAGGAAAATGGTCTTTGGAAGCTAGAAAAAGGAAACCTGTATTTTATAGCATGTATACATCACTGTAGAGCAAGCCACTCTGAGACTCAGAGGTATAAGTCTCACCATCCTCTCCATTAAATAGTAGGGATTCTAAGAATCTTAAAGGCATTATTCCCAGCTGCCTCACAGACTCAACAATATAAAAGAATTTATCTCAGACAGGTTTGTGCATTTAACTTGTGCCTACTGAAGTAGGTTTATAAACTGCTACATTAAAGGCCACAATGTTTTTAATGCAATTATATCAATGTGGACTGAAAGAAATACATACTGAGAGCCTCAAAAAAGATGTTTTTGAAATTCCACATTTTTGTGATGAAAAAGTAAACTAATATGACTACTTAATTGTAAAACAGGCTACTTTTTATAGGAAAAAAGATGGGTATCTCCCAGACAGTGGCGCTAACAGCCAAGAAATCAACTCCCAGGAATTTAGACTAGGGAATAACAAACAGAAGCCGTGTACTCTGCTGAATCTCAGTATGACTCTCATTCCCTCATTCGGCAGAAGAGTGTTTCTACAGGAGTGATGTGGAAATAATGAGACAAATGTCCAGCAGGGTAATATACTAGACACTCCTCTCATCAATAAGTGGAGTTTATTTCCATTCCTTGAATCTGGATGGGGTTGCAACTGCTTTAATCAACAAAATACTGCAGGCTGGGAATGGCAGTACATTGCTGTAATTCTAGCTACTCAGGAGGCTGAAGCAGGAGAATCATTCAAGGCCTGCCTGGGAAACCTAGCAAGACCCTGACTCAACAATTTTTTTTCTTAAAAGCTAGAGATGTAGCACAAAGGTAAAGCACTTGCCTAACATGTTTGAGGCCAAGAGTTCAATCCCCAGGAATGGGAGAGGAAAAAAAAAAAAACAGCATGGCAGAAGTGATGCTTATGTGACTCTCAATGCCAAAGATATGTGGTTTGCATCTGGCTATCTTGAAACATTCTCTCTAGAAGCCTCCTCATCAGGATATTCCTCCTGGAACTCTGGCCAAACCACATGGAGAGGCTCCATGTTTAGGTCTCTGGTCAACAGAACCCACTAACCATGTCTTCTAGTCATTTCATCCCACAGCCCAAACATGACCTGGAAGCCTCTAGATAATTCCAGTTCCAGGTACTCAAGTCTTCCCAGATGAGGCCCCAAACATTCAGAGACAGGTTATCTCCACTATGCCCTCTCCAAGACTCTGACCCATAGAATCTGTGAACATAATTCAGGGCTTGTTTTATGCTGCCACGTTTTGAGTAATTTCTTATTATGCCTACATAATAAATAAATGCATATTTATTTATGTATATAAAATATTTATACATATATAAAAGATAACTAAAAGTTACTCTCTTTATCATAGTGCAACATCAATTCTAAATAGTATCAGCAACAAAATATTTCTTCCAAAAATAATTTTTATTTTTTATTAGAGTTATAGTTATACATAATAATTGGCTTCATTTTGACAAAAGCATATATACGTGGAATTTGATTTACCCCATTTCAGTCCCATTCTCCCACCCCCTTTGTTCTCTCCTCTCTTCCCTACCCATATTCTCCTTCCTCTATTCTAGGATCCTCTTTTCCCTCATTTATTTATTTAATTTTGATTTATGCTCTCTACATACACATAAAAGTGGAATTCACTGTGGCATATCAATTTATGAACGTGGTCATATATACTGGCTCTCCTCCCTCCCTCCTTCTTCCACTTCACTGATCTTCCCTATATCTTTAAGATAGTCAATCCACCTTTTCCTCCCTAATTTTGCCCTAGTCTGCATATGAGAGGAAACATTCAACCCTTGATTTTCTGAGTCTGGTCTTATTTCACTTAGCATGATGTTCTCCATTTCTATCCATTTACTGGCAAATGCTATAATTTCTTTCTTCTTTATGGCTA